TTAACAAAGTCTCGTTTGGTAAATATCGAGCCCTTCGGTCTCGTCCAGGGCAGTAACAATAATAACGAGACCTTCGGTCTCGTTTACAACGAGCCCAAAGGGCTCGTTTACAACGAGCCCAAAGGGCTCGTTTGAACCCCCCCTTTCCCCCACCCTCCTGAGATACTTTTTTTTTCTTCTTCTTCTATTAATTTAAAAGTTACTTTTTCTTACTTATTATTTTATTTCAGTTTTGGCAGTCTTGCAGTTGTATGTAGTAGAAATAAGTTATTTTTTACATAAAGCAATTAAATTTTTTTTATTCCTATGCTATAATAGTTCCTGTTTCTATGAGTGTTTCCTAATATGTGATTGCCTGCCTCCTGCGTGGCTCGAACCTGCAGCCCTACGTAATAACCTGTTTCTAACGACCTATTATTCTGACCTCTACGCCAAAGACGTTATTGCTGTGGATGTGTCTCAATAATCACTGCTCTTATTAATGAGTGAGGAAGAAACTGCAATACCAACCGAGATTTATCGGCAAAGAATATTAAAAGAGAAAATGTACATACATAGAGAGACGAGAGAGATAAGTGACTACACATAGATAAATGTCTGTATGTATATTAATACCGAAACCAAAACGTTTTCCTTAATATTATGAATCTCATAATTCAGACACAACTATTTCAAGCACTATGTGGTTTTTAATTTTATTATTTATTAATCTTCAGTTTATTATTCATAGATAAAAATAAAAAAATGAATACGAAAATTTCTCAAGATTGCGTCAGGGAAAGGGATTTGAACCCGCGTCAAAAGTATGAATATCAAAAATTAGTGCGTATACTGATCATCAGTGCCACAGAGCCATTTGAATAGTTTTGCAGATTCAGTGGATATAATGTTTTCAATTATCTGCATTACTTATCTTTTTAAGGAGAGCATATTTGCTGTAAGTGAGGACAGAAGTTTTTTTCATGTCCAAGTTATGTGACCATAGTTAGTTGGCTGGTTAGTTGAATTATTTTTTTGGCACGTCTTTCCTATATACGTGTATGTATGTATGACGGTACATGCAATACTTATGCATATGCATTTATATGATATCTAATAGTATGTGTAAAGCCATTCAAAGACAAAAATTGTGTACTATTCTTATGAATTCATTCATAATTGCAAGACATTCATACGTGTAAACGTAGTAACAACTTTACATGTGCAATCTAATTACTCCTCTACAAACTTCTCTATTCCACTAACAAACCCACTTCCCTTCTGCTCTTTATCCCCAAAACAGTTTTCTCAAAAGGAAGTCAAATTTTGAGTCATCCATGTATAACTGGACACGTATATATTAATATAAAAATGCATCGATTTTGTATTGGATACTGTATATTGGATATATATGAAATGTACATTAGTTTTATTTAAATTTATACTCCATCAATTCACAAACAAAACAATTCGTCCACTACAACATTTCACAACACATCACCGTTTATACAATTTATGCTATGTATTTCTTAAATAATTGGGGGTTTAATTTTTTTGATACGCTTTCTAGCGCTTCAACAGATCGCTGCTCCGAACTGAAAAGGTGTGAAGAGGAAACGAATTCCATTACAATATGCTTTTTTCCCCAAAGGCCAATTAGCGATACTGTCATGCCGCTTCTTATTTAGATAGATTCTTTGATATTATGAACAAAATGGTTTTGATTTATTAACATTTCAAATAAAAATAAATTAATTAACACATATGTAGATAAAAATTATTATTTTAAAAAATAGGTGAAGTAACTAATTTTCCTATGTTAGGGCAGGAAACTACGCCATTTAAAGTTAAATTAATGAAAACCAAAACGAAGCACTAAAATAATAACATATATACCACTAATGGTGAAGAGGAAAGTGTCTGTTGTAAATGCATGCCATTGTATTTATTGAATGTGTGACTAAATCAATACTAGGATTCTACTAAATTGGTCAAATGTATTTCGCCTATAATCGCGTATGCGATGTCAACGCCAATAAAGAAAGAAGAAGATTGCAACTTTCTGAATCCAAAACTTTGAAAAACGGAAAAATGCAATATGGAAACATTTCAGGCGGGGTGGGCCTCGCACTTGAGCCAGATAGCTTAGAATAACGAGGTAATTCGTGCGAAATGCCAGAATTGTCGAAAAATATAAGAGATAATTTCACCACTCCCGCCTCTAATTGTAATGAAATGTATTTAAGCTTCAGCTTCACCAAAGCGTCAAGGTGAAGACATGTCCTCTTCAATATAATATATCCGACGGAGGTTCCCTGATTTCATTGAGTGCCCTCATTCATTTGAAAAACATGATCCAACCAACGTAGCTGCTGTCGCTTTCGCCGTATGTCTTGAACAACCTGCCAAATTATAGAAAAGTAATTTTCCTAATTGTGGTCCCCCTCGACAGGGACTGTCAAGCTCTGGCACGAAATAAAAAACTTCTCATTAAAATCAATTAGCCGTTGAGAGGTGCTTAGTTAAAAAAACATTTACTGTATGGAATACTTTAAAAACAGGAGTGCCCTCATTCATTTGAAAAACATGATCCAACCAACGTAGCTGCTGTCGCTTTCGCCTTATGTCTTGACTTACACCACGAGCAGAAGCTCGGGCGAAAATAGCTTCAGCTGTTACAAAGCGCCAAATACGTGTTATTTGACTTAAAAATGAATACAAATATGGAAATAAAATAAAATTATAGCTTTCTGAGGAAAAGTCGGAAAATTTAAAGATTCCACAAGTCACTTTTTTCGATACAAGTTTTTTTAATTTGTTTTCTTCTGATTTGTTTATTAAACAGTTTTCGTTTGTTGATGAATATACATAACCTCATTTCCATTGGAATTGATTTGTATTACTACTTCAGCAACGATTGAGAAGAAGATTCCACGAGTTCCTTTTAGTACCAATTATTTGCCATTTCAGTTGAAACGTTGGAAAAATTTTGTTTATCAAGCTGCTTTACGTTAAAAAATGTAGACAAATCGTAAATAAATGATTATCAACACAATATATATTCAACTAATTCCTGGTATATGTCTTGAAGTCTTTCTCAAACATGACAAACTGAAAATAATAATAATTGACATCAATCGTTCGATCCAAAAACTTTGCCAAGAATCTTCAAATATGGATTTCGACATAAACAATGTATATTAGGTATGTATGCCTATATATTGATATGCAATTTTTTGATATATTAGATATAATAGCATGAATACTTTATGTTAAACACATTAAATCTAAATTAAATTTTTATAATCCTTACAGATCTCCAGTGTTTGGTACGAATTAGCTCGCAATCTAGCTCCAAAAACTGTTTACCGTGCTCACAACCTAACTGCTTTGTTACTGCTTTGCTGAACAATGTGATATTTCCTTCACACACTCAAACACAGCTGATTTCCCATTTGTTAACCAAACAATGTATTCTTATATTTTTGCTCAGCACAACAACACGCAAGGCTATAATATTTCATTCACGGTGTATAATAAAGTATACCCTTATTCCACGTACAAGGCGCTCGATACAAATTACCTAACTTATATATACGTTTGTGGTTATACTAATGTCTTTGACTTCAGCACTTTTTTTGGAATAATAATAACTCGACAGCGCATATTCAATTCTAGTGTTCTTACAGAGTACGAAAACATAGCACAATCAAAATATAGGCGACAATATCTCAAACTTTAGAGTAAGTATATCTGTTCAATTAAACTTTGCTGCATACTAATTTTTTTATCCATAAAATAGATGTACTTCCAGTTATGGAGCTGTGACTATAAAACTGGTTTCATATGTTATGGCGTTGTTTTATGTTGCAATCTCTTTGTTGTAATAAAATAAAAAATTTCCAAGCTCCAAGCTGTTGGAATTGTACTATATAAATTCTCATTCTTTCGTTACGATTATAACAACTTTACACATTAAATATGATTTGACTTCAGCAGTCGTTTCTTTAGGCTCATGCTTATCATTTGTAAAAAATATAACGTTGAGTGGCAAGTTTTTGATAATAGCTGAATACACACTTCGGATTGATAATAAAAAAATATTAAATTTTAATATGATTTATTTAAATGGAATCAAAATCAGTAGAGAGTTTATCAACGTTAGCGATTTATTGATTGTTATTGCATCCAGTATCATTTTTGTTCAATTGATTTATTCAACAGAGCGAACCGCGTTATGCTTTCTTCTCTTGAGATTGATTATATTTAATTTAATGTAACATAATTTATGAATTTTATTTAAGTGAATAATAAAAAATAAGGATATCATAATTAGTAAAATGAAAAATCTTCTATATTTGAGGAAGAAGCAAAAGCTTAAGAAGCTCTTCGAGATCGTCTAGCTGAAACAAGAATATGATATAATTCGATATAAGAACCGTAGGAAGGTTAGCGTTAGATCAGTTGGTTATATGTGGCAAAGAGTAGGTTAGTATCTAGCAAGTTAGACGGAGGACTTTATCGTTAAGGTCATTTGTTCTTCCATATTTTTTCCATGATTGCTGTGTCGACTTCTCACTGCTTCTGAAGGGCTTTGCCAAATCTCAAGGAGAAAGCATGGCTACCAGCATTATGAAATATTCTGTCGTGTTTGTATATTTCGCATTAAGCATTAGATATAGTAATATTTTTAATTCTACAAAAAAATATTACGCACTCGATAAATCCCAATTTCAAAGTTGTTTGAAACTAAATATAATATTTTTAGGTGAAATAGGTTTTCGGAACATGCCCAATTCATTTTCAAAAACAAAATGAAGTTGAAATGGATTTTTTAGATTGCAGAACAAAAAAAATATAGAACTAAATTATTTTTATTTCACTTTCTCTCGCAAGCAGCCAGATTCCCCCTTCTTCTTCAAATATATTTCATCGTTGACTGGTAGAAAAGAATTAGTAATTTTTAAATATTGAAAGTCACGTGCAAACTAACCAAAAACTACTTACTGAGAGCTAAAAATCCTTAAATATTCAATGTTTTTGGTCGCCTGTCTCTTGGATTTTTCGTTTATAATTCAGACACTCCTCTTGTTCTTTTGACTGGAGGTGGGCAACGTTAGGTTGGTCGTCGAAAATAAATATATATTCAGATGTTATTTGCCACTGTTTATTATTTATGTAACTAACTACCACTACATATTATTTATGTAACAAATGTTTCAAAATCAACCCCGACACATTCAAATTTTAACTACACAAATGAACAGCAAATGATTTATATATGCACGAGTGTAATGATTATTGCTACTACTATTATTACTACCTTCGTATGACAATAATTCTAAATAATTAAACTATCATCTATATATGTACGTCGAATTAAGCCTAATTACTATTGAAATAAATGTAACATCCAATCAGCACGGAAATTCACGAACAAGTTTATAGTAAATAGTAGTACTGGAAGACTGAATTAAATATCAAATAACCAAAGTATTTATATATCCTGACACAATAAGCCCACGATATAGCTATTAAAATTTTTTTTCATCTACGTAATATCTCGCCTTCATGCGGTTGTTAGAATATAAATTTTTCATAAATTACGAAGTAAATTACAAATTTTGAATTATTGTATTGTATTACATAGTAATAAAAGACATTCGGAATTGCGTATGGACACCATGAATTCTATTTTTTAATTTCCTGAAAAGTTACTAAATCATAAAGCTGCAAATTTATCGTATTTCATATATGTTTAAGTGATCCGATTTGCCTTGTCCTGACAAATTGTTATCTTACCAATTTTGATTGAAATATTTCTTAAACGGTCTATTTTGCATACAAACATGCGGGCACTGCTAAATCAACTCAGCTCGACTTTCTGATCCGATCGGTATACATTTTATTAAGCCTATCTATTCCCTTTGTGGTACTTACATATTTCATGTTCATTAAAGGTATAAAAATATTATCTAAGTATGTACTATTTTCTCACTCAGAATTCAATTAACTTCAAATGATGCAGTCGTAATCACTACATAGTATTATCTCATTTTTAAATAAAGGGTGATTTTTTAAGAGCTAGAGGAAAGTTTTTCAAAAAACAAACACGTAAAATTCAGAAAAATGCATGAAATCTTTATTTAAATAGACTGCGCCTCAAATGGTCCATCCGCTTAGTCCAGTTTTGGCATATTTTTCCAACATTTCGTCCGGTATCTCAAGAATAAATGTTTCAATATTGTCCTCCACACAACCACAAAAAACAGTATGAAGGCGTTAAATCGCACGATCTAGGCGCAACGTGTGTGTGGCACCGTCTTGTTGAAACCTACACACCACATGTCATGCAAGTCAAGTTCTAGCATTTTGGTCAAAAAAGAGTTTGATATCAAACTGTGCCTTTTTCTGGATGCATTGGTAGCTCTTGCAACGCTCCTGGATGATCCTCACTCTAAAATCGGCAATTCTGTTTATTTACGCACCCATTAAGTCAAAAAGAGCTTCGAAGAACGCATGGAAGAAGCGCGCGATGAACTTTCTTAACAGAACACGCATTTTGATAATCAAATTAATTAGTAATTTGCAAGCGTTGTTCGTTTGTAAGACGATTCATGGTTAAATTATAGGCCAAACTGAAGATGTTCGACAGTGATACAAAACACGAAACAAGCGTCGGCTGTTTAAACCAGTGTTGCCAAAAAGATAACAGCTAAAAAAATCACCCTTTACATATATATGTATGTGCATACATATACATTTTAGCAAAAACATTATTAAGTAGTGGCCTTGCTGTGAGTATAACACCATTCTCGTTAAAAAACGTGTGTTATAACGTGAGAGCAAGTGCTTGCCTACTTGTATTGAAATAACGACGATTCAGAAACTACAGTTTCGTATCATACATCAAGCTGTTCAGACATTCAGACAAATAGTTTCACAAAACAAATTAAGTGTTCAATAATTCAGAATTCAAAAAAAAAATCAATAAGAAAATTATTTTAATATATCTTTTTTAGATTGTCAACGCTGTGAAAAAAACGAAAAATATGTCAACTAATTTTATTATTAACGGCTCTAAGTACACCGGTAATTACAAACATACTCACATTATAATTTTTACAACGAATTAAAAAAATTATATGTATATTTTAGTCAATCTTACAAATCTTCCACCTGACATCAGTCTTAATACTTTCATACGAGAACACGCCCAGTTAACAGCTACCAAAAATATGTGTTTAGAAGGCGGTTGTGGAGTTTGCGTTTGCGTTGTTAAAGGTAAACATCTCCAAAGCGGTGAAATTCGTACATGGACCGTCAATTCAGTGAGCACTCTGACAAAAGCATTTTTATTTAGACAAAAATATTGTATATTATTTGTTAATAGTGTTTGACATTGCTAAATACTTGCGCGGATTTGGAGATTATTACAGCGGAAGGCATTGGTAACAAACTTATTGGCTATCATCCAATTCAGAAACGCCTGGCCAAGATGAATGGCACGCAATGCGGGTTTTGTTCGCCTGGATTTATCATGAACATGTATGGTCTACTTGAGTCGAAAGGTGGAAAGGTTTCAATGTCGGAAATAGAGAATTCATTTGGCGGCAATATTTGCCGCTGCACTGGCTATCGTCCTATACTTGATGCCATGAAATCTTTTGCTGTTGATAGCAATATTGAAATTCCCAAGGGGTGTGAAGATATTGAAGACTTTGGAATTTCAGCTTGTAAAAAAACTGGTATTCTCTGTGCAGGTAGCTGTCATAAGCCACTAGATATACTAATCTACTCAGATGGAACTCAATGGCATTGGCCCCGGACACTTACCGAGTTATTTGATGCGTTATCTAAAATAGGCAATGAGGAGTTTATGTTTGTTGCTGGAAATACAGCTCATGGCGTTTATAGGCGATCGCAGGGATTGAAACATTTTGTTGATATTCAAGCTGTGCCTGAGTTGAAACAATTTTCGATTAGCGATGAAAAATTGACACTGGGAGGAAACCTAAGTTTGGCTGAAACAATGGATGTTTTCTCACAAGCGTCTCAGAAATCTGGTTTCGAGTACTGTCAGAAATTGTGGGAGCATTTCGATCTTATTGCAAATGTTCCAGTTCGTAATGTGAGTTATATTATTTTTATATTATTCGAGGATTGCATCATTTTTACTGTCATAAATAAACTCATTATCGACCGATGTCAACTGTACTAGAATATCTTTAATATGTAGATTCAAATCTATTACTTGAAATTCGGTACATAGGTGGTTTTTTGCTAAGATTGACAGGAAGACTGCATTTCTCTCCCGGAAGCGGACCTGGGTATGATCTATTAAAAAAATTCGATTTTATTTGATTTTCTTGAACTCGATACATAGGTAGCATTTTGCTTGGTCTTGCAGGAACATTACTTTTGTTTCCAGAAATAGTACCTAGGACCGATCTATTCGAAAAAATCGTCTCTATGGTTTGAAATAATATATAAAGATTTTCGGAAGTGGACCAAGAGTCACCGAGCAGATATTTGATTACTTTGGTCCATTCCATAACCCGATATATGGGATCGTTCGTTGACTTCAGCAGAAGCTTTGTTGGTAAGCACGCTCGTGCATATTCGGGATCTGTTTCCTTGCATTTAAGTGCTAATAGACGAGCAACTCCATAGTGACATGACAATTGTTAGTATGGGCTACATGAACTTTTCTTATCTGAAACCGCTTGGTGTAATTTCAGTAATTTGATGAGTATTTGCCAAGTTCGCGTGTTGACAAACCACCTTTGTGATTTCATATTTTCAAATATATTTTTATTTTCAGAACAATCGCCTGCTGAGTTGATTTATTTTTCTAATTTAAACCATTGATGCGAAAAGGACTCATAATCTTATTGTTTAAAAACCCCGAAAATGAATCTAATTTTGAGAGAAATCAAAAATTAGATACATTTTCTAGGGCTATTAGTGTTTTCGAGAGATACAAGGTAAATTCTGAGGAGCTTCGTAGAAGTTTTTGTGAGTTATTTTTCACGCGCGGTTACTGAATTTTAGCAGTATTTGTATAGTTAAATCAGGCAGCTCGACAACCGAGTCACTGAATATTGCTGTGGTCCATGCAGTTTCAGTTCTTGGGTAAGCGTGTTTTCGAACATCATGGTACAGCTGTAGGTACTTTTATATACTTTTAAGGGCGGTGTGCGAAATATCTGCGTAACTCTGATCGGACGTTCTTGGTAACCCCATAGCGAGGCAGCCAACGAAAAAAGTGGTCGATCTTCAAAGGGTAATCAATGACTGCTGTGTAAGCACTCTGATAAATACACGATTTTCGTTTACCAATTAGCGAAAAGTTTGTTATGAAGTGTGCAATTGTGGCCCGAGAAAGAGGTGCAACTGCAAATGTAACTCATTCTATTAGCTTGATCATGATCAATTCAATAACTAGGTCATAGAATTGAGTTGGGTTTACAAAATTTATATTCATGACTGGTAACTAAAGAAAGGCGGCTATATTTAAGTTTTCATTTCATATTATTAAATCCTACATTTAATTTATTAACATTGTACCCAAAAAACTTAACTCATAATTTTTATAGTTATTAAAAAAACTTAATTTGTTTGATTATGCAGACTGGGACACTTGGTGGAAACATCAGTATAAAAAAAAAATATCCCGAGTTTCCTTCGGATGTTTTCATAACATTCGAAGCCCTCGATGTGCAAATTGTTGTCGGCGAAGATTCTACTACTCAAAGGACAGTTTCACTGCAGGAATATTTATCACTTACCAATAAAACACTAATCATTATTGCGTTCGAATTAAAACCTTACCCAAAAGCAAATTTCTACTTCGATTCATACAAAGTAAGAATTTTAGTATGTATAATACCTTGCCCCATTGTGATATTTAATGATTTTTTTTACGCAATAATTTTTTGGTCCATCGAATTTTAGATTATGCCAAGAGCTCAAAATTCGCATGCATATGTAAACGCTGCTTTTTTATTAAATATTAGTCTGCCTGCAGGAAAGGTTATCTCCGCTCGTATATGCTTTGGAGGTATCAATCCAGATTTTATTCATGCCAAAGCGATAGAGTCTGCTTTAGTTGATCAATATTTATTTGATAAAAACACAATTTCCAATATCTTTGAAAATCTAAAAAGCCAACTAGAGCCCAACGCTATTCTTCCGGACGCTTCACCTGAATACCGACTGAATCTAGCGGGAGGATTACTTTACAAGACTTTGTTAAGGATAGCGCCCAATGACAGTGTAAAAGAAGAATACAAGTCCGGTGGCAACTTACTTTATCGACCTCTTTCATGCGGAATGCAATCTTTTGATACAATCGAAAAAAATTATCCAGTCACTCAAGCAGTACAGAAAATTGAAGGTAAGTCGTACGCTCCACAAAGAAGATTTTTTTTTAATATTATCGTATTTTCAGTTTATTAATTGTATACAAAATTGATGTAGCTTTATATGCTTCATAGCCTTCAAACCATATGAACAATAGCTAACATTTTTTCCTGATCACAAATCATATGTTTTTCATGCTTGCTAATTCTTCCAACTGAAAGCCAAAATTTTGCTCTCTCGTTAAAAATTTTACTGTTTTTTTGTTTAACCGAACGCTGCTCTACAATTGTTGTTACTGCCCATCAAGTCACTGATCAGGACTAATGTTATATAAGCGTTTAAAGTATTACACCCTTACCACTCTAAAAAAAAACGGCTCAATAGCGCAATCTAGAGAGTCTTATCACTTTTATATACTTCCACTTTAGAAGAATAATTAGATACTACTTCAATAAAAGAAAAAATTACATATAGATCTTGCTTGATTCACATGATATTTATAACTTACGCAAAAAACGATAAAAGGAAGGTAAGGGACAGATTCGATACAATGGTCTTAACGGTATATTTTTACTTTCCTTAGTTTAAAAGACCTAACTACTTAGTAATTCATATAGAAAGCCACAACAGATATTTGCATTTACATCTATGTATACATTTATAGAAAAAATTTTACAGTTAAATAAATGTAGCTATCGTAACTCTTAAATATTACTTTTATCGAAAAAAGAAAATTGTAATAATACATAGCACTATCGTTCCTTATAATTAGCTATGATTCAATGCTCGGGTGAAGCCACTTACATGAATGACGTAATAACCACATCCAATTCTATTTTTTGTGCATTTGTCAATGCAACAAAAGTTGGGGCAAATATCGAACAGGTTGATGCTTCTGATATTTTGCAAATGCCTGGTGTCGTTGCTTTTTATACTGCCAAAGATATTCCTGGAACGAATTTGTCATGCGACCCATCTTTTGGTTATGATGTGGAGGAGATTTTTTGCAGTGGTGTTGTTAAATATTATGGTCAACCCTTGGGCGTTTTGGTGGCACTGACACACGATATTGCTAACCACTTAGCTTCTAAAGTTAAAGTGACGTATTCCAACAGCGTCTATAATGTTTTGCCTACAACTTCTCATGTATTTGAAGCCCAAGAACTTGAAAGGCTACATAAGGTCAAATCCTCAGCCCTAAAAAATATACAATTTTCACAAAAGCCGGATATTAGCTCCAAAGGGGTTTTTGAAATCGGTGGACAATACCATTTTACTATGGAACCACAAACCACCATAGCTGTTCCATTCGAGGAAGGCCTGCAAGTCTGGACAGCAACGCAGTGGATGGATCATACTCAAAGTGTAATTGCAAAAATGTTGCAAATTAAGGCAAACGATGTGCAGTTGAAAGTCAGACGGCTTGGTGGGGGATATGGAAGTAAGATTACGCGAGGAAATCAAGTTGCTTGTGCTGCTTCATTAGTCGCATACAAACTTAATCGTCCAGCGCGGTTCGTGCAAACAATCGAATCGATGATGACTGCCAACGGAAAACGTTGGGGTTGTCGATCCGATTATGAATTTCATATAAAATCTAATGGAAAGATTGTGGGTATGGAAAATACATTTTATCAGGATGCAGGGTGCACCCTAAATGAAAATCCTATTAAAGGACACTCCGTTGTGTGTGCGAAAAACTGTTATGAGCTTTCTGACTCCAATTCAAAAATTGTTGCTGAAGCTGTCATTACTGATGCTCCAAGTTCCACTTGGTGTCGAGCTCCAGGATCAGTAGAAGGAATAGCAATGATCGAAAATATTTTAGAGCATATAGCATTTGAAGCTAATATTGATCCTGTTGATGCACGATTGGCAAACATAAAATCTGGTAATAAAATGGAAGAACTTCTACCACGATTTATTAAGTCAACGGATTATAAAAGAAGACGAGAAGAAATTGACAAATTTAACGACAAAAATCGCTGGATTAAACGTGGTCTAGGCGTGGCTATAATGGAATATCCAGTTTTTCTTTTCGGTCAATACCCAGCTACAGTTTCCATATATCATGTTGATGGGACTACAGTTATTTCTCATGGAGGTATAGAAATGGGGCAAGGTAAGTATAATATAATCTTACATATGTATATATGTGTGTATATTGAAGTCAATAATTTTCTTATTTTCAATACTAAGGCATGAACACCAAAGTAGCACAGGTGGCCGCTCATACACTCGGCATTCCCTTATCATATATTAAAATCGAGTCCAGTGATACTATCAATGGCGCTAATTCCATGGTGACTGGAGGTGCAGTCGGTAGCGAAAGTCTTTGCTTCGCCGTTCGAAAAGCATGTGAAACACTTAACGACCGTCTTAAGCCAGTTAAAGATGAACTAGGAAAAAATGCTGGCTGGTTGAATATTGTGCAACTAGCTTGGACCAAATCAATCAATTTAATAGTTAGCGATCACTACAAAAAGGGGGACATGGAAAATTACAGTGTGTATGGGTTGGCGTTAACCGAAATGGAAATAGATATCTTGACCGGAAACAACCAAATAAAACGTGTTGATATATTGGAGGATGCTGGAGAAAGTCTCAGTCCCTATATTGATATAGGTCAGGTGGAAGGATCATTCGTAATGTTATTGGGCTATTGGCTTACGGAGCAATTGATCTATGATAGGCAGACGGGAGAGCTCTTAACTAATCGAACGTGGAATTATAAACCACCAGGCGCGAGGGATATTCCTATTGATTTTCGTATAGAACTACTACAAAAGAATCCTAATCCAGCCGGATTTATGAGGTCAAAGGCAACAGGCGAGCCACCATGCTGTTTGGCAGTGAGTTCAATTTTTGCTATTCAGCACGCTCTACAGTCGGCTCGTAAAGATGCGGGACTTAAACGAGAATGGGTCCGATTAGGCGCTCCAACAACACCAGAGACCATTGTACTAAATTCTGGCACTGATATTTCAAAGTTTTCTCTGGTTTAATTCGACTTTCCGCTTATTAAGTTTTATATGTATAAATTAAAACTCAAACTTCTTTGGTGACGGGGCACATGGGCACACTTAAATAGCTCTATATATGTATGTAAGTTTATGTTTCTTGTTGTAAACGGCAGTAAAAACTAAACTAGCATGTAAAAATTCCAGTTCTGAACTATAATTTAAATCAATGTTCGACATTCTACAGTACTTATTTACACATGCAACATCTGTACACTCTGTTATTTAATAATATAATACAGGGTTATTAATAATGTCGTTTCGAAAATAAACGTAAATAATTTTATTTAAAATAAGCTTCGATACTTTTAAGGTAATTTGCGACCACTTTTTGGCACATATCGGGCAGTATACCAACATAATTTGACGAATGTTGGTTCTCGGTGGCCAATTGACATCGCCAAGATGAGCGATTGCGCGGCCTGGATATTTCTCTCATAATAAAGCCATATTCTCGGGTGGTTCGTAGCACCATATTGTTGAAAATAAATACTGTTCAAGTTGTTTTCTTCAATTAAACACCAATAACTCGACACACCAATTTTAACGTTAAACATTACCTGTTAACAATTTAACATCAACGACAGCCTTTTGTTTCAGCAGCGCGTTGTTACTAAAAGAACTATATAAAAAATAACAATATCGTACATGTATAAATTTCGTACTATTATTTAATTTAATTTATAACAAGCTTTTCACAATTTCCCGTACAAGGTCTATAAACTACCTCGAAATTAATTCTAACATTCTGCAAATTTCGGTGATAATTTCGGATTTTTTAATTGAAATCTGCTGATGGGCTTGCATCACCCGCAGGCTGCTCATGACTGGCTGGATGAGTGAAATCTCGTGCGTTGGCGACACCATCATGCTTAATAGGTATAGCCATACAGGTGACGTAATCTGCAGCGTTAGTAATGTGTATATCTTGTATTTTCGTTTAATTATATAATCACTGTGCAGTACAATAGTGCGCACTAAATAAATATACATACTAATAATTCTAAGATGAAAAATAAATAAGAGATAGTTACATTTTCAGGCAAAGCGACTAATCGCACCAGATCGTCACAGCGCATATTGCTGTACATAATTAATTATTTTGCTTTCAATTATTGAAAGAAAATGTTTCCGGCACCGACTATTATTAAATTACTAATTATTAAAGTATACGTAATAAGCTTAAATAAAAAGTTTATTATTGTTTGTTTTTTGGTTTTTCGGGATATACATTTCCTTTCAAATTTCATTTTATAATTTTTTGTGACCTTTATTGACTAACTACAACATCCCTCATTTCTTATTACAGTTTTTGTCACACAATTTACAATAAGCCACTGTTGTGGTATGTTGTTAATTTTTCAATTTTATGTGGGACCAAACTTCCCAGTAAACACGATCTGAGGTAACGAATTATGCGGGGTTAGACTATGCCTTATCCAATACAGAAAGAATTCTCGAAATTGGACTACGTGGTAATGAGACATACCGCATTATGCGTTTAAATAGTAAATCATCCCCCTTTCCAACCTCTCTGGCAAAATATTTTTTTCCAAGTTTTGTGGGACCAACTTCAAAGTATACTCTATCGAATACAGAGACAATAATCGAAATCAGACTATTGGTTAAATTTTTTTTCCCAAATACCTATGAGACCAATTGTTAGCTATACGATTTCCAATAAACAATAAGAATTATCATAATCGGACCACTCTGTAAAAAGTTATGCGTGGTCAAACATAAAAAATATATACGTGGTAACTTAGGAACATCTCTTTCGTCGTTTAAAAATACACATCATTGTTCTCTCCTATGCTCGTGTGCCCAGTGTGATTTGCTATATGAGTTTATATTGCTGTTATTGTTGTTGTTGTTGTTTTTGCTATATGAGTTTATATTGCTGTTATTGTTGTTGTTGTTGTTGTTGTTGTAACCACAGAATTATTTCTCAAAGTAATTTTTGGGGTATGTCGCCTCTTACGACAGCCATGCCTTACCGCAGGTAAATTTTTAAATACCTAACCCGCATGAGGTTTACGAGTTTATCGTTTAAGGGACTGCAGAGATATTCACCGAATCTATTGATATAAAATTTATTTCACTGAATGATTGCTTGAAAATTGCAAGATAATCGATGTTAAATTTAAAAATAATTTTCATTTCACTTCTTGTTTTTCTTTCGAAATAAAAAAATTAAAAAATATTTCTCTAATTTCTTTAGCATTTGTTGAAATACTAACAAACACCAAAAAAAATCTGACCACGAACGAATTGTTATATTTAGGAGCACCTTATAAAGATTTTTAGCAGAATGTGCATCTAAAAAAATTACGACCAGTAATCGAAAGACTACTTCTTATACGGAGGCGTCGAAACCAAAAGAACATTACGATAATGAACCATCAAATACAACACCTTACCGGATGCTTGCAAGGTTTTGCTTGCGATAAATAAATACCAATTGTTTAACTTTCTATTTCGAACAGCACTAATGTGTACATTTTTTGTTTATCTTTCTCTTCTTAGTACATACAAATTGAAGTAGAGTTCAGTTGAACGGATTATTCGTTATGAATATGTATAAGTATAATTTTTGTCAAATCTGATTTCCTTCGGCATCAATGCTGTCGCTCATCTGTGTTCGGTTTGAACGGCATTTCTGCGTTTTTTTACTTCAATATTGTTTTCTTTTGGTATCAATGTTGTTGCTCAGCTGTGTTCTGAATGTAAACATCACATTTGTCATTTCGGCATTAAGGAAGTGATGGGAAAACCGCTCTACGCGACGACGGGATATGACATCATGCATTCCTGACATATGTTGGCTCGAATGATCGGAAGCCTTTTTGCAGGGTCATTCATGGCAAATTGTATGAACAGCTTTTGCCAAATTCAATAAGTAATTTAAAACAAGTCAGAGAAGAAGAAAAAAAATTTTAAATTTATGTCGAAATATGCTGCGGTCATAAGAGATTACTAGAATAACAGCACTTCTTTAATTACTTGTAACGCTGTGCAGACAGTTGTATTTTATATAATTGATTATAATTATTACATAAACGTAGTTTTCTTTAAAAAAAAATGTATATGTATACTAAACCTTTGTTTGTTATGATGAGTTTGATTCAGCTAAAATTAGCAATCTCGTTGCCTTTATAATGCACTCAAAATTTTTCGAACATTTGAGATAGTGAAGATAAGAGCCTAAAAATAGCGGTATCAAAATGGGCATATTGGCCTAAGTCAATTCAACTCAAATCAAAAAAGCCTATGTACATTTTTTGATTTGAAAGAAGTCAAAAACCTAATTTAAAAATTTTCAGCTATTCAATTAGAATTCAAAACAAAAAATATATACAAACATCACACTATTGTGTGTATTTTTTTAATCTCATATATACGTGAAAAGATAGAAACAAAAAATCTTTGTAACTCTCAGACAGAGTATAGGAATTCTCACTCACTGCACATTAATGCATATACTCGTATGTGAACGTGTTAACATAATACAAAAAAAAAAGAAATATTTGATCTTACCACTTATAAAATATTCAACTGGGAGATTATTTTATTGTAATTGGGATTATCACCTAAGCAGGTGCTATAATATTGAATACACGTACGGATCTATTAAAATATTTATTTCAAACCGTTCTTCTTAGGCTGCAGAAGTAAGAAAAGAATTTGGCAGATGCTTTTTATTATAAATAAAATGGAAAGTTGTAATTTTTTTTACTTTTTCTTCGAAACTAAGACCTATAGGATTTTCGACTATATGCGAAAATTCAGTATTTTTGGCGGCTACCTGGACATAGGGACACCCCAGTGATCTGTGCCGATGAGCTGACCGAGAACAATCATAACCCGGAGAAATTCTGAGCATAGTATGCTAGGTATACCTCTTTCCTCGGCTAAGTATTTGTTAAGACTAGCCTTCACCAGAAGGGCCATTGACTGAAGTGAAAAGAACTAAATCTCTACTCCTTTTAATCATAACCTCCATAACTATAAAAACCGGCGTGTTAACGGGACACTGTGTGGTGGAGACTCATGGTAGAAGGATGGTCTGTTTCTAAAAAAACTTTTTGGTCACTGTCCAGTTCTCAGTGTTTTCTTCGTAAAATACACCAAGTGGTTTGAGCATCTTGAATAGTGAGAGGAATTTTCTTCCCAGAACTCTTAGATTGAATTCAAAAGTGTTTGGGAATTTAATCGACTAAAACTATTTTAAGCGTAATTAAGAGAATTTTATAATTAATTTGCGCTACTCTAAAAAACCAACAATTATTAAAACAATATGCTGTCTGCTTACGAAATTTCCTTGATAAACCTCCAAAACTGTGAGATTCAGCTCCACATCTTCTTAAATTCGATTTAAAATTGGTGGACGAATCTATTCTCCTTGTGATACTTTCTTAAAATTTAGTAAAGTTGCAATAAACAACCATGATATTCATACACTTGATGAAAGTTACTATAAGGGGTTGCAAAATAAAACATAATGTTCCACGTTATGTTTTTTATCGTTTATCTAAAAATGGTAGATTTTTTTAAAAGGAGAAGGTAGCACGGAAAAGACGAAATTCTAGTTAAATACCAGTATGTTGAAGATGAAACATACCAGTTCGTTATTTGTAAAAAAGTCCACCAGGAAAAATAACCACCACTGTTTGTTTTTGTTATGTCGGCAGACCGCGGCAGAATTCTAATCTCTGCTCTGTTTTATTGAAGTGTGCAATATGACATTGATTGTTAAATCGTCATGATAGCCGAGTGGTTAAGCCCCCCGTTCGAGTTCCGCTATAGGCATATTAATTTTTATAACTAATATTTTTTTTGTAATATTTTGTGAAACAGAATTTTTTAATTTTGGTGAAACAGAATTTTTTACCTCCACGTCAGTCGCATGTTGTTTTTGTTTTTAGTATGACACAGCTGAGCTTCATTTCCTAAAAAGTTCCGTTGAAGTGCGCAGATTTCGCCCCTCCATATATAATAATGATAGTCTGGTGGTTAGAGGTCTAGTTGACAACTAGTATTTTCTCCTGCAGGGAGGTTGTAAAATCTAAAACATCATACAGTGGTTCACAACCAAAGTGATGCAAAAACTTGTCACGAATATTTAATGTTGAGGCACTTTGCAACAAATTTCTTTTCAAATTGTCCAAATATACAGTTTTATTAATAGAACTCTTGATGAAATCCAAATTTCCAACTCCAGAAGACGATGCATCCCCATACCATTATATGCCATTCACCATGTTTTTGGTTTTCTCCATACATAGCTCTTTCTATCTGATTTCGATTTTTGATTTCGAGCACTGACATATGGTTTATTTCGAGCTGTGCGGCCATTGATATCTGCTTCTCTTAAGATTCCTCGTATGGTTTCTGGGTTACAGCCTTTTCCAATTTATTTATTGTATTTTAGCACTTCTTTACCTAAAATTGCAGCACTAAATTAGGGGTTTTCGTGTATTTTCCGTACAATCCATCGGAAGTCACCTGTGTTAAATATTTCATTATGAGCCGTTTTAGTTTTATTTAACACACGACCTTCACGAACATAGCGTTCAATGAAATGCTGTACAGTTCCACGGCTCAATTTCACCAGTTCAGCGATTTTCCGCTGACTTTTTCCATCTTTAACATGTTTTAGGACAATTCGGGCACTTCAATAATAATACTACAATATCAAAATTATCTCATATTACACCAAGTTTGCTCGCGATTATAGCCGAATTTATATTGCATCCAAAAATCGTCGTTAGCTAGCTGCATCACTTTGGCTGTGAGCCACTGTACATAAATAAGCAGCGAGTGAGAATTTCTGTACTCTGCCTTCGATACACACACTCTAGAACATGATCTACTTATCGGTCTTTCTTTCTCAACTCGTATTCGTTTTCGGCAATTTCACAACAATATTCTGTACTTAAGAACTGACTTCTGCTAAACGACAATTTTTTAATGAAATTATCTTTTTATAAATGCATATTTACCTTGAATGAATGCCAGTGGCCGCTTTGGCAGCAGTGTAGCATTGTGTGCTTAAGTCGTTGGTTCCTGGTTCGAGCCATATCCAGACCACCATCTAAAAGTTTTTTTTCTTAATGCGGTCGTCCACTGGAAATGTTAATTTCTCCGAGTAAATTTGTCTTGATATATAAAAGCTTCTCAGAAAAATCCACCAGTCGTTCAAAGGAAGAAATACATTTTTGATATAGACATCAAGAGACACACAAAAAATTGTTAGAAGAAAATCGGCCGAACACCGCTCAAGCATTTGTAAGGCGTCAATTATTTGATTATCTGTTTACATGTATATGTATGCACATTCGTATTCGCAACACCTTAATTATTAAAACGTAATCTATTAGTAAAGTTATGTATTTCACCATTTGATTTTGAACTGTCATGTAAAACTGACGTGTCTCTAAACATTGTAGCATTGAAAGTGTAATTGATATTCGCAAATATAACAATAATAACACTCAATTGTACATACATATATACATATATAAAATAGTTACATACTTTGAAGTTAAAATATTTAATTTAATTAATAAGGAGGCCAAAATGTCAACTGCGTTCAGAATTAATGGCAGATCCTATACTGGTAAGATTGAATATGTAATTAATGGGTACTCAACAAGTTGACTTATCCCATACCTTTTATTTTAATATGTTGCTCAGTTAGGTCGTCCAGCCTGCCTGCGGATATAACATTAAACACTTTCATTCGAGAACATGCAGGTCTCTCAGGAACTAAGTTTATGTGCCAAGAGGGTGGTTGTGGTGTATGCGTTTGCGTCGTAACGGGAAGGCATCCAGTTACCGGTAATATTCATACATGGGCAGTCAACTCTGTAAGCTAATATTGTATGACGATATCATCTACGAAACTAATTACACAATAAATATGCTTCTTTTTTTTAAGTGTTTGACATTGCTGAATACTTGTGTTGATTGGGACATAACAACCATAGAAGGTATTGGCAGCAAGCGTGTCGGTTACCATCCAATTCAGAAACGATTGGCCAAAATGAATGGCACCCAATGTGGTTTTTGTTCACCTGGATTCGTCATGAATATGTACGGTTTGCTGGAATCTAAGGCTGGTGAAGTTACAATGCAAGAAGTGGAAAACTCTTTTGGTGGCAACATTTGCCGCTGTACAGGTTACCGACCGATCTTAGATGCCATGAAATCTTTTGCGGTAGATAGTACTGTTGAAATTCCCAAGGAATGTCAAGATATTGAGGACCTCAGCAAAAAAATATGTCCAAAGGACAACACTTTGTGTAAATGCTCTTGCACAGACTTTTCAAAGGAAATGCATACGACTTATAACGATGGTAGCCAATGGTTCTGGCCCAAGTCAATAGCTGGCGTGTTTTCCGCCATCAACCAATCGAAGGGCTGGAAATACTTTTTAGTTGCTGGTAATACTGCTGCTGGTGTTTTTCATAGCGATCGGTCTATTAACACATATATAGATATAAATATGGTGCCAGAACTGAAGCAGTACTCTATAACCTCTAAAGCTTTAACATTAGGTGGCAATTTAAGTTTAACGGATACGATGGAAATATTTAAAGAGGCCGCTAAAAGTAAGGGATTCGAATATTGTCAACAACTTTGGAACCACTTTGATTTGATTGCAAATGTACCTGTCCGTAATGTAAGTACCCCATATTAGCAGCAAATTTGACCTTGTCTCTAATTTTAAACGCCTTATCGCTATCTATTCAATGGGTTATTATAAATGTTATATCATTTTTGTTTTCCATTTTTCAAAACGAAATGACGTTTGAATATTCGTTCTTCCTCTTCTTAAAATTGACACTGTATTTAAGTACCTCATCGCTATTTTTCCATAGCACTTAAATAGTTTTAAAATATCATTATACCTACATACATACATAAATTTTAATATCTCGTTTCTCAGATGGGCACTTTGGCAGGTAACTTAATCATGAAATATTATCGCAAAGATTTTCCTTCCGACATATATATTCTACTGGAAGCATTAAATGCTCTAATAGTGCTCCAAGAAAGTGAAGCGGAAGAAAAAAATATAACAATCGACCAATTTTTGAAATCTGATATGAGAGGCAAAATCATTAAGGCATTCGTTCTTCCTCCTTATTTACGCGAACATTATTATTTCGATTCGTACAAGGTAAAGTCTATTTCATGATATTTTTACACAGATATGTACATACACATAATACGCACGTATATTTTACAGATCATGATTAGAGCACAAAACGCACACGCCTATATTAACGCTGCATTTCTGATAAATATTCAGAGGCCAAGCTTAACGGTACAATCAGCTCGCATTTGTTTTGGAGGAATAAGTCCTGATTTTAGTCATGCATCTGAAATAGAGAAATATGTACAAGGGAAGCGACTCTATGATCCTGAAGTAATGGCAAACATATTTTCAAAAGTTAGCAGTCATTTTAATGCTGACTCAGTATTGCCTGATGCTTGTCCAGAGTATAGGCTGAAATTAGCCTGTGGATTGATATATAAAACTATTTTAAAGCATGCTCCCGAAAGTGTAATACCTAAAAAACTAAAAAGCGGTGCATTTATTCTCAAACGTCCATTGTCCTCCGGTAAACAAATATACGAAAATGTGAGAGAAAATATGCCAGTTCACCAACCCATTGAAAAATATGAAGGTTTAATGCAAACTGCGGGAGAAGCATCTTATGCAAATGATGTTCCCGTACAAGCGAACCAACTCTGGGCTGCTTTTGTTACTGCTAAGAAAGTTGGGGCTACTGTTATAAATATTGACACTTCTGAAGCATTTCAAATACCTGGTGTTGTGGCGTTTTTAACCTCTAAAGATATTCCTGGGAAAAATACATCTAGCGGAAATGAGCCCATGTTCTTCACAGAAAATGAAGAATTGTTTGCCACCGGCGCAGTTAAATATTATAATCAGCCGATTGGCGTTTTAGTAGCTGAGTCAAATAAAATTGCCAACGAGGCAGCTGAGCTGGTGAAACTTACATATGCTGGGAAAGCAGAAATGGTGTTTCCCACCCTTCATGACGTTCTCAACAGTGCTTGTTCAGACAGAATCCGTCATACTGTTAAATCACTAATAGAAAAGCTAAAAGTTGAAGAAAAATTTGATACTCATGGCTCAGGAACCTTAGATTTGGGCTTACAGTATCATTATTTTATGGAACCACATACGACCGTAGTAATACCTTTCGAGGGGGGATTGGAAGTGTATGCTGCTACTCAATGGATGGACCTTCTACAAGGAGCTCTAACAGACATGCTTGATATGCAAAATAACGAAATTCAAATTAAAGTCCGCCGTTTAGGTGGCGGATATGGTGGCAAAGCTACCAGAAGTATGCCAGCTGCTTGTGCAGCTGCTCTGGCGGCTTTAAAGCTTAACTGCCCAGTACGCTTTGTTCAATCCATAGAATCCATGATGAATGTTTTAGGAAAGCGATGGGCTCTCCATTCAGATTACGAATTTTTCGTAAAAGAAACAGGAAAAATTGTTGCTCTACGTAATAAGTTTTATGAAGATGCAGGTTGCCTTCCTAATGAATCACCAATGGGCCATACGGTTTTGCTAAGTAAAAATTGTTATGAATTCAGTGACAATTATAAGTTGGATGGTTACATGATTATAACAGATTCACCTAGCAATACTCCTTGTCGTGCTCCAGGTTCTGTTGAAGGAATTGCAATGATTGAGAATATTCTTGAACACATTTCTTTCGAAACTGGATTAGATCCGATGGATGTACGCAAAGCCAATTTAATTCCTGGACATAAAATGGAATACCTTTTAAATCACTTTCTTAGTACATCTGATTATACAATGCGAAAGGGAGCAGTGAAAACTTTCAATGAACATAATCGCTGGCGAAAGAAGGGTCTTGGAGTTGCAATAATGGAATATCCCATTGGGTACTTTGGACAATTTCCGGCTACTTTAGCAATTTATCACGGTGACGGCACCGTAATTATTTCGCACGGTGGTATCGAAATGGGTCAAGGAATGAATACAAAGATTTCTCAAATAGCGTCTCTTGAATTAGGCATACCATTAAATATGATTCGGTTTGAGGGAAGTAACACCGTTAATGGCGCTAATAGTATGGTTACGGGAGGATCAATCGGCAGCGAAACCCTTTGCTATGTAAGCTGTATTAATAAATATATTTAGACTTCAACGAATCTTACATATATAATGTGTTATATTATATTTATTGCAGGCAGTGCGAAAATGTTGCAATACAATTAACCAACGTATTAAACCTGTACGAGAATCACTTAAAAATCCTACCTGGTTGGAACTAATACAAGCATCTTACAGTCAGCATATTAGTTTAATTGCATCTGAAGATTGTAAACCTAGCGATATGGATCCATATACTGTATGTGCTCTGGGACTTGTTGAAGTAGAAGTCGACATACTGACCGGTAATTATCAGCTACCTCGTGTCGATATCTTAGAAGATGCTGGGGAGAGTCTCAATCCAAATGTGGATATTGGACAAATTGAAGGAGCATTCATGATGGGCCTTGGCTATTGGACTTCAGAAGAAATAATTGTTGACAGATATACGGGAGAGCTTAAGACGAACCGTACATGGAACTACAAACCACCTGGTGCAAAAGACATTCCCATAGATTTCCGCATAGAATTGTTCCCAGGCACTCCAAATACTGCTGGGTTTATGAGATCTAAAGGTACTTTTGTCTTGTTTTGTTTAGAAAACTATACTTTTTACTTGGGTTTCTATTATAGCAACCGGTGAACCAGCCATATGTTTAAGTGTAGCTATAGGCTTTGCTTTACAAGAGGCATTACAGTCTTCTCGCTCGCAAGCAGGCTTACCTAAAAAGTGGATTCCATTGAAAGCACCGATGACACCGGAACGAGTGTTGCTTGAGTCAGGCACCGACTACAGCAATCTACACCTTTATTGAAATGCACAATACTTACGCACACACGTACATAATTATGTACGAGATTTAAGAGAAACTATTTCTGATCTTGATATATATGTAAACTAGATAATTTATAAGAAGCTCTTCTGCTTTTACCTTTTATTGAGAATATAATAATCGTCGACAGCTTTTTGAATCAACTAAATCTGCTGCAATTATTCCGAATCACTGAAAATCGCTGGTGTCATCATCTTTACGTTCCCAGATTTGGAAAAAGTGTGCTCTAAGGCAAAAACGCATTTGTGCTTTATATTTATATTATTTTACTAGAACCAGACACACGAGGCTGAGGCTTACTGTAATTTGAATTTACAAAAATTTATCTAATCTAATCCCAGAGCTACCCATCTGATCTAATTTTTTTTTTTGAATATCCAAAACCGCGGCCATAACTACTTTTTTTCGAGAAGGTCGTCCCGTGGTTCCACAGTAAAAAAATTCAAAACTCACAATTTCTCCAAAATCGGTTAAGTCGCTTAAAAGGCGGCCGCGGTAGCGGAGTAATTATCATTGCGGAAGGCTCGGGTTCAAATCCTGGTACCTCCAGCATCCAAAAGTTATAGAATTTAAATGAAAAATTGCGTTAAATTTTCGAATAGCGGTCGCCTCTCAGCAGGGAATGTCCACCCCTCCGAGTTTATTTCGGACATGCAATAAAGGCTCCTCATAAAAACTCCGAGGCGACTTAGTATAAACTGTAGGTCCCACCATTTGATGGAAATCACGAACAATTAATGCAAATAACTACGAGCAAAATTCCAAATGGACTAAATTTTTTTAAATATCTTAAGTTTGCATTCAAACAGATAAACGGGCCATGGGATATACATATGTAGCCAGATAAACTGTACTCGTCATTCGAATCATATCCATATCATGAATTGTAATGGTTCTATCCTCCTTCTGGTACGTACCTACTTTTACAAAAATTTTATATACCTATATATTAAGACCAACTCAATAAGCTCAACTTACTATAGTAAGATTTACTTGAAATGTAATACATAGATAGCCTTTTGCTTAGTTTAGCAGGAACATTACTTTTGTTTCCATTACTTTTTGTTTCGAAAAAATCGTTTCTATGGCTTGGATTAACTTATAAAAATTTTCGGTAGTGGACCAATTGTCACTGAGCAGATATTTGATTTGCTTGGTCCATTCCGTAACCCGATATACATATGGCATCATTCGTTGACTTAGGCTGAAGATTTGTGTGAAGTCTCATCCGTGCGTATGCGGAATCCGTTTCCTTGCATTTACGAGCGTTAAGGCCGAGCAATTCCATAGCCTCTTAATAATCTTATTATGGTTCAATTTGCTTGAACTATTTTTTTTATTTTCGTTCGTATGGGCTGCTTTAACTCTTCGAAACTGCTTAGTTTAATTTAAGTAATTTTATGAGAATTCCTCATGTTCGCGTGTTGACAAACTAGTTTTTAAACGAATGTTTTGAATGTCATTCTAGATTTATTTTGTTGGTCATTTAAAAACTCAATATAGCGACGAAATGTCGTTGTGATCTTTGGCCTAGTTGTTACGCCTGCGATTGTATTTGCCAGAAGTCGTGAGTTCAAGGGCTTCCGAATTTTGCTAACTTCAAACTTTTTGATTTTTGACCTCGTCTTCAGGAAACTGTTTGTTGATAAAGAGTATAAAGGGCGGTAGTTGTTTTTGTCTTGTACATTTCACTTTATTTTAAGATATTTATTTTAATTTTTAGGCTCCTCTCATCCAATTTGAAGTTTAGTGTGTTGATGTTTTTCCAAGAAATGAAGGAACCTGCTGCAGTTTATACTATACTAAGCCGCCTCCCAATGAATGAAGGTTTTTGAAGGGAAGCCTTATATCTCATGTCGGAAATACACTCAGAGGAGTTGACATTCCCTGCCGAGGGGCGACCGCTATCAGAAATTTTAACTTAATTTTTTTTATTTCAATTAATTTCCTATAACTTTTGGATGTTGGTCGCATCGGGATTTGAGCCCGGACCTTCCGAATGGCAGTACGCAATGCTAACCACGCGGCTACCGCGGCCGCCAAGGATATATTTATCCATGACACATTTAGCTTCAATGTAAATAGTCGAAATGCAAAAAAAGTTCTTTCCTTGTATACATAAACGCAAGTGCATTGCCAACAAAGCATGTGCCGCAATCAATACCTCTCCCTGCACGCAACTTTTCCCCAAAAAACGCACATATCTGTATGTATGTGTATTTCTAAAAAAAATTTCAGTAATTTAAAATCGTTATAAAATAAAGTAAAATTCAGTCAAACCAACACGTACTTCTATGATTCGCATAAAGTAATGCATAAAATTAAGAGCATAAACGAGTGCGCACTGTGCAAATTAGCGATGTCGATTGTGGACAAATTATACGTGCGGTGAGAACATAAAAGAATATGTTCTTCACGTTTATCTATATATGAATAAAATATATATGCATATCGATATGTTATTGGCGCTTTGCTACCGCTGAAACGATTTTCGGCCGAGCTCCGTGGTTTGTGGTTTTGCGTCTTGATGTTTTTTCAACAACTAGTATTTTAAGAACAAATATTGTGATATATGTACATTTGTACATATATTTGCTTAGGTATAAATAAGTTTTTAACGGTTATGTTGCAGAAGTGGTATACATAGCGTCCGTGTCATAAACATTTTTGATTTTATTTTTTCGCAAGTTGAAGTCTTCTCGCCGGAGCTAATATTCAAAAATTTTCCCACTAATGGTTTCATTATTTTTATATAATAATGATATAAAGATTCAAAAATATAATGTTATAAATTGATAGATAAAGCGAATGAAAAATGTTTACTGAAATATCAAATTTTAATTAAGAAATTTAGTATGTATAATAGCAAAAATATTTACAACTGTATTTACATTTTTACCCCTTCATATTTTGTTATTTGTCTTCATCGCATACATCGTCGCCAAAAGAATAAAATTCAAAGCGAACGTAGCTTATGTTTCCCCATCTGGTGTATAGAGTACACGAAATCTAGGACCGACTCCAAAGCAAAGATAACATCTTTCTTGCCGGAATCTTGTCGCTTAGTGTAGACAAAGAACGTATATGAATAAGAAGCGGCATGACGGTCTCGTAAATTGGCTTTTTCAGAAAGAGCGTAAATTGAAGGTCCAATCAAAGAACGCATATATACGTTCTTTGGTTTACATGAACGAGTATTTCGTCAACAAAAAGTATCCCCGTGTAAACTCGGACTTATTGTTCAACTACGTTCTCTGACACTACTTCTGTTTAAATTTAATTTATTCCACAAACAGACACGCTGGCTGCTAGTAAACACCTCAAATACCTTTTTACACTATGTTATCGACATATTTAAACTTATATTCCGAGATGGTGGCAGCGCGCATTATAGCCTTACTTATGAAAGCCACATGTTAGTAAGAGCTACCAACTCTCGGCGATTGGATCCTAGATTTGTAAATTAAAGTCATTTGATATTTTGTACAATTTCTTAACTGTAGAAAATATTAATCAACGTTAACTTATTATTCAATAAATAACAATTCCCTCTACCATACGCAGCGACTTATTTTACATCTCTCAACTCTACTATTTTCACTTAGTAATAGTGTTGTCATCGACGAGTTCAATCTGCTCACTGACACCCGCAGTGTTGACTGCAGCTCCTATATACCAGCGAAATGCTGGCATAAACACCTAATTAAAGTTTACGAAACATTGTCGATAAGACATAAGGAACATTCGATTGCATTTGTATTTATTTGTATTTATATTCGACGAAAATAATAAGTTTAAGAGCAATGTACGAGTATTACAAATTTCTCAGACCATTACCAGGTGGCATCGTTTACGAAATATTGTCGATAAGGAACATTCGATTGCATTTATATTTATTTGTATTTATATTCGACGAAAATAATAATTTTGCTTAAAAGCGATATACGAGTATTACAAATTTACGAGACCATTACCAGCTGGCATCGTTTCGGCACTGAAAGCAACGTTCACAACTTTTGTCGACATATATTCCTCCCAGCCGGATGATACGACTGGGCGGTGTGCAAAATGGCTAGGTGGCCTAATAGAATTTGAGAGAATTACAAGAGAAAAAAATATGTTTACAACATGCAAGCAATATTAATAGAGTGAAGATAATATTTATATATATTTTATTATACGCATATACCAATTTATTTGTAACATTCGTAATTTTATAAGGAAAGGGCAAAGGTGTGTGTAGATGTATATTGTTTGTATTTATTTCTGCACAGCTGTAGTGTCTTTTTCTCGCCTCGGTACAAAAGGACGTATTTTTTAACGACCCTAGAAAACAATACAAATATAATATAATACATATATTTGAAGACTAACATATTTAGTTCGCTTCTATTGTCTCTGCAGACAACTCGTGAGACGTGTTGTGTCTATAGTAAATTTGCGGCAATATAGAGTAACTCGGTGATAACTCTTTTATCAATATTGATATACACATTAATATCTTTTTCTAGTTAGTTAATGAAAAGTAAAAGAGTGTTACAGGTAATAGATGCAAAACCATTACTTAAAAATTAAAGAAAAAAATTCTGGCAGCCGAAAACTTAAGTGAACGCCCTACGTTGAACGCTTTGTTATTGACCTTTATTTGACATTTATAAAAGCGGAGGCAGAACGAATTAAAGAAAATCGAGTTTGTGTGCCGCCTGCGGCTGACCATCTCTTCCTTTTGTATACATAGAGCTAAAAACAGTCAGTTTGGTACCATCATCAAGGTAAGAATTTATACAACAAAAACGTTTATATTAAAATGACTATGTATTAAGATTTATAGAAAAGAAATTTTAATTAATTGGCAGTGCTAAAAATGTAATCGTATTTTAAAATATAAACTTGATAGAAGTTAGTGTCGCAATATTGTTTAGATAAAAACAGTAAACATATATTTTCTAAAAAAATTGTGGTAGCAAGGATACAACAAAAAAATTACTTGAAAGACAGCTATTGGCTTAGATTGGGGTTAAAAAATTCGGTGAAATTTGGCAATCGAACTGCAATGTAAATAAATAGGTAAAATCTTGTTGTATTGCTGCAGTCGGTGATTAATAAATCGTTTCCATATACGAGTACATATAACGTTCTAATTTCCAATGTAAATAAAAAGTAAAACGAGCTACAGTTCAAAAGTAGTACATGAAATAAAGGGGGAGAAATAAATATACAAGAGTTATATTCCCTGTCGATTTACAAAATACAACATATGTAAATACATATAATAAAAGATTTATAAATTGATAAAATGAATTAAATTTATCGGTATAAATGTTTTTGTCCTTATTTTGGGTGTTATTTTTGAATTGGATATTGGATCAGAATCGAAAATTTAACATCAAACTACAAAGAAATGTTGGTTACCTTTTGGATGACATTTACTCTACTCCCATAAGACATTGATTCGAAAATTTTTCCCTTAATAAACATTGTAAACAGGCAGTACAATGGCTGCAAAGCACTAAATTTTTTTAAGATATTCACTTTGTATTGACGACACTTTTTTTTTAAATCAACAAATCTGTGGCGTTAATACGTAAGTACTGATTTTCAATTAGTACTTTTGCGATGAGAAATATTTTTGTTATAACTTTTGAGAAGAATTTTGTCTATGATTCAAACTTTCTACGTATTTATTTATGAATGAATTTGTTTTGTGTTGATGCGTGTACGCATGCACATTATAATAACTTAAATTATTTTATATTTTTTTTTTATAATTTTATAACTTTTGAGAGGAATTTTGTGGGACAATATTTTGGCGAAAATATAGTGGCCAATAGTTTCCGAGATGTTTGCAATTTAATGTAAAAAATTTGTCTATAATTCAAACTTGCTACTTATTTATTTATGAATGAATTTTTTTTTGTGTAGATGCGTGTACGCATGTACATTATAATAATTTAAACTACATATGGAAATGAAATTAAATATTAACATTGAAAGTCATCAAAATATTACTCTTACAACATTCTTTGCGCAATATAAAGTATAATTGAATTAAATACTGATTAAACTAGTATATGTGACTAACTAAAAACAAATTAATAACACAAATGCGTTTTATACATTTCGGTTTAGCTACTCGCTCAATTTACTTTTCCTTCATCCTGTCAAACATTATTATAAGAGCTCCTCCGAAGTGTTTTGAATGCTTCCGATATGTGGTGATATACATTATTCAAAGAGATTTTCTATTTTAAAGTTATCAAACGGATATTTAATGCATGTGAATAAAATTCCAAATATAATAACGAGGTGAGAAGAAGAGGCCGATTTAACTAAACCATTTTCTAGACCGCGTGAACATTCTATATGTTCATTATCAAGAATATTCAAACAAGAATCTTTCCCGGATATATAAGAGCCAAGCACTAACTTCTGGCAAGTTCAGTTGAGTTTGGAACTCGGTATTGACAATGTAAAGTCAAGCTGAGTAAACTGTGTGTTTTCTGGAAATGGTAGATTGTTTGAGTTTAAAAATAAGACATCGTGTATAATAAAGGGAATGGTTAATTATTGAGTAATAAATAAATGTAAAGGCCCGATATGATTAGACAATATGATCGACAGGAATTTAAGAAAGATCCTGCTTTCAAATCCTAAATGAAAAAAAGCTTGTCCAAGGGATTTCACTACTAAAAATGTATGCTCCTATGGTCTTGAATGCATTTACCATCCGAATATGGAATACCCTTCCGATTGCGTTGGGAAGCATTTCTTGACTACTTTGAATTTTGCGAGCGAGATCTTACGGAACAGACTGTGTTCCGTTTGTTAATTTGTATGTAGTTCATTTTCATACGTACATAGATGAGGTTTATGATTGCTGAATATTGTATAACATATAAAGGTCACAACATATACATACATACATACATACATACATACATACATAACACATCACCAACGTATTCCATGTGGAGATAACGACTTATAATGCGAGGCTACCTTAATAACATCTTTTCAGTTGGTTGTTTGATGTATAGTCGAATAAATTAGATAGAACTACATACGTACATATACATATATTTACACAAATAAAAATGTTACGAAGACAATTATCCTTTCGAATCGAGGATCAGGAACGTTTAATAAAACAATTTTCTTAAAGGTATTTTATTCTACTCACGGTTACACTTCTATTACAGATGAACCGACGATTTTCTCGGGTGGAGTCTGGTGCAGACCTGAAGGATTATTTTGACCGTGGTGATATTGCGTCTCGGGAAAATCGATGGAACTTTGAAATAGCATGGGAAGTAGCTAATAAAGTCGGTGGAATATACACGGTTATACGATCTAAGGCATATGTATCAACGGAGGAAATGGGTGAGCAACTTTGCTTAATGGGTCCTTACAAAGAGCATTGTGCACGCACAGAAATGGAGGAGATAGAGTTTCCTCGCGGAAATCCTCTTTTAGATGCAGTTAATATAATGCGTTCACGAGGTTATAAAATACATACAGGCCGTTGGTTAGTTGACGGCAATCCGCAACTTATACTATTTGACATCGGTTCAGGTGCGTGGAAATTAGACCAATTCAAATCGGATTTGTGGGAGAAGTGCCATGTCGGTAAGAGAGTTGCATATTTTTCAGCATAATATGTAATAACAATATTTCTTAAATTTTGATTAAAACCATAGGCGTTCCGCATTTAGATGTTGAAACAAACGATGCAATCATATTGGGATTTATGATTGCTGAATTCCTTGAAGAGGTTTGTCTTCGCTTAATATGTGTGAAATTGTTAAATTAAGCCTCTACTATTCGACCTTATGTTCCCAGTCAATTCGCGTTCTAGATAAATTAAAAAACATACAAAGTAGAGACTGAAGGTGAATGGTGCATTTTAATTTGTTTTGTCATAGGAGATCTATTATGCAGAATTCAAAATTAAAGAAACCAAAACCTACGAAATTCAGTTATTATTTTTTGTTATTATTCAATAAAAACTGTGTGATTAGAATTCAAGATTCCTGAACAGCACTGCATTGCAAATAGATAGCAGGATGTTTTCCTCCATGTTGTGAAAAGTAGCTCTTTTAGAGGAGAAAATTTAGTAAGAATTAACCAATAACGAAATGTGAAATTTGTGGTCTCTAGTTGCAAATTTTACTGCCTTTTAATCTCGCCATACGCGGTTAAAAAAAATTGGTAAAAATTCTTACCACCCGTCAGCTAACCGAATAGGACAAATTAATAATAATAATTTAATAAGCTTTGTACATATTTTTATAAGTTTTTCAAAATAAGATGCCAAAATAGGATTTTAGATAGTATCCGAGTTGTCTGGAAACAAGGGTCGTGCTTAAAGGTATGTATGCTCATAGATTTCTTTGCTTAATTTTGTGATTCCAGTTTCGAAATCGTGCTTTAGACTACTCCAGTGTGCATGAATTGCAAACCCCTCGTATAGTTGCCCATTTCCATGAATGGCAAGCAGGAGTTGGCTTAATAGCTTTACGAACAAGACACATAGAAATCGCTACAGTTTTCACTACCCATGCTACGCTCTTGGGCCGTTACCTGTGTGCTGGTAACACTGACTTCTATAATAACTTAGACAAGTTTGCAGTTGATGAAGAAGCTGGAAAAAGACAAATTTATCATCGGTATTGCATTGAAAGAGCTGCCACACATTTGTCTCATGTGTTCACAACAGTATCTGAGATCACAGGATATGAAGCTGAACACTTGCTTAAGCGAAAGCCCGACATCATAACTCCAAATGGTCTCAATGTGAAGAAGTTTTCTGCCATACACGAATTCCAAAATTTACACGCGGTTGCTAAAGAAAAAATTAACGAATTTGTTCGTGGACATTTTTATGGGTGAATTTATTGACATATTTTTTTATAAAATTTTACAAATCGACCCCCAACCGTTAACAATATTTTGATTTTCTGTAATGTGCTTTACTGTTTACTTTTTTGCGGTTAAGGTTATGTATAAATTTATATCAAGAGCAATAATCTTTGTATATTTCCAGGCACATGGATTTCGACTTAGATAAGACACTTTACTTCTTCATTGCTGGTCGCTATGAATTTGGAAATAAAGGAGCAGATATATTTATAGAAGCATTGGCCAGATTAAATGCAATGTTAAAGCATGAAAAACCAGATACTACTGTTGTAGCGTTTCTTATTTTCCCTACCAAGGTTAACAATTTTAATGTGGACTCATTACGCGGGCATGCTGTAATTAAACAATTACGTGATACCATCAACAATGTACAAAATTCTATTGGAAAACGTATGTTTGACTCATGCGTAAAAGGGCATATTCCTAGCCCAGATGAAATTCTTACAAAGGATGATTTAGTAAAAATAAAGCGCTGTATGTTTGCTATGCAGAGGGATTCAATGCCACCAGTAACAACACATAATATTGTAGGACATTCTATTCAACATTGAATCAATACAAGGACTCCTCGTACAATAATTTCCTTTTATTTCACCTAGGTTGATGACTGGAACGACCCAGTTCTGGGAGCGATACGCCGATGTAATTTATTTAACTCGGTGCATGATAGAGTAAAAATGGTGTTCCATCCAGAGTTTTTAACATCCACCAATCCGCTTTTTGGTATTGATTATGAGGAATTTGTACGTGGCTGTCATTTGGGGGTGTTTCCGTCATATTATGAGCCTTGGGGATATACACCAGCGGAGTGCACGGTGATGGGTATTCCCAGCATAACTACAAACTTATCCGGCTTTGGATGTTTCATGAATGAACATATTTGTGACCCGAAGTCATATGGTATTTACATCGTGGATCGTCGATATATTGGACTAGAAAACAGTGTCCAGCAGCTTTCAGGTTTTATGATGGAGTTTGCAAGATTAAATCGGCGCCAACGTATAATTCAAAGGAATCGCACAGAGCGTCTTAGTGATCTTTTAGATTGGAGAACATTAGGAATTGTAAGTAAATACAATTTCTCAAATAACATTACCATATGATAAATTTATATACCTCTTTACTAGTATTACCGTCAAGCAAGAGTCAAGGCCCTACAAGCGGTATATCCAGACTATGTTGACGAAGGATCTCTCTATAGTTCAAGGAGTACATTAAATTTTTCCAGACCTTTTAGTGAGCCACCAAGCCCTACATCCTCGCGTAAGTAAACATTTCATAGCCATATTGCTATTTAATTAACTTAATTTTAATTAATTTATAATTTTCGCAGGACACACTACACCTGCTCCATCAGTACACGGCTCTGACGACGAAGACTCGGTTGATGATGAGAAGGAATTGAAGGAATTAGGAATTAAATAAAGGAAGAAAAAGCTCCTGTTAAGAAGTTTCAGATAATACCATATTGTTCCTGAAAATTATTTCTACTTATATACTATTCTATACTAACATTTTTAAAGCCAATTGATATAACCTGTTATGTACTAAAAAGAGATTTAAAATAATTTATTAGTGTTAGATAATGGCTATGAAAAGCAGAACCTCCAACTTGTGTAAGAACCAATGTACATTTCAAATACATAACTTTTCAACGAAAACTTGGAGATCAAATATAATATTTGTACAAACACAATAGGGGCCTTCATTTAAAAGTGCAAACGTTTGATAAGTCTAATTATCACCAGATTATTAAGTTTAAATTTTTTTTTTGTATGAAAAAAAGTTATGACGCGTAAGCAGTTTATTACTTTAGCTCTGGTAGGTAAGAAAAATCAGTAAGAATTAGGCAATAACGAAATGTCAAAATCGCGGTCTCGGTGCAATACACCATTTATCTCTTTAGATAAAGGCCCCTAATATATGTGTAAGCAGATAAAAATATTTACATAACTCTGCTTATTGCTGATTTCTTGCCAAGGCGATTTTAATTCACCTTGCTTCATGGTAACAATGATGAAATTATACTTAAGGTACAACTGGACACTCAATTCGATGTTCGCTAGCTTTTGAGAAAAAATAAAATTACAAAATAAATTATGAAAATTTACAGCTTCAAAATTTTAGGAAGAGTGAAAAATTTTAAAGGTGGTTGTGGTGTAGGTACAAGAATATTAACCTTATTCTGAGGCATAAAAAAATAATATTTTTCCTTGAAAACAGATTATCTGAAAATATATCTATAAACGTTTATGAATATGGATACAAGAAAAGTAATTGGTCTTACCATTCCAACGATACCAACTTCTTAAAATTTGGAGTAAAATTTCCCTTTTAATACCTCAAATCTCTGACAATACAAGTTTCCGCCAAAGAAAAAATCTACATTGCAGTCTTCATTTTTACTTTAGTATCTTAAACGATTTCAAACTGTTATATTGGCAAAACTGTTTGTGTGAGCAATGAGCTCGTGCTCTCACTAAACAGTTCTCTCTATATACTTGTTGGCAATTAACAGTAAATTATCCCCCTTCTTTAAATAATTTTGATCGTTTCGCTGTTCGTGGTAAAATGGTCTCACTTCTTCTATTATCGTAAGAGGTGAAAAAGTATCTGAGTAATTTCGTAAATAGTACCATTATCTTAACTGCTGGTTCAACGAACTTAACAACACTACTTCCGATTATTACCAAAGAACGTATATGAATAAGAAGCGACAAGACTCATACGGTATTTGTGCAAAAGCGGTAGAGCCGTTTTCAGGGTTTCGTGTCCTCTTCACACATTTTTCGTCGACCAATATCAAAGAACGTATATGAATAAGAAGCGACAAAGAACGTATATGAATAAGAAGCGGCATGACGGTCTCGTAAATTGGCTTTTTCAGAAAGAGCGTAAATTGAAGGTCCAATCTCATATATATACATATAATTGTCGCATTGTAACCACTGAAGCGATTTTCGAGCAAGCTCCTCCTCCAATTTGTGGTTTTTGCGTTTTGATGCTTTTCCAAAAAAATTGAGGGACCTACAGTTTATACTAAAACCAGGCCTTTCGAATGGCATTGTGCAATGCTAACCACTCAGCTACCGTGGCCGCTAAAGCTATAATTTGATTGATTAAATCACTTTGCGTTGAACGTGATGAAATTAGCTGTGTATGACAGCTTCGTAATTCTGTGAATATCACTTGCAACCTTGCAACCAGAGAGAACGCAAATTTTACGTTCTCTGCTCTCTTCTTGCAACAAATTGGGAACAACTGCAGCGAATTGATTCATGAAAACAGTCATAAGCAGCAAAGTAAAGAAATTTTCTAGACAAACACGAAGGCTAATGTTTACGTGCTATCGAAGTAATTTGAAAACGTAGCTTTTTACTTTAGTTTTCATTTAAATTTACATTTTCCCGATAAATTATAACACAGCTAATGGATATATTGAAAATGTAAGGTTCCACGGCGTTTTGTTGTAAAAGTGCGAATAAAACATCGCAAGTAATTTTGTCGCCATTTTGATGTGTACATGCATGTTTGCCAAGGCAATCAAAAAGCAAAACTTAGTGGATGGAAATCAAACCCGAATAAAGAATTTAAGTCGAAAGCAAAGAAAGTCAACAACTGAATTGTGCATTTGTAACTTAAAATTATAAACCGAAAGATAATATTTTAATTTACTGTGCACAGTTATTAATATCTTAAGTGTATACTGTAAACTTGCATATCCATATACGAAATTTTTATTCAAACACGATGATGAATAAGGAAGACCCAAGTGGGGATAAATTGGCGCAGGAACAGTCGCACTTAAAGCAACAAAAAGTAAAACAGCGGTCAGTTTTAAGCAATATTGCAATTGCTAATCTTAATATTGAGGGATTCAGTAACTTTGACAGTGATTCCCTAGATGGCTGCTCAGAATTTGATACCGAGTCCGTTACTCTGGATTATTACAAAGAAAGGTACTTTAAGGTTACATTTTCATGAGTGGGTAGGAAATTTACAATTTCTCTTGCCTTGCATACGCTTCTAAGTTTTGTTTTGCTCAGTTAAGATTTCCATAATTTCGCTAAAACTTTTTTTTTTGTTATTTCTTATTAATGGTTTCGTTAATAACAAGCTGATTAGGAAGGTTGATAGTACGAGTATAAGCTTTATATTATAATTTCAGGTATTATGTTAAAAAATGTTATTCTAAAAATAGTGTAAATGTTAATAAGTATTTATGTTTGCTTATACCTGCGTATATGGTGAATAGATTTGAAGAACCACACTACTTCCATTTGGTTTTCTCGTTCTCATCCATAATTCAGAGCAAAACAAAATTCTATTTTTGTCTTCTTACATTGCTTGCATGCTCGTCATTGTAAAAGAGTTTTTGTTAATTTGTTTTGTTGCTAAAATTCTAGAGCAGTCTAATTTACCACAAAATAATTTAATATAGTATATATTTTAATATCGTAGTCGGCGGCAGCGATAGCCGTGCAATTACTGGGTACTGCCATTGCGACCACCAGGGTTCCTGCTCTGGTACGACCAACAGCCCCATATTATAGAAAATAATTTAAATAAAAAATTACTTTAATATTCCTAATTGTCGTTAGGGTAAAGTCAACACGTCGTTCGGAGATGACTTAAGGACTGTTTCCAACATATATGTTAGCATTCAATTGGCAATATTATTTCACACTCGGGCTTGTACTAAAGGACTAATACCAAACAAAATCCGAGTTGTGATTTGAGTGAGAGCGAAAATGATATGCGCATTGCAGCTCTCTGATTAATGCCTATTAAATATAATTTATAAAGCTTTTTTTCGCATAAACATCTTATTCGAGTGTTTACTTCATTTTCACTGCATGGTCGAGAGAAAGAATTGTTCATGGTACTTAATTAAGATAAACAGAAACACAAACATGTTTTGATTATAATAATAAATTATAAACGATAAAGGATTAGGCAACCTAACTATACATCAAAACAAGTAAAGCAGTGGTTTAGAAAGGAAAGAGTGAAAGTTTGAATTGACAGTCTTAGCCGCCAAAGCTAAACTTTAAGGCACTTCAAAAGAAGTCTAGTTTTTATTTATCGCAAAGACACGTATTACATTGCAATGTTGGTAAAACTCAGTAATATTAATACATATATATGTATATTGAATTCAATTAGTTTCCGTTATTTTTTCAAACACTATATGCATATAAATTGTGAAATATACGCTTTATCTTATGATTCTTTTGGCCAATAGCTTATATTTTTTGCATAACATAAATGACTTCCATCACATCCTTACTTTTATTTACTTACTTCTTGTTTAAAAATTTTCTTCCAAATCAATTTGATAGATCTTAAGCAGCTTAATATATGAAGTATTTGAAACAAAAGAAAAAAATTGAAACAAAAAGGTATGCATCAGCATTTCTATATAAGAGAATAAAGCGTTTGTAAAAAGTGCAGCAATTCAGAACACATATAGACTAATACAGAATTAAAATTGATAACGACATCAAAAGCAATTTTTGGTGGCTAATGCCCATTTACGTTGTCTTGTTGCGCTTGCATTGTTATTTTTGCTAATCGTGTGCACTAACTAATACAATAAAAAGGATTATTGAATATACAGGTACGTATTACCATACTCTCGAAAGTGATGAAAAATTTTATAATATAATGTATAGGTATGCACATTTGTACTTACATTTGTACATACATACATATATACATTATATATTTCATATTAATGTACACTTGATATTAAATATATTTCTTTATATGTGTACATAAATCGTTTTAGTTAATCTTGAAAGTGATGAAGAATTTTATAATATAATATATAGGTATGCACATTTGTACATACATACATATATACATTATATATTTCATATTAATGTACACTTGATATTAAATATGTATATTTCTTTATATGTTTACATAAATCGTTTTAGTTAATCTTAAAAATTTAAATACAAGAACTAATGGATACGTCCATGTTTCGGTTTATGTACAGCTCACAACGCCCATCACCATCAAAAATGGCACCAACTACAACTATAGAGACCATAACAATCACAAGACCGCTAAAGGTGCTCATAAGCATATTTTGCATCATTTGATTTACTTGATTTCCTCGTTTTTCTCTACCCTATCAGGTCATTGCATTTATTTGCGGTGTTATTGTTGTCATACTTATGATAATGGCATTAGCTTCCACGGATTGGTTAATGGCTGCTGGCTGGCGCCAGGGTCTTTTTATACATTGTATTGAGGAGGACGTTGAATCCCCGCTGCCGTTTAATTTGCACGATCCGCCTGGCTGTTATGCCAGTAGAGATGTGGGTAAGATAAAATACTATCGATGAGCCTTAATTGAATAAACTTTTAACCATCATAATTTATTTCCGTAATTTAGCTTACATAAAAGCTACAGCCACTTTATGTATAATTACATTGGTCACAGATATAATAGCAACGATACTCACTGGTCTTGGGTTGAGAACACAAAATCATAATGTGAAATATAAATTTTACAGGATCGCCGTATTAGTAATGTTGTTATCATGTGAGTATATTAACATAATTTGTATATGTATACACATATATAATATAATATATTTTTCATAAATACAAATTCCGTTGAATATCTTAGTATTGGCTGTCTTGTCTGCACTTATTATTTATCCGGTATGCTTTGCTGGAGAACTCAATTTAGGTGATTATAGCCATGCGAATACTGCTTATTTGAACCATTGATTCATCTTTATCCTCATTTAATATCTTATCGTTTAGCGAATAGACCGATTTGGGAATTTGGTTGGGCCTATGGTGTTGGATGGGGTGCGGCTATCTTTTTATTCGGTGCCGTTGTGCTACTGCTGTGTGATAAGGAATCGGAAGAAATTTATTATAAGGAGAGAAAAATTGTACATGAAAACCAAATGCGCGCCTAGGCCAGGCCGCACGACCTGCCTGACGTCGTTCTTTAGATGTTTAAGTAAGTTACACGTTTTCTACTGACATAATAACTAGTACTATTACAACATGTAAAAACTATGAATTCAGCCATAGTAAGAGCGTAAGGAAATATCAAAGGGAAAAGTAATAATATCACTTATCCAAAGAAGCAATCGATGACCTTTATTATACATTTTTGAATTGCCTGAAACTGTCAATATTGCCGTTGAAAAATATGCATCAGAAACAGAGACGTAATAAAAATAGAGAATATACATTTAATAATACAAAGACACAACACCAGTTAAACACCAAATCATATTAAATACATATTCTGGCGCTCAGAAACAACACAGATACAAAATACACATACAAAGTAAGCGATAACTGGCGCAACTTCACAACAATGTGTTCAGTTTTAAAAGGCTCAAACATGATGAATATCAAAAGCACAAATAACAAATGGCTTAGATAAAAAAAATTCGCTACGGATTTAGTAAATTCTAACTTTTTAGGAGTTGTACCCATTAGTACATAAGCTATATGGAAAGAAACTTGAATATAAATTTTTTTTTGTTTTTTACACACATACGTGTATATATCATAGATGGGACAACCTGTACACCACATTTATAATATACGGTTTTCGTATTGAAACACTAGGGTGCCGGTGCCCGTCTCCGATATATATACCTACGTATGCATAACTATGAAAATATGTTGTGTATTCATTATAAAAAATTGTATTCACACGTAAATCTCCCTTTTGTTAAAAAAAAAAATATTAAACTACCAATCCCTTTTTTTTTTTTTTGCTAATTTACTTGTAGTGAAGCCTATTCATTAAACCAAATCGCCCTAAATACGAGCGCAGAGAAAAGAACCAAACCATACCAAAATAATTATAAAGAGAGAAAACATTTGAAGTATACCATTACACACAAATAAAAACATATAGCGGCACATATGTACATAATATAAATATATGACTGTATACTTAATCTCTTCCGTTTAAACAATGCATTACTTACCGAAGAAAATAACGAGATTGTTGCAAATACGTACATATTCACATATACAGTTCAATCTGGAAATAGTTAACCATAATGTCCCAAGAGGTGATTAAGTTCTTCCAAATGTTAACTTTCAGAACAACCATATTAACAATGACGTGTTATCCATAAGTTAACTTCAACTTAGATGCGTGAGTTTACCTATGGAATTTAAAAAAATATATATATGAAATCTGTGAAGTGTTTACGCTGCTAAAAATGTGACTAGAAATAAATTGGGGAATAAGTAAAATGAATGGGCACTAATTGTTCTTCTTTCGTAAATAAAAATGGGAATAGGAGAGAAAAACAAACTATGACACAAGCTTTATCCCTTCTGAAATGATTCATTTAACTGGAAACAAAACAAAATATTGAAATTCTTGAATTTGTATATTACTTCAAATATCATTCAAGAATAGCTGATTTAAATATCCAGATAACTAGAGAGCTTCTAATGGATATTGATAAAATCAATAGCTAATTATCGAAGTGGCTAGCAACATTTTGAAAAATAATTTAAATAAAAAATTAAGTTAATTTTTCTAACTGCAGTCGTCCCATTATATTAGTATCGAATGTGAGTTAACTCCTCATTGTTAAAAGGACCCATAACAGTTTTCAAAAATGCACATAGTACTATCGGTTTTCATAAATATCAATGAGAGTCCTTATCATTTTATAGAAACTTGTGCGTATTTAATTGATGATGACAATGATGTTTGTTTTTTATTTGGATAGTTTCAAACCATTCTTACTACCGTATCTTCTTCATCAGATTGATTTTGTCTGGTAAAGTACAACGCTTAATATACAGAGTTGATAGTAGGTGTTATTCATTAAATTGATTTTTAGAATGCTTTATGTGTGTTATTCAGTGGAGAGGAGAAACTAAAGAAATAGTAAAAACAAAAATCGGCAGTACCCAAAATAACTCATACTTTCATATCAATATATAATAAAATATAACATTTTATGAATCTTTTTTTATGAAACTTTTTTGTGTTTTTGACAAAAAAAGCAAATTGCATGCACAAAAGTGTTCGGAAAATAATTTTAAAAAAGTATAATGCTCGCAATTCTTTCAGATTTTTTATTATTAAAAAAAATATTGTTTTTAATTACTCCATTATAGTTTATTTTTTATTTTATTTTTTAAATTAAATAAAGAAATTAGGTGCCCCGGCAACACGTTGTTGTGACTTTCCGCACTTTGTCCAATTTTGATATTACGACTAGTATTGCATAGGAAAGTGGTAGGTAAAGCACTACGAAAATTTATAATTTACATTATTCGTCAAGAGTTGTTCTGTTCTGTTCAATCGGCGGTTATGGACCACTAGCAAGCCAATAATGTGTTGACTAGTTCTAGTTGATCTTATGTGAAGACGCGTCGTTTTTCAGGCAAAATACTCACTTACGGAGAAAGTAATAAATTAATTTCACGGTTTTGATAATCGTTGTTTTTTTTCTAGATTTATTCAAGTTTTTGCTATAATATTAAGTTAATTACTTAATTTTTTTATGATTTTTGTGAATTAATGGTCAATTTATTAAATTAAAAGAATCAAATGAGAAATGAAGAGAATGGCTATTTGGTAAATTTAAACGTTTAACATTCTTTGTTAACTATTTAACACTGACGACAGTATTTCCTTTCCCGAATTATTATTGGACCGCAGCTACATCGGTGGTCATATGGCCATGTTCGCCAATTCGTTCGTTCTCATAAGAACCCATTCATTATATTTTTTACAGCTTTCTTTTCAGAAACAAGAATAATTTCCGAGCGCTTTTGGTATGCACGGTATCTTCAATTTATAATTTACTAATTATATATGATTTTTCTTCGTAGTTATACGTATACAGATGGACCTGAAGTAATAAAATTGTTGAGAATTTAACTTTTTATCTACATAACTTTATTTCATAAACCAGTCTATAGTCTAAAAGCTGATACTCGTATATGCGTAAACCAAGTAAACTTTTTATTTATAAATAATGATGTTTTATAAAGATTTATGCATCTAAAAGTCATTTAGCTATCTAAATTAACTAATACAAACTACTGTTTTTTTTTTGCCAATTTTAAGAAGACATATCATTCTGGAATTGTTCGGGCAACATTCAATCGAAGTTTATTATACGTATAATTCAATTTACTTTGTTATAAAATATTTTAAGTTTTCTTTCATATTTACAAATAATTTTCCACGCACTGATCGTTTAATTACTAAGAGACTCAGTCGCAGTGCTAATATGTATGTAAGTTTATTTATTAAATTTCGTTTTTGCTAATATATGACCAAGAAATAATTACTCACTAAATATATCCCAGTTTTATGCGATCTTTGAAATCAAGAAAATCTCCATTGATCAAATTTTTCTTTTTTCATGAATTAAAAAAATGGTTTAATTGTTTATACTACTTGAAAAACTATTGCAAATTAAAAATTACATTTTTACAATTGCTATATTATTTATTTATTTGTATATAAATGTTTTTTTCTTTGTAAACTGTTTATTTTATTTATACAATATAAAGAGATTTTAATAACAATTTCTTTTGTGTTTGTCTTGAAATATTTTAAGAAATGTAGAAGCATGAATGTGGATTATCGACTATATTGACGTAAACGGTGCCGACGCCAGAGAAGAAGAAAAGCATGAATGTATCAATTTATTTTTTAAGTTAGGTGACTTTTGACGTTTCTACATGTTTGTAGAAATAAAATGCATTATTAAATACATAAGCAGCATAATGCTTTTCTGTGTAAGTAATTCCTATTGGAATGCTACCGCAGGGAGCACCCTAACAGACATCTTATAGAGGCTGGACCTCAACTCAGGATCAGAAAGGAAGTACTAAATTTAAAGGACACTAGCCTCAAAAGACTCGCGTAATACTGGCGCAACATAGTTCTGGATATTATAACAGGTTAAGCTCCTACTAATTCAGACTCGACCCCAACATACCCAACGTATGTCCTATATATAATGAGTCCCCGCACGACACTAACCACCTCTTTACATATCAAAACCGACGCATCTAACTACCCTCTCCCTAACTAGCCTGTCCCTAATCGAGAGTAGTGAACCGCTACGACAACAATAACAATAAAAAAGTGGAAATTTAATTTTTTTTTATTAAAACTAACGTTGGAATAAAATTGGTATTTATTTGTTTACTTTATTATTTATTTATGCTATTCGAATTTCCTTAAAGTTAAAATTTCTTAAACATCATAGTTTATAAAAAATATAAGCAATAATTGTATTTACGGTCCCAACTTTTCAATCTGTAAACTTTGGAGAAAAAGGTTAAGACACGAACTGTTAAGTTGGCTCAATTTTGGTGCATACTAATCGGAATAAGAAAATGTGTGCAATATAGAAAGAAAGTATGACTTAATTTCCCTTCTTTATGGCATGCTTTATTATATATTATCCGAGTGGTTAGCATTGCGTATTGTCACTCGGAAAGGCTCGAGTTAAAATCCCTGTGCTACCAACATCAAAAAGTTATAGAAAATTGATTTAAAACAAAACATTAAGCCAGATTTTCTAATTGTGCTCGCCAATTATATATATATGAATATGTGTAGGATTAACTTTGCGAATTGAAGCGATTGCATTTTCTAATTTGGTCCAACCATATACATTTTAAAATATGATGAAAATGGTTATAAACGTTGACGTTTTCAGAACTTTCTCTAGAAATCATGAAGAATACAATACTATTAGTTAAGACAAAAACAATAACAAAAAAAAGCATACAAGTCAAGAATAATAAAACATAATTGAAATAGCAAAGAACATTAAAAATGACAACAGTAAAGAGAACAAATAATCTAACTAAAGAGAAAAAAAAGCAAAACAAAAGTTGAACAAATCGTAGGCAGGAACGTGCGGTGGAAATTTAATTATAATTACATTTACTGAAATTAGTAAATAGCTAAAAAGAATAAAATACAAACCAAAAAAATTAAATTAAAAGAACAATAAATACAGACTAAATTAAAAAAAAAAAATATATATAAAAAAAGAATGAACTTAATTTTAAGTAAAGTATAATTACTAGCTATAATTAAAGCGCTTATGACATAAGCTGCATTTGTTCGCGTAGCAATTATGCTATGAGGGCGTTCGAAGCATAATTAACCCTAACTCTTCGGATACACTAAATGTTTTTATAAAAATATCTTATAATAGTTCTAAAAGTTCAAGAATTTTTATGATTCAGATATATGTGAAGACGCTGCGGCAAAGTACTTTAACTTAAATTCACTATTATAACTTCTGTTTACATTGAATATAATTAATATTGATTTATATATCCATAAATAAATATAAGATTAATATTTATTGTATAAGTTATATGTATTTACATGCAGACACAATATGTTTAAAAATAAAAATAAAAACAAGTTTTCGGTTCATCCATTTGATGCCGATATCTGCGTACGGTGTATTTATTTATATGTATGACGAATATTCGTAGTCAAATATGTGTACATACATTAAATGATAACAAACACGTTGAATGTCAATGGTTTAGATTTCTTAAAGAGATAGTCTGAGTTGTTTGCATTTTATTTTTTGTTTCTTTTTTATATTTGTTTTTTTTTTTTTTTTTTAAGTCTACTTGCTCATGAAACGATGCATTGATAAATAGATAGATTATAAAGAGGATATGCACCACGACTAGTGGACTATTGAGCCCTCCGCTTTCTTCACATTATTTCAACGAGACCTAAAGGCGCTAATCGATTTAATGTGGTTCTCCTTCTTGCGACAGCTCCGCATAAAAATTTGATGTGCACCCGTGTTTCTGGTGCTAGCTCACATATTCCGAGCCTGTACATATGCTTTCGGAATCAGCAATGTCCTGTAAGAAATCCTGTTAGTATTCTTAAATTATTCTTACTCAGTAATATTATATTATTAAATCTTTTGGTATTGTAGCCGTTTATAGTGTTATGAGAATGGCCCTGGTCCAGTGGGTGAGATTGGGGCAGCCTCTTTTGCAAGTCTATCTGTTATTTCGTTTCCATCAATACCTGTGTGTCCCGGAACCCAGGCGAGCTGAGCTTTGTTTCTTTTGCCCAAACCGTGTATGATTTAATTAAACATGACGATATTACTTACTACGCGGCTTGGCTATTGCTGCAAATTACTATATGTTGGTTAACAATTTTGCTTTCGAGAATGAGCTCTTCGCATTTTGTGATGGCAAACTCCTTTGCCTGGAATATACTAGGGTATATCGCCATAGGAATCGATATTGTGCTTCTGGGTACAGTGACCCCGCGCCTATTCCGTCAGTAGCCTTGAGCTATCTGTGTACCACACAAGTGAGTGCGGTTTTATTACTTCCTGTGCCTGAATTTGGTTCCATGTTTTTCATTCCCCCAAAGACATCTTGGAATTTAAACTTGTTAACTTAAATATTTCATCTATATTAAATTTTCTAGAGTAATTGTATTTTATCTCTGCCCCTTTCTTGGCTGATACGATTTTACCTTTTCCTGACCCCTCTCTCATTATTGTTAGTATGGCTTTCTTATTAGATAGCTCTATTTCCTTGTGTAGAGGCGTAAGAGCAAGGAGAACTTCTAGTGCATGATCTCATGCATCCAGTTATACAGATGTACGCTAGTTTTTGCAGTTTAGTTAGTGCAGCCTTGGGTGTGTATAACTTTGCTCTTTCTGACCAAGCAGCTGCGCCATATGCTATTGTTGTTTTTACTATCATGGTATACATCCAGTGCAGTATTTTGGGGGTGCATCCCCTTTTTCTTCTTCATCTGAATTGTTTCATTGTCTACAACTGTCTCTGTTATTCTGTTGTTAAGCAGTTAAGTTGATCCAATTTCGGATAGGTTCTTCTGCTCTTTTCTTACGAAGTGCTTTGTCAACTGCTGCATGAGAGGTATTGTCGAAAGCTCCTTCTTAGATTAGTTGTTCTTATCGGCCTGAAAGATTTGGCTGTTGTGTAATCATGTTTTCAAGATTTGGGAATCAAATTTACTAAGGCTTTTTTCCATGACATTGGTAATTATGCCAATGCAAGGCTTTCTCTTGTGAAATATACCAGTGCAGATATTATTAGTTCCCCATTTTCTAATAGGGCTGGCCATATGGTGATTTAAATTTCTCAAAGGAATTAATTACCCCTTCTAACGAACTATAGTTGATTATCTTTTTGGCTAAGAGCCAAAATCTTTGTCTGGGCTTTGGTTTTCCCCATTAATTGTTGTAATTTCTAGAGTCGGGAAAGTGAGTTCTGAGAAGGACCATCACTCGTTCCTTTTTATTCTTGGTGTATTGATTATCTTCTAGCTTTGGTGCCATTTTACTTTCAACCGTATACCCTCGCAGAAGCTCCTAAAGTTCGATCTTTTTGTTTCCCTTAGTTCTTCTAGCTATCACTTCTTTTTGATTTATTCAAGTCTCTTCTTAAATTTTTCCTCAGTGATGCAAATGCGCATTCCACCACGGGGCCCATGTTCTTGCTTTCGGCTTCGATAACTTGCAGCTCGAGTTAAATTATGCTGTTATTTAAGTATTCTACTTTCTGTTCTAACTCTTGAAAATTCCTTGCTCTGTTTGCTATTTCTCTCCTGTTAATATTTAAGTCTAACAGTATAGTTTGTCCAGAATTCTTCCTTAGAAGTTCCGATTCTGGAGTTGGCATAATGCTGCTTTCTCCAGGCAAGTATTCGAATGCAACTACTATGTTAACTCTACTTCCTTCTACTTCTTTCGTTTTAATTTGTATTGCTACCAGGTCTACTTAAAAATTCTGAAAGACAAGTGTAGTTTATTTTTCTTTTAAGAATAGTACATGTTTTAAAGTTATCACACGTAAGATCCCATTTAACCTTAGTGGATTTGCCTTTTAATCCCCTTATCAGACCTTTATAGGTCTATGGCTCCTGCGCCAGAACAATGCCCAGATCATTCGAGGCTATTTTATGCGTTATTACCGCCGAGGCAGCAACCGCATGGTGTAGATTGATCTGGGCAATCTTTATGTTCGGTGTCATTCCTCTTTGCCCGTCTGCTGCTCGAAGTCGGAGAGCATCAGGTCCTCACCATGACTGCCCGTTCTCATGAGGTTTAGGCCTTCAGCCAGTTCCTCAAGTTCTCTAGCCGAAGCGATAATTTCGTCTGCTACTGTGTTCGGTATTTGATTCTTATCTTGGGATGAGCTGCATTTGGGACAACCTCTTCTTCCACTGCTTCAGCTGCCGGTGGATCCGGTTGCGCTTCTTCTTCTTGCCCTCCTGATCTCCAAGGTTTGGCAAGTATACTGCTGAATCTAAAATTGAGCCTTAAGCTGTTTTTCGACATAGAGTTGAACGACTCGTCGTCTACACATAGATCTAGCTTCAGACACGTTCCTTCGGACTTCTCGTCTAACGTCTTCCAGTGGGAGGTGTGGACCCTTCGTTTTGCGCCTGCAATAGTACTTATTCGTATGCGTTTCCCTTATCCACACTTCGGGGAAGAAAAATAGTAATATTGTAGGTTTGGGTGTATCTTTACCCACTTTCGTGGTCAGCTCTATTCCCATCCACTCAGGTTGGGTGCGGTTTTCGTGAGCCATTCAGCTATGCTGCTGTCTATGCAGTCCGCAATCAGTAGCCCCGGTCTAAATGTCACTCCAGTGAGAGCAAGCGGCTTCTTCCAGCCCTTTATTACCTCATCCATTATGGCGGCCTGGGTGTCGGTCAGCTGCTCCGGAGACAGACGGAGGGAAGTCCTAAGGAAGCACCACTACTCTGACAGCTTTTATAGCTTTGTCATAGCTGTGCCCTTGGCCAAGCCTGAGTGCCTGTTGTCTCGGAGCAGCTGATCCCTCCTGTTGGCACAATAGAGAGGTCGGCCTAAGCCTTTTCGAGGTTTCTTCTGTCGAGTTCTTTGCGCACTAATGAACTTGCTGCTACTACTCGTTTGCGCCTTCATTTGATGAGCTTGGACTCTGGCTGACTCTGGGCTCATACCCCGTTCAAGGTTTCGTAAGTATCTTACGATGCCAGCTCCACTGAGTCCATGTCTTCTTGGGTCATCCCGTCCACTGGGGCGCCCTAGTTCTGATACCTTTGAACAACGTTGTCTCCTTTGCTTCTTTTCTATTTTCTATTTTACTCTAGCGAGGCGTGCCCTCAAGCCTGTCGCTATTCCTACCTGGAGATCTAGATCTTCCCTCCTTCGTTGATCTACTCATCGATGATGATTTTGACGACTGTCCAGCGTTCAGCTGATTATTTGCGCCTCTGGTTTCGTCTGGTGGAGTTCAGTCTTTGCGGAGGTCTAAGGCCTTCAATGGTCTGATTTCTCCACTCAGTATTGTTGTCGCTGCCATCTCTGAGTTGACTTCTTAAAGTTGGCGATGTGCATCTCATTGTAGGTCTAAGGCCCTCAGCAGTGATGGTTGATCACTCCGTTGATGAACGCCTACTGTCTGGCGAGTCATATCTGCTACTACGTGCGCTTGACCTGCTACGTTCACGTTCGTTGATTTTGCCATGGTGTTCTCTTTGACCATTTTTTCGATGAGTCTCCCTTTCCTCTGTTGAATCTATGCCTGTGCTGGTCATCCTGCTCCTTTCACCTTCGCGCTGCCCTTGCCGGTGCTCTGAAGGTTGATTTATGGCTTCCTGGCAGTGTTTGGAAGTCTCCCGAGACAGCTCAGCGAGTACCCCCTTTCTTCTAGTGCAGGTCTCCTAAAGCAACTCAGCGAGGGAAGCACTATTGACTTTACGATTTCCAGAAGACCCTCTGCTTGTTGTGGGATAGTCGTCATCCCGCGCATGTTCTGCAAAAAGAGCTGCAGCCTCTGGTGAGAGGTCCCTGTATTTGCTACTCTTTTCCTAGTATTCTTAGTTGTTGTTTTTGTTGTTGTTGTTGTTTTTGCTGTTGTTATTATTTTTGTTTTGTTGTGATTGATCTTGTTCGTACGACCGTTGGCAAGTCGAAGCCTAATGCCGCGATAAGGCCACCGTTCCATCCCGAGGCGGCCCTGTGTCGAGAAGGCACCGTTATAATACATCTGGTTTTTGACCCTCCCATCTTCAAACCAACCAATGGCACGGTCCGTGTAACATCCTGACTTATTAGGGGTTGTAGTGCTTGGTCACTTCTCGATCTGCAGCCCATTCCACTAGAGCGAAAGTTGTCTGCCAACTTTGTCTCCTTGGATAGGCCTGATGATCAAGCAGTCAAGCCCAAGCAAACATATGTACATACATATATAATATGTATATATGTATTTACGCACGCTCATACGTTTAAATGAATGAATGAATATTGACTTGTTTACTTATTTCGATTTTACCCCACAAATAAATAATATCTAAAGAATTTAATCAAATATGTTTTATTATGTCTCAATTATCATGAATACCAATAATTTTATCTCTAAAAAATTATTAGTAAAAAAATATAAATATGTAAGTAAATAAAAATAAAATAATAAATTTTGTAATTTAAATGTTTAAATTTACAAACTATTAAAAGCAATTAAACAGAAATTGAAATCAGAAGTTTCTGATAATACATGTATGCATGTTTACATTTATCTTTAATAGGTTTTTATCATTTTACATTTAGTTTGCATGGAAATTCTCATTATTGTACTCATTCTACTATTTTGAGCACAATTCTGCTAGTTTCTGTTAATTTGTGGTGAACAGGGCTCATCGATATCTGGGGTGAAATGCATCCATAGGAAACTGGCGTCGACTGCAAAGCGGAACAAAATGACAATCGGCACGCCCTGAACCTTCTCGTTATATTTACGTTCTCTGATTGAAATCTGGGGATAGAAACACCAGGGTGTGCCGATTATCAAATTGGTCCGCTGGCTCGTTTTATGAAAGCGTATTTCAATACGCAAATCTGAAAGCGTTATTATACATTCCCTACGGTCTTATTCTTTTCACTGAAAGAACTCACCTCGTTTGAATTCGCCTTGCATTTTTGGCTTCAATAGCTCTTGATTTCATCCGCCATCTTGTACTCAATTTAAGTGGTTGTAAGAAATTCTGTTTGAGCGCTTTAAGAACATCTTTTAATTGGAGTAATCAAAAGGAAAGTTTTTCATTTGTGAATTAAAAATATGTCGGAACATTCAGATGAAGTTAATCAAATTCCCAAAGATGGAGAAGTTGACGGACCAAGAATTAATAATTTTGCTCAAAAATTTTTGGACGAATTAAATGAGGAACGTGGAAGGCTGAGCAGTGAATTTCCGATATGTGCACTGCTTATAGAAGAAGGTAATTTCATATTTATTAATGTTATATATTTTAATTAATAATTAAATTATTTTAAAAATAAAAGCTATTGAAAGAGTTTGCACTACTGGACGAATTCCTGGTAAGGAGTATTATGCAGATGTTTATAAGCAAAAACCAATTAAGCTGGCACAGAAAGTATTTGTCCCTATAAAACAATATCCTAAGGTAACTTAATGCAAATCCTAAGGTGTTAAGTTATAATATAAATTTTTTGGGGTTAGTTCAACTTTACAGGAAAGATATTGGGTCCAAAGGGGAACTCCCTTCGTCGATTGCAAGAGGAAACCCAATGCCGCATTGTTATCAAAGGAAGAAATTCCATTCGTGATCGCGTCAAGGAAGAAGAAATGCGTAATTCGGGCGATCCACGTCATGCACATTTAAATAAGGATTTGTTTGTAGAGATTAGCACGGTCGCTACACCCGCGGAATCTTATGCTCGTGTTGCATATGCATTGGCTGAAATACGAAAATATCTGGTCCCAGACAAGAACGATGATGTTGCTCAAGAACAATTACGAGAACTCATGGAAATCGACCCCAAATCGGCAAAACAATTTTCAAAGTAAATAGGATTGGTATAACTTTTTAAGGTAATTATTTCAATTGTTTCTTATTACAGATCCGTTTATGATCAGAAAGCCGCACCCACTGGACCATCCAAGTATTTAAATTTTGTTAAACAATATGCTTATCAAATGGAACCAAATAAGTGAGTATACATTATTGTATATATTGGAATTATACCTCCGTTTGTAGATTTTTTATTATATATATATTCGTTTAATTGTGTATTTATAATTATATAGAGATGAGGAATCAGAAGAGGAGTATTATGAAGCACGCATACCCAAACGGGCAATGGTACCGGCTTACGAGTATACCAAAGGTAAGAAGTTTTTTTTTCCTATTCAACCTTAAATGTTACATATGTACATACATAATTATAAAAAGAAACGATAATTACACATAAGATTATGAAAATGAAGCACATTCGTGTGATAAATAAAAATATCAATTATATAACTCACTCAAAAATTAATTATTGAAAATAAACATTTTAGCGAAAATTGTTCCATCAACTTTGCCCTATAAACGTCCACCAACCACTTCTATATATGGTACTCAAATGAAACGCTTCCGCGAAGCTCCTGTCAGACCAGCAATGAGGCCAGTGGCTCATGGAGTGTTGAAAAGATATAAATAATCAGTAAAACATAACTTTGATTTAAAATAAATAAAATAAAAAGCTTAATTATATAATAAGAACAAGAAACTTAAAATATCTGACAGACCCATCAGTAAAAATGTCGCTGGTTCATTACATGCATTGTTTGTCATAATTAATCATGAATATATATTGACTTAAATAATATATTGATAAATGATTGTTCAATTGTATAACATATAATCAATAAATTGAATGGTATCAAATGAAATATAAAGTGAACTCAATATTACCAAAAACCTTTAAACTAAACCGAATAACTTTCATTTGAATAAACTATTAATTCTTATAAATAAACAGATACATATGTTTCATAGTTTCTTAGATCTACCTCCAATTTATACGCTCACTTGCTTTGATATTTTCCAGTATTGTAAGGATTTCAAAATATTTGATAAACGTACTTACATACATATATTAAAGTAAATGCATTCGATTTGAAAAAAATGAATAAAACTAATGATTGCCATTTTTTTGACAAAACAAGAACTTGGAATTACTTACCAGGGCTTTATTCTGAAATGTGTATTTAACTTTATTCAAAAAAAAAATTATTTCGAAACACATAAGATGAACATGCTCTAGCTATTTGTTTCTCGTCTCTGAACAGAAACAGAAAATTTGCAGCTTGCTCTATTACTACTTTTTAAATTAGTACTAGAATCACGTCAAATATATTTTCGAAATGTAGGTAAAAGAAATACCCATAGAGGGAGAAATGGACATATTGATAGTTTCTATTTCGAATATTTTAATGTTGTTATAGCGGTTCGCTAACCCCGCTTAGGAACAGGTTTAACCACAGAGGTCATCTATTGAGAGATCCAGAAAACGTGCTGTTTCGGCGGGTTTAGACCGGAGGGGGAGATGGGTTAGATGCGCCAGCTTAAGGGTGAATGTAAAGAGGTGGGTAGTGTCGTGCGTAGACTTTACATGCAGGGCGTACGTTGGGTATGCGGGGGTCGAATCTGGATAGGTAGGAGTTTAACCTGCTGCAATATCCAGACAACTCTCAAGACAGACGGTTCTACGCACCGGATTTGACCCAGATTTTAACCGACCAAGGGCATGCATGTATTATACCTGCAGTGTTCTAAAATAAACATTAAAAACCTGTTTCATTATATGTCAAGGTGTTCATTGAAGATGAGTATCGATTTCTACCATTTTGCTACATCTGAGAGTTGGTGCAACAAGCTACCCTAAAATAATAAGGTAAGGTTTAAACAAAAATGGAAAATAAATTAAGTGTAAATTATTTGAATCAAATAACATAGGCGTAAGCTCACATTCCTATTCAAGTATAAAATCATTGTTGTTGCAGCAATATCTTACAGACAAAAACACATAAAATCATTGTACAGTGCATAAAATATAAGCATTGGTTCACCACTAAACTTGCTTCAAATAAAATCAAGCCAAATTTATAGTACAAAGCGAAGTTGTCGCATCGTGTTTTCTTGTTCTTTCTTTTTCGTCAAACTATGCTGCAACTACCCATTTTACTTATCATCCGTCCATAACAGTCGACTGGAAGAGCGAAATACATACACGAGTTATCAACGCTAGTGAGAGCGGCGAAATGTTACCAGCTGCCAGTGTGTTTGCACACTTTTGAACAAATTCATAATTAATATGTTTGAATATAGAAGCAAGACAAATATGCATGATCTAAATGGTAACAAAAACTTAGTTGGGAATTTAGTTTTCATTTCTATTGAAAAAACTATTCATTATCTTTGATTATTTTTATTACTTTAAAAAGCCTATACTGGCAACCTTGTATAGCAACGAGAAATGATCCGAGCCGGTTTTACGGAAAAAAGTCAAATCGCCGTTGGTTTCTGCGGGACAAGCGTCAGTAACGGCATGGGCAACCGTTGTCAACTTTTTGTGCATTTGTGTATATTCACATAAAATGGGGTTGCCGTGTGGCGAAGCGAGGTGAAGCAAAATGTTTAATACGCTTCATAAATTCAGACAGACGAATGGAAAAATTGTGTTGATGTAAACAAAAACAAATAAATTCACACACAACTCGCACTTACTGTACACATATGTAATGAAAAGTAAGCGGCCGAAGCGAATTCAATAGTCTAAATGCAAGTATTTGTCCCAAATCTCTCAAAATTGTACAATTGAATTGTAAACTCTATCCAGTCTTCTGACAAAGTGTCAAAAGTATGATGTTTTTATTTCAATCTTTCATTCGCAAAGTTTTTTCAATGAGATAGATAATTTACAAAGCTGGAAATTTATTCCTATTTGTTGAAAACATAAGTGTATTTAAATAATTACGAATGCAAAGGTATGGAAAAATGAATGATTTTGCTACCACAAACATTACATATATTAACAACCCTTTAATTGGTTCATTATTGGATAATTTTTTAGACAAAGTATTTAAGGTGGAAAATGTCCAATTTTAACTACATGGACAAAGTTCCTGTTAAAATAGCAGAAAGTTATAAGCCACCACCGAGGTTGTACCAACTGCCACAGGCCATATTTCATAAGCTACAATTACCAGTCGGGTATTACAACGAAGCGCAGCAATTCCGCTATGACTTCCAGTTGGAACGAAAGGTTCTTGCCAAAATGCCTGAATGGCGACGTCTTCGTCAGCAGGAACGTGACGCTCGACGTGAAAGAAAAGAGCAAAGAGAGCAAGAGCGCCTACTCGAGCTAGAGGCTAAAAATAAACAAATGCTTGGTGCTGTAAGTTATCCCAGTGCTGATGATTTGTCAAGTTCGGACAGTGACTCGGATGAGAAAAAGCATGAAGGGCAAAAAAGTAAAGATAGTGAAAAAAGCGAACCGGACTCAGAAGCGAAGTTGATTTTATCGTCGCAAATCAACAGTTTTGACAACATTCTACAACCAACAATTATAAGCAGAAAATTTGAAAATTCGCAAACAAGTTGTATATTAGGATCAGATTTGCAACCATTTGCTAAGACTGGAAAATATTCCAATGTTGCAAAAGATGTCAATGCATTTAATTACAAAGACTTTGAAGAAGACACATCATCACCTTTTGATAATATAGAGTTAAAAACAATTAACGACTTGGATATATTGGCCCAAGTGCTGCATAATACCCAAATGCATATACAACAAAAAGAAACCGTACAAGAAGACAATGTGAAAAAACAATCGTTTGATAATGAAACGGAAAAAGATAAAGAAGTTACAAAAGAACTAATAACCAAAGATAATACTCTCAACATTAGAACCGGTGTTAAAAACGAAGCCGAAAATAATGCATCATTGAAATTAGAAGATAAACCGTCTGAATTTAACTTAGAAATATTAGAAAAAAGGAAAACAGAACTTAGAAACGTAAACTTTGGTAATTTATATTCCCAAGGTTGTTATAACGAAAACATTCCGTATGCAATTATTACAAATAATAGCATTACTAATAACAGTAACATACCCCTAAACACTTCATACAGTTCTTATTCTAATCCACAACAACAATCTTATCAAATGACTTACGGAGCATTATACGGTGGTATGGGTGAACAACAATATAAAAACTTCACTGCTCAAACACATGGCTCCTCTATTGTTAGCAGTAATCGAAACTACCTATATCCACCGAATTACAGTAGTGGTACTTCAACATATTGCAGTCCAAAACATTTACTGCAAACTTCCTCTATCGTTAAATCCGCTTGTAATGCAGGTAGCTATGAAAACACAATATCATCCAGCAATGGGGTACACATGCAAACTCGACAGCAAAATCTTAGTATGAACAGTTGCAATGACACGACATTAAAATCGAAGAGCGTGCCAGATATATTGGCTGAATTGAGTGATGAAGTTCGGAATTCAGAAATTCGCAGATCTCGTTATTACAGCTTTAATTCGGAAGAAGGAAAGCAAAGTGGAGATAAAAATGATAGTGATGAAGGTTTGTATGTAACTTCATAGGTATATTATTATAAAAAAAGCATAAAAATTGTATATGCAATTTTTACACCTCTGTGAATTTGGCGTGTTTTCGACAGATCCAACCCCAAAGCAATCACCTGTGAAAAAACCATCTTCAGCAAATGTGAATCATTACGACAATTTACCCGTCCCTGCACAACGATTGGTCAAGAATATTAGTGCAATGGGTTTTCCGTTGGAGCGGGTTGCAAAGGTATCCACTATTTTCGGGACAGATGATAAAAAGGTAGGTACACAGGCATCATTTACATACAATTTATATACCACATGTCGTTGCAGATTATTGAGCACTTGATATCGCTGAGTGAATTGATGGATTTGGGTTTCGATGAAATGAAAATATCTGATGCGCTAATTCAATACGATAACAACAAAGAAAAAGCTTTGGAATATTTAATTTCGTAATGACGTGTGTATGGCATAATAGTGTACTACAACATATTATATGTATGTATTGTATTATTATTCTATTAAGCAACTATACAAATAGATAATCTTACAACAAAATCTGTGAACTGTAAATTGGCATACAATTATTATGCTACGCCTCTTATATGAAATTTCTAAACTGCTTAAATCTTGAAAAAAAAAAATTTAAATTAAACTCATGATAGAAGCGTTATATTTTTACAGGAAATATTGCACATACGAAAACCTAAATGTTCATTTAGCAAATAAACAAAGAACCACAAGATCATATAGTAAAAGCAACTGTCAATTTATTACACAGTTTACAAAAATTCGAAACAACATTAAATATTTTTGTTATTGGTACCTGCCATGCGTATCATTTCATTAATTTATTCCTCCCATTATAAGGTTAACAGCGACATCAATGTCACCGTTGGATATAGTTAAATATACTAGGTTGTCTTCATAATTTATCAAACCCATTTGCACCATGGTGCGTAATTGATTAGCATATTGATGGGTGCGATACTGCGCCGGTAATTCATCACTACCATCTTCGGCATTACTTTCTGTAGTTACTGTTTCTGTGGTGTCCATTTCGTGTGCATCTCTGCCCTGCTGTTGCGGCTCATTGTTACCAACCGCGGATGTTGTAACCCGTTGACTTAGTGATTCTAAAGCGCGTTGCAATTCCGAACGAAACAGAGTTGAGGAGATACGATCACCACTGGCAGAGTTTGAGAGTGGGGCAGATGTATTAGCAGTGGTGGAGTGTGATGTTGTTGCTGTTCCGGATGCTCTATCGGCATCACTATTTCTTTGAGCGATATTTGAAAGTGAATTAACTGAGTTGCCACCAATTCGTGTGAGAGCAGCATGCAATTGTTGGCGGCTTATCATGCGTATACGAGCTTGTTCCGATTGTGAAATAACCGGTCCAGAACGACGATCAGTACTTGTGCTCGCGCTGACTGTGTTTTCTTCCTCTGATGAATTTGTTGAATCAGTTGCTGGTTCTGAATCTATTGTTAAAATTTGTATAAGTTCATCGTTCAAAATGTCATTAAACTTACTTGTGGTGGATGAGCTTCGAGCCAATTCTTTCTTAATTGTATCTACCATAAATGAAGCAGCATCACATATAATAGGGTAGTAATAAGCTATGTTATCAACAACTTCTTTATTATGAAGGTTATTAAAAAGTACTGAATCTCTGATAAGAGCTTGTGCTCCTAAATTATGGCGAAACTCTGGATATTCCGCCAATACTTTTTGTAGAATATTTACGCGTGAGTTTACACTTATTTGAGTGTTCGAAATAACACTTAAAAGCACATGAACACAAGTGGTATTCATTAAGTTGGTTATATCTTCTGGGGGAACGTAAGGCGTATATTGCTTTGTCTTGTTAAAACAATGCACTGTGCCATTGGGACGTACCGTTTCCAATAATTTTTTCTCATCTTTTAAGGCTGTACCGCGATATATTATTTCTGTTTATTATTTAAAAAAAAAATATATATATACACGAATATTAGTTGAAACTGCTTTACATTTTTAAATAACCAAAAGTACCTACCCAATTTTATTGCATCGCACTGCACTTTCTTAGCAATTTCTTCTTTCAAGTAATGTACATTACGATCGAAGTCAATATTTTCCAAAGGAAAAAACTCATTTGCTTTGTCTTTTAAATGTATGCCAGCAAAAAGTGTATGCATTACGTTTATGAAAATATCGACTAATATAATTGAAAAACGCTTGCTCGACAAAGATATCAATAACTACTAAAAATTCTCGAAAACACAAAAACTGGTAAACTGGTAAAAAAGAAATTGTGGATGTTCGCTGCACTTTATTTTGAAACGTCATGAATATAGTCTTGCCAGGTCTCTAAGAAAACAGCTAAAAGAATTAAAATTTTTTTATTAACACATTATTTCGCTTGGATTTGATATTCTGAGGGCATATATTGGTATTAGTGAATAAAATGTATTAATTTCTTTCAATACCCAAACTAATATTTGTACAGACTGACAGTTAGAACATTAGAATTCATTTCGGACAAGAAACAAATCGAAGACCCTGTTTTGCATTACACAAGCGCATGAAATCTGTCAAATTCTCGGATCAAAGCAAAAAAATAAGCAACTGTGTATTTTCATTGATTATGCAGGTAGCGCTTCATAGATTCTTAAAAATGCCGGATATATTAAGCTGCGACTTTGAAGTTCATGGCATCGTACAAGGTAATTTATTTTTAATTTCCTTAACTTACATACCAATAAAAAATGTAATTTCAGGAGTATCCTTTAGAATGGTAAGCATGTTTAAAAGTACTTTTCTTTACTATATTTATCAATAACCTAAGCTGAGGGTGTAGTGGACATAGCCGGAAAGTATATTATAAGTATTACTATTAAGATGTGTATGTAGTTAACATATCTCATAACGTTTTACAGTATACTACAAGGCAAGCAAACTCTTTGGGTGTGAGAGGATGGTGTATGAACACACCACACGATACCGTTAAGGGGCAAATCGAAGGTACACCTGAAACCTTCGAGCAAATGTAAGTGCATCTTCTGAAAAATGTTTAATATAATATATGCATATTAAAAACTTATTTGATTAAGGAAAATATGGTTGCAAAAAACTGGAAGTCCGGCGAGTCGCATTGATAGGACAGACTTTGGCGGAACGAGAAAATTACAGGAGTTTACATTTACAAATTTTTCAATTCGTCATTAAGTTTACTTGTCATATACATAAACGAACATGTACATATTAAGGAAGTATTTTTAAACAGATTAATTAAAGTCACTTGTACAAATTTTGTGCTTTTCTATGATATTAACAGAGTTGAGTTCGTATTATACGTTCTCTGGTGCAATTTCATCATTTTGTCCAATTATACAATTAGATTAGATGCCTTTGATGTGCTGTATGTTTCGAACAATTGATGTACATAATGAAGGTAACACCATTCAATATTTTTGAACAAACTTTTACTCGGAATAGGTCATGGTGAACATATAGTTGCATTTTTTTGGCATTAATAATTTGTCAATTTTATGACCATGAATTGCAGCCGCGTTAGCCGAGTGGTTAGGGATCAAATCCTGGTACGACCAACAACCAAAATTTAAGAGAAAATTAACTTAAGTTAAGAATTGAATTTACCAAGTAACATTGTAAAATAGGACGATGATTATTTTTACTATTGTGAATTTTTCGTTCAAAGCAAAGTTGGCTGTAATTGGAGTTCTCAGAAATGTTTCAGTCGTGTCGTATATTGCGTGCATTTGTTGGAGGAGATATGTTGGTTTGTGAAAAAATCTGAAGACCTTAATTTAATAAAAAAAAAAACAATTTTTGTATTTTGACATTGAGTGAATAACCAATAATGTATATTATTATTGCATAAAGTGGGATCTGTTTCTTCATGTGTCACGAAAAACACCATCGAAATTTTAATGTTGAGGTTTTTTTTTAGGTGTGTGTGTAATGACTTGCGCTAGGGCAAGAGGAAAAGAGTAAGCAAGAGTAAGAGTATTATGGCTGTTTTGCTTTAATTCCTTAACGTTAAAGTGAGAACGTTAGTTGTGTTATTGCGAAACGTGTGTGTTCGTGACGAGAAACAAAGGACCCGAGCGAATACGTAAGATTGTCGGGCAATTTATTGTACTGTGCGCACGATAACTTTGAATAGAGCGAGCTGAAGTATTTTGTGCTGAGGCATATTATAAAAGCAACCAGTTGAAGAGAGATAACCGTTTGGAATATTTTGAGCGCATGTGTACTATGTAATTTTAATTTGGGTTTCGTGAACGAATTTTCACTGTGATCGGACGTATTGAATTATCTGTCTTCGTTATATACCGTTGCCTGTTATTGCTTATGAAAAGTAAAAAGAAGGAGGAATAGTAACGACGGTCGAGTGTGTGTGTGTTTTGTGAGATAAAATATAAAAATATTAAAGTAATTGCAAATCAAAAAATGATTAAAATGGAGACTGACAAAATAATGGACGAAACCAACTCTAATTCACAAGCAGTAAGTTCTATGCACTTATATGATAGCTAGTTTTCTTCACAGATTTTTAATTTTTACTAACCAGTATTTATTTATGAATATTACTATTACTCCTATATTTAGACATAAACTTTTCATGAGTTGTTGCAAGAAAATTAACCTACAATGCAGATATATATACAAAAAAACAAATTCATTTTAAATATTAAGTTCTTTTAATGAAGAGCGCAATGCTGATATAAACATACATACATTCCTATGTATGTACATACGTATATTTTCAGAATAAATATTAAATCTTTTATTGAGTTGTTTAAGATGAATTATTTACTTTTACAATCGTTTTCCACGTTTCTAAGTTTTTGTTTCCTACTCGTAAAATTGCGAAAAGGTTATATGCGCATATGTAGAAATTAAATTTATTAGATTTAACACAAAAAACTGACAGAAAGTTATTACATATATACGTTTATGAGATTATACACAAGTGTATGCAACTTTTCTCTACTGTATATGTGAATTTTCCAAATTACCTATAACCAGTTTTTAGTTCTCTTGGAGTTAATTTACTCAAGTTTACCAGTGTTATGTATATAGTACATACGATGATGATACTTCTCAACTTCAAATCGCAAATGTATATTGAGATCAAACTAAAATATCATATTCATATGTATGTATAAAAAAAGTATGTTATCTATTACGATGTTAGTGCTATGAGTTCTTACGAGTTCAAGGTTGATAAAATCAACAACATGGTGTTTGCAATGAAACACATATTATCTTTGAGTTTTCAGCGTTATAAGTTGAACAGCAGGAGAACTTAATCGTGTTTTTTTTTAATATTTTTTTTTTTACATGTGACATATTTTTGTTGTTGGGTTGCATTGATTTTTTAATTTTCACCATGTGTAAATGAATATGTTTTTGTAAGTCAAAGCCGTAATTATATGCAAACATTTATTAATAACTTTGCATGCATAATATTGATTATATACTAGTGCGAATTGAAATATACAGAAGTAAAACGATCTTGCATTATAATATATGTAGTACTTAAGTAATATAAAAGTAAATTTTTATAATAATTATAGCCAAGAAGTAACTTATGTATACTCTCAGAAAGAAAATGATACTGAGAGATAATTTATTATTTTCAGGGAGTGTATACAACTTCCTATATATGTATACATAGGTAGTTAAATACATTTATAAGATTTCTACCCATGTGACCTTTTTATTCAATGCTTCTGTTTATTTTTTATTTCCATATCCCACAATAATTGTCTCGTCTGTGCTCTGACAATGATAACTGCTGTTCGCCAATGTGTTACCTCTAATTTGTGGTGCGGATTCTCGCTCATCTCACCAACTTTAAATGCATATGTATGTATGATCAATGAACATAAAAGTTCACATCGACAATGCTGTACGATCCCGTCCGAAAGAAAGAATCATCGCAAATTTTTCAAAATGAACGTGAGACCTGCTTAACCTACTTCTCGCAATGGAACGAAGCGGATCAGGTTGAATTCGTGGAGAATTTGCTTTCGCGCATGTGCCACTACCAACATGGACACATAAATGCGTTCCTCAAACCGATGCTGCAGCGTGACTTTATCACACTGTTGCCGAGTAAGTACATATCAATATAGCTAAAAACATACATATGTGGGTATGAATTTGTATTCATTATGGTGGTCTAATAATTTTTGTATTCATTAATCAAAGGGTATGCACGGTATTGGAAATCCCCTTTATAATTTTTGTATGTATTAATCTAAGGGCAGGGTATACGGAAACCCTTATTTGTTTTATTTATAGCTTTTATTTCATTGCATGAGCATCATATAAAGTTTGCAGTATTTTGAAAAAGACTCCCAAATTCATAAAAAAGAACATACCGTAGTTTTCTTTCTGGCTAGGCTCATAATTATGTATATTGTATGTAATATATCGTACAAAATAGCTAAATGATACTTCCTAAGTCAAGTGTGAGGGGTTGAAATTGCTTATCATTTCATGGTAATTGTGAAATAAAAAAATTTATTTATTTATTTGCAACTATACGGAATATCGTGGGGTCGATTTCTAGACCAACCAACACGCAATATTACAGACACACAAAATCAATTTTTCTAATCTTAATCTTAATATAGAAATAACCAGGCTGTTCGTTGTAGATCTTTATGTCCGTTATGAAAAAAGAAGTTTTATGGAGATTAATCATATTATTTCCATGATTCCTGAGAAGGTATTTTCGAAAAGTTATTTATGGTTTGATTTACTTTAAATTCGGGATAAAGGAAACAACCATGTATTGCATACCGTACAAAGGTGGCCATTCAAAAAATCTTGTGGATGGCTCAGCTTTTTTGAATTTTGAAGTCGGGGAAGTTGACTATTAAAAAAATCTTTTTTATGGTTTGATTTACTTGAAATTCGGTGAACAGGTGGCTTTTTGCATACATGAGCAGGAAAACTACTCTTCTCTCCGGGAAGTGACCTGAAGACTGTCCTATTCAAATACTCTCCGGGAAATGGACCAATGTCAATGGTAAAACCAAAAATATTTAATTTCCACAAGTATTGAGTAAATAAAGTTATGATAAAAATATATCCCATGATTAACTTAATTCAATGAGTATGTGCGACAACGAAGCATTGCAAGGTACATCTGTAATACATGAGTACATTTTGACATTAAATAAAAAGTTTCTTATAAAAATTACAGCGACATTCAGTAAGTATAGAATGTTAAATCTGAGATACCATTCAATGTTTTGTTTCGTTGATCACATAAATTGACACGACATGATGGTAATCGATCGATAAAGATTTGAAATTCTAAACACTCAAAAATAAGGTTTTTGCTAATGTTTAGTATAATTAGTAGTTTTTGTTTATTTTAATTAATAATTACGTATATAAAAACTGTAAGAAAATGTATCGCATGTAATCGAGAGCTAATTTTTTGTTGAGTTCTGGTGCGCATCTCGAGCAAGGGCGCTAATTGCTGATCGCTGGAATTAAATTTTCAGACAAATTTTATGAGTCTCGGTACTGAATTGGAACTGATACTATGGCCACAAAAATAGTATCAATCAATTCGCGAAAAATTTTATGAGTCTCGGTACTGAATTGGAACTGATACTATGGCCACAAAAATAGTATCAATCAATTCGCGAAATAGTGGCTGTATCAAAAATACTTAATGCCGCTGTTAATCTACTGTTCGGTGGTGGCTCAGAATAAGCAGTAGCTCGGCGGAAAGTCGCTACAGGCGCTAAGACATAAAGCGGTACTTATATATGTAAATACATATATATTATTTTAATTACACATTTTTTATTTTTCCTTATTCTGCGTTTTATTTATGTACTATATTTACATATGTATGTATGTATATGTGTTTATCTGCACATTCGTATATATGTATATATATCGTTTGTAATAACAGGTTTCACCAGGTTTATCTTTGTAGTTGTATTTCGACTTTAATTCTCCGGCAAGTGGTTGTTAATGTTATTTTCTGTGCAATTTTTTTTTTTCGGGGGCATTTAGTCACTGATCTTAAAAAACACTAAAACATGTGTTTGTACGTATCTATATTAAATAAGTAAACGCTGGATACGTTGCAATCATTTATTATTCCTCTGAAATATACATACATAACAGCGGCCTCGAAATACAAAACGAGCGACTGGAGGAAGCGAAATTAATTTTTTAAACTTCAAGTTGTGTAATTAAATGCTACATATAAAATAAAATGTTTGCAAAATGAAAAAATCACAAATTTCTTTTCAAATTTTGTTTAATAAATGAAAGTATTTTATTTTTCTTTTATTATAAATTGGTATTTTTAATCTAAGTATTTTTTAACAAATATCACTCGCAGAAATAGAAAACATTAATATCGAACAATTGTCAATTAATTTTTTGCAAAATCCCCACAATTCAAAATAAAACGTAGATAACTTAACGGTACCACAAATTTCAAAACGAGCGAACGCGTGCGTCATAGCTATGCGTTGCTCTACTACATTCAATTCGAATTCTGGAATATGTGTGCATTATTTATGTTAGGATTACTCAAACTAATATTTAAAAAAATGAAAAGAAAGTTATTTTAGTTAATAAAAATCAAGTTATAAATTAATTTTGGTTTTTTTCATTTTGCAACCAATTAATTGACATAATGTATACAGATGTGTATTTGTATATTTATACTAAGAAAAAGGCACAAACACCTAGGAGCCATTCAGCCATAACCACATTAAATCAATCAGCCCCTCTAGCCTGATTAGTTTTATTAAGGGTCTGGTTGAAATAATGTGAAGAAATCGCAGGGCACAGAGACGACTGGTCACGGTGCATATCCTCTTTACCAATTTATCTGTATATATTTATACAAAAGTCTGTTTGTATTTTTTGACCTATATATGTATATATGTAATAAAAAAATAATTATAATAATTTGCGCTTAATAACCGCTTGCCGATTTTCAACCAAGCTTCTCTTGCAAGTATGGTGACTCACAGTTTTAAGCCACCTTCAGACGGCTAAGCATCTCTTGCCTTGGGAATAACCTCATTGAGAAAAAGTTTTTTTTTTTTTTGATATCGCTAATTTTAATCGAACCATTGTCCCAATTTCGTTTGTAAATAGCTATTCACCAGAAGTTATGTACAAGATTGTAGATGCACATTCATAACTCTCATTTTCTAACACATCCATATAAATACACTTGTTCATATTGTGTGCTAAATGTTACTCCAAATATTGGTGCAATATTTGCAATGCCATTAATTTTGTTTGTGTCTATGAATATTCATATGTACCATGAACTATATTCACTGATTTTAATTGCTTTTTAATTTTATGCCAATGATGTAATGGTTTTACATCGCTATTATCTTAAAATTAATATCCATACGTCGTAACATACCAAAATGGCAAAACAGGCGATCTGAATATCTAATATCATAATTACATACATACATATGTACACGTTTAAGTTTAATAAAAGAATCGAAAGTAGAATAAATGTTATTACTGGACGTTTATATACACAATAGACTTGAAAAAAATTAATTTTCATTGAAAATATCGACGAATTCAAATTATCCGGTATAGACAAGCATTTTATGTAAATATTTCAACTTGTTATCTACTTGATCAAACGATACCAAAGTTCGATTTGAATGACAGTGGTCTGTGGAACTCTTGGTGCTGGTAAACAATTAGGCATGCAGTAATGCCATCCTAGTATGCACCAGTCATCCTGAGTTCTGCATCTTATAAACACTAAGTTTATTGCTTCACTGTTCACCTGAGAATTGTACTTATGCATACATATAAGCACACGTACACACGTGCATGCATTTAAGCATAAGTACTCCAAATGATATTGTAATTCATCGCACTTTTTTCTCAATATAGGAATTTAAATATTTCATTAAGACTAAAAGTTTAGTTTTAAATATGTTTATGTATTGTACATACATACATATATGCACTTTATGCAACACATCACAAACATACATACATACACACACACTTATGATTGTATTCCTACAGTTCTATCTCAAGTCTTTTTCAATCCACTTATACAATCCATTCGTCGTCGTGGTTATTGTCTCAACAAATCATCTAGTGATGAAGGCATATCAAAACGCTGTAGTCATGTAGTATAACATGTTGTGAGGACGGAATTGGGTTAAACGTGATGTGACTGACAGCGTGAGGCGTATGTATGTCTTTCTGTTTCTACGGTTTCATAGCTATTTGGGTTATTCACAGTTTTTGGCTTACAGTCTGGATCATTCTAATCAAATTAAATATGTACACAAGTATGTAAAAGTGGGTTTGGTGAAATGTATGTTACTCCATGCAGATTGCTATTTTACATATGTAAGAGGGGATTAACAAAAGTTCGGTAAGTTGACCAGAAAAACAAGCAAAAAAATCTTTTTGTATTTTTTCATAATCTTTGTCCTTTTTTCTCTTCTCTACATAATCGCCATTGATTTCAACGTATTTCTTAAGCTTACATATCCACTTCTGAAAGCAGTTTTCAAAATAAATCAAAAAATCAAAATTTGTTGCAGGCCGTATATCTTCGGTCCCATAGAATGAATGTCATGATGTAAAAAGTAACGCCGCAAATTCTTTTTCTTTCTGTTTTCCAACAAAGTTTTGAAAAGTGTCGGTGAGCTCTCTTCAGTGTACAATTTTGCAGGTACCGTCTGACCCTTTTCCAGTGGAATAGCAGCTACGATTTTTGATCAGGTGAAGAAAACTGACAGTTACTTTTGTTGATGAGATTTGTAGCTTAGATTTTACGGGTGGGTTTGCTCCTGATGGTCTCCATACCATGGACTACTGTTTGATTTTTGGATCATACTTGAGTTGCTAGACTGACCATTTTCGAATTTATTTAGGAAAAATTGAAAAATTTAAAATTCGTGGTACCCATCGAGTAGATTTCTTCGAGTATCCCAGATATTAAATACAGTAAAGTACGCCGAAACCCGAAGAGAATCACATGGCGAATTTCTGTTTGCGTTGGTGGTGGAATTTCGACTGACCTATTTTCAGCTATCTTGTATTTTCCCTTCTCCATTTTAGCAAAAAGTAAGGCTAATAAGGTAATTGCAAAGAATCTGGTATTTTTAGATTTAACAAAAACGAATTGAAAGTCAATAATTTACCGAATAAAAATAATCACTGCATACTCCATTTCCCTGCTCGCCGAATCTACAAGTTTGTTCCTTAATACATATACTTCATAAGTACATACATGTATGTATATACGAATATATGAGTTTTAACAAACCATTTTTTCTCTATTTATCATATAGAAAAAGGACTCGATCACATTGCCGAAAATATACTAACGTATTTAGATGCAGAGTCACTCAAGTCCGCCGAGTTGGTGTGCAAAGAATGGCTGCGTGTCATCTCGGAGGGCATGCTCTGGAAGAAACTGATTGAACGTAAAGCCCGCACCGATTCCTTGTGGCGTGGCTTGGCAGAACGACGTGGTTGGATGCAGTATCTGTTCAAGCCCCGCCCTGGCACCACTCACAGACCACACTCTTTCTATCGTGAACTCTATCCTACTATAATGAAGGTAAAAAAAATATATTTTCATTCTTTTAGAATTTTTTTTAATGTTTTTGTTTAGGATATCGAGAGCATAGAGAGCAATTGGCGTAGTGGCCGTCACATGTTACGCCGCATTAATTGCCGTTCTGAGAACTCAAAGGGCGTCTATTGTTTGCAGTATGACGATCAGAAGATCGTCTCTGGTTTGCGGGATAATACTATTAAAATTTGGGATCGTACGGACTTGCAGTGCGTTAAGGTAATGCATAGAAACTTCACTTGATATTATTCAGTTTTAATATACACATAATGATATAAATTATCCGTTTTTCTTTTAGACTTTGACTGGTCACACCGGTTCGGTTTTGTGTCTTCAATATGACGATAAAGTAATCATTAGCGGTTCGTCAGATTCGACTGTACGTGTTTGGGATGTAAACACTGGTGAAATGGTCAATACATTGATACATCATTGTGAAGCTGTGCTTCATTTACGCTTCAATAATGGCATGATGGTAACCTGCTCTAAGGATCGTTCAATTGCCGTTTGGGACATGACCTCACCTAGTGAAATAACCCTTCGACGCGTGTTGGTCGGCCATCGTGCTGCCGTTAATGTCGTTGATTTCGATGAGAAATATATTGTATCCGCCAGCGGTGATCGCACAATTAAAGTGTGGTCAACTTCAAGCTGTGAATTTGTACGCACATTAAACGGACATAAGCGTGGCATTGCGTGCCTGCAGTATAGAGACCGCTTGGTGGTCAGTGGCAGTTCTGATAATTCAATCAGGTCATTATTGAAGTGGAAATGTGGTGAATGTTGATTTTAATTGCCCATTACTTTCCTTTCCTTCTTAGGCTTTGGGATATTGAATGTGGTGCTTGTTTACGTGTGCTTGAAGGCCATGATGAATTGGTTCGTTGCATTCGATTCGATTCGAAACGCATTGTCAGCGGTGCGTATGACGGCAAAATTAAAGTTTGGGACTTGGTCGCCGCATTGGATCCACGCGCTCAAGCCAACACACTTTGCTTAAATACCTTAGTGGTAAGTACATATAAGAAACCCTCAAAAGACGAAGTTACAAAATTTTTAATCCCAATATTTAAAATCATGAAGTTCATTATGATAAAGCTCAAGATTCAAGTTTTCTTTTTCACCTACCTAAGGTGTGTACTAAAATAGGTGTTGTGTGGATATTTCTGAAAACACGTAACGTATGGGGGAATGTTGCTTAATTGCAAGTTACTGATAAGGTAAAAATCTGGGATTTTCCGGTATGTAGACCGGGCTAATGATTTTTAGTCGTCTGACAATAGGCATGATTTACCTCTTAAGCACCTAATCTGCAAGGGATTTTACATTATTGATAGAAGTTAGTTGCTTATCTCAAAATTCGGCTTTTTGGCGCCTGTTTGTGGTCAATGTTGTCATTGAACGAGAGTCGAAAGTACAATGTGTGAAAAGTGAAGTAAATACTCATATCCAGATATACATTAAAATAATTAAGAAGACGTAGCATTTTAGAGATCTTTCAATATTTTTATTCGTCATCTTTACGGGAATATGTGACAAGAATAGTCATCAAATCCTTTCTAAAACAAATTATTTATAGAAGCAAATTATCAACACACCTTACTACTGAAGAGATATCAACACAAATATTGTAATAAAATAAATAAAAATAACCCTAGTATTGTCCCTAAAATCCTGCGTTCTTTCCAAAGGGCTTTTTGTTTGTAAACTAGTGGTTTGGATAAATCTTTGACTTTTTTATATTTAACATCCTTTAATATATTTTCTTATTTCTCAGGAGCACACAGGCCGTGTTTTCCGCTTACAATTCGATGAATTCCAGATTGTTAGCAGTTCTCATGATGACACAATTCTCATATGGGATTTCTTGAACTTTCAACCTAATGAAAATGCAGGCCCACCTTCTCGTGAGTTTTCTCCTTTATTTCAACTAATATTTTTTATATACTAATTAATCTTTTATTACTTTAGCTGCACTTACATTAATGGAACATTAACGTTTCGCGTTAGCCCAGAGTTGGAAGATTTATAAAAACATTAACAAATTCACCCAAAAGTGATCCTAAACGGCACATTTAATGCAGACATTATTATATCAGATCATAGCTAAAATCTTAATTGTGTTAAACTTAACTGAATACACGGCAGCAACACTAACCTGTAAAAATCAAATGAAAAACCTTAAAAAAAATATCGGAGAAAATTAATTACAAGTGTAGCGTCGACTGCTTGCCGCGGCAACTGATCTCCAACAAAAGATAAGGAAAACAAATCATATTTAAGAACAAAAACCAATACATTCGCGATTACAACTGCGGCGGAGGCAAACAAAATATGCTGATCCTGAAATTAATAACGCAACTTATTATCTGAAGAGACAGTTACAATGTATGCATGTGTGCTTATATGAGTCACCAGCTCACTCATAATAACTATTATTAAAATGCTTAGTATTATTGAGAAAAAAATTTAATAATATAAAAATCATTTATTGGGTAAATGTTAACAAAATTATTTAAATAAATATTAAATAACATTTAGACATTGTAAAATTGCAAAATCGAACCTTATCTGTACGGTGTGCACTGTAATTATTTACGTTGGCATAGGAATGGTGGATGGAGATGGAGGAATTCGAAAGGGGGAATGGAACGGTTGACGTCACCATCATCAAAAACAACAACATTAAAATTGAATTACATGCAAGTAAAAGGATTTTATTTTAATTAGCATAAAATTGTTGATCAAAATGCATACATCAAATTATAAAGTAAACTTGCTGGCAGAATGAAAAAAATAAATAAATTGATGAATGTATAAATTAGCACATTTTATTATTTCTAAACATACAATGCAATGGGACAAAAAGCTATAGAGATGGAGTTATATTCTGGATGAGAGTTTTTGAAGATAAATTTCATTACGAAAATTATTTAACATTTTTACCGCGTGGGTCAGAATGACAAGTGGAGTTAATTTAGCCACGACCGCCTGCATCTATTCGTGCGCAAGCCATTTCCTAAGCTTTCGATATATGTCATGTATGTGTTTTTATACAGTAATGATCATTTGTCGAATCCGGCCAGATCGGACCAATATAACAGAATGACAAGTGGAGTTAATTTAGCCACGGAGCTGAGATCGCCTTCTTCCGCTGTTTCCGTCATAGGGTACGGCATATAATATATTCAAAGCTAGAATGCTTTCATCTATTAGGACGACATGACCGCCGCAGCCGCTATGTCTTCATTCAATGAACTATCCCAATATCATTGCATATCAGTTTCATCGTCTGCGGTATTCGCCATTGCCAATGCGCAAAGGACTAGAAATCGTACGCAAAACTTTTCTCTCGAAAACTCCCAAAGTCGACTCATCAAGTTGTGACTGCCACAGTTACGTGGGAGCCAAAACGGAAAGCGATGACCGTTTGTTTGATGACAGGAGATATTTCGTCTATTCGTCTATCAAGCCTGGGGAGAGCAAAAATAACGGCGTGATTGTTAAGGCCTATGATAGCAATATCATCGGCATACGTCAGTAGTTGTACACTATCGAACGTCTCGGAGTCCCTTCCCAGCTCGGAATGCGCTTCTGGTCAGTTTACACAGCCGTATAAGTTTTGCGGGGTTACCAAATTCAGACATAGCGACGTAGAGGCAGCTTCTTTACGTTCTGTCGAAAGTTGTTTTAAGATCGACGAAAAAGTGGTGTCTGTCGATAATTTTTCACGGTTTTTCAATCGGTCTGTTCAATCGTCATCGATTGGAATTTCGGGTTTTCATTTTCATTGACATTCAGCAGGCTGAACCACCCCTCTTGGTGCTCCAGAAGTTAGTTCCTGTTTTGAAAGCTTCCGTAAGTCGCCGTATCTTTTCGTAGAATTTTCGAGTATTACTCTTGTCGGCAAGCTTCTTAAGCTCTTCCAGCTCTCGGAAGAAGATATCTTCTTAGCCCACCCTGGCTTTGCAGTCGCCAAGCACACTTTAGACATCGTGGCGGGGAAAACCCTCATAAGTATGTTCGCTCGTAAAACGCGACCTTGATCACATCGTCCTTCTGTTTCGTCGGGTCGTGGACCCAAATCAGCGATACGTTAAGAAATTTTGCTTTGATGCGCTTTGCGGCGAGTCGTTCCTCAACCGGGGTAAATGCCAGTACTCGGCGGTATTGACCGGTTCAATCACACTCAAGGCGGGCAGTCCGTTACTAAAAGGGATTATAAATGATGTCCATTTTGTTTATAATTGTTCATTAAAAATAATAAGAACATGACATAAAAGCTCTTACACTCACAGCAATATGTGTATTTAAAAAGCGTCATTAAAGCTAAAGTTGTGAAGCTTTTTCATAAGCTCTCTCTGCAATCTCTACATGTAAATATAAAATTTGTCATTACATATACATGAGTACACCAGCAGAGAGGGGCTCAGCACAGACCGGTTAGTGTAGAATATTTTTCAGTGCTTGAGGAGATACATTTATTTGGAAGTGCAAATGAGGGAGCTTACTGCAAACTATTCATGAAGTCCCATATGACCTCCAACAGTGTATTTTACTCTCTTAGTGTCGATGTAGGAGTTGAGCTTATAAAGCAAAAATGGATGCGCTTCAACCGATAGAAAAAATGCAAAAAGCAATAAAAGAAGTTAAACGAACGAATAAGTAAACATAGAAAATGGAAAACATATCGAAATAATAAATTAATACATGTTTACGTATGTACATGCGTCGGACGAACGGACGGATAAGCGTCTCGCGAGGGCAGACAATTTCGAGCACGCGTCCAACAGTTTAGTCCGATTTGCGAAAGTGCCGAAAAAGGTTTGAGTGCGATCATCGTTAGAAATTAATATAAAACAGCTAATCTTATTATACTCTCTTATTGTACATATATATGTCTGTATGAATGTATATTCATACACATATAACACGGGGCTAGTTGGTGTCGAAAAAAATATTCCCAAACATCTGAAAAATATATGTATGCATACATATACAGAACTAAAATATATAAAGGAACATTAAAAATCATTTTAATATACATACATACATACCTACCTCAATAGAAGGACATTTGTGCTTGATATATCCGTGAAATAAGTGTAGGAGGAAGGCGCCAAATAGTTTGAGGATGGAGCGTATATTGCGGGGTATCATGCGTTATAGGAACACGACACGCGAACAGATGGTGAAGGAATTTCAAAAAGTTCGCGATCATCCAGAGGTAAGTGGTACGCATATGTGCTGAGGTATGTACAAATATGTACGAATTTATAAACGTGCGAAGAGTATTTACATTTCTATGGATTTGGTGCATGCAAACCATAACCGCTTAACACAAGTTGGGACGAAAATAAATTTTTAACTATGATACATATCGTATCATATATCTATGATACATACGTATATATATATATATATATATATATATACGTACATATGTACATGTACACATAATAAAATAAGTATATAACTTTAAATATGAAAATTTGTTAATCACATACATATAAATTAATAGAAACCAGCCCGATAATATAACAATTTTGTAATCGCAATGCAAACTAAGAACAGACTGTTGTATTAAATCGGAGATAATTATTATTATATGTTTATTGAAAATTTTCCATAATGATTTACTAATACTGATGACTTATATTTGCTTGTACGATTTGGACATTTGCAGACTAATAAAAAATTTATGTCCAATTAAAATTAAAAAATACACCGGCTTTATTAAATCTCAAAACATAATTAACATTATTTGAACATAGTTTTCTAACAATGAGCTGCTGGAGCAGAGACCATAGTAATAGAACGTATCACTTTTGTAATTTTGTGTGTGTAAAAAATTTAAAAGTTCATCTAAAGTTCGTAATTATGTTCTGTTGGAATGGGACCATGTGCAGAAGTTCAATACAAACAACCGTTTGGAGGCGAGCAAAAGTGAGAAGGCGAGTCGAATGCGGTTATGCGTAAGGTTTGGGACCCACCACATGAAAAAATTATCCAATGAAAAAATTAAAAAAGCCTCGGGTGAGAGACTCTCCTTTTGACGACGACTCCCGCAAATGTTCTAAGATTACGATTTGAGGGCATGCACCTGGAATGCCCGGTCCCTTAATTGGGAAGGTTCCGATGCTCAGTTGGTTGATGTCCTCGTAAGAATAAAGGTCGACATCACCGCCAGCCAAGAAGTGCGATGGGCGGACAAAGACGTAAGCGAGTAAGTCCTTGTGATATTAAATACAGCGGCCATATAAAAGAGCGCAAATTTGGTGTTGGATTTATGGTGGGAGAGAGACTCCGTCGTCGAGTACTGGCATTCATCCCAGTGGGTGAGCGGCTAGCCACAATCCGTATCAAGGTGAAGTTTTTCAACATATCGTTAATTTGCGTCCACGAGCCAACGAAAGAGAAGGACGATTTGGCCAAAGGTGCCTTTTATGGCGCTCATAACACTTACGAGCGCTGCCCCCGACACGATGTGAAAATCGTGCATGGCGATTTTAATGCCAGGGTGGGCAAAGAAGGTATCTTTGATACGACTGTTGGAAAAATCAGTCTCCACAACGAAACATCCCCTAATGGGTTGAGGCTGATCGACTTCGCCGGGTTAAGAAATATGGATGTGTGTAGTACAAGATTTTAGCACAAGAAAATACATCAAATTACTTGGCTGTCCCCTGATCGAAAAACATAAAACCAGATCGATCTTGTTGTGATAGACGGAAAACATATCTCCAGTGTTCTTGACGTGCGTACACTCCGAGAACCCAACACCGACTCTAGCGCTATTTTGTTGCAGCGAAGACACGCAACTGCTTCTGTTCATCAAAAAACGTCCATCAACAAACACAAGAAAGGTTCAACGTCGAAAAGCTGCAACCACAACAGACTGCCGAACGATTTTCTTCTCGGCTCGTGCACCTTTTTTTTTTGAGAGCACTCATCAGCAACTTGATATAAGCGAACTGTGGAACGGCATCTCAAACTACGTACCGCCGCTACAGAAACAATTGGTTTTCGGCAGTGCCTGAAAAAGAGCTAGTATGATGAGCATGCCTGACGATTGTAACTTAAGTATACTCTGCCCAATCCATAAAAAGAGCGATCTTACAGTCTACGCCAATTACCGTAGGATAAGCCTCTTCAGCATTGCATAGAAGGCACTATCGAGCGTTTTGTGTGAAAGACCAAAGCCCACCGTCGACAAACTGTTTGGATCATGTGCCAAATCTTGGAAAATACCCGTGAAAAGAGGATCCACACACCACCTTTTCGTCGATTTTAAAGCAGCCTTTGGTAAAACGAAAAGAAGCTGCCTCTACGCCGCTATGTCTGAATTTGGTACCCCCAAAACGTATACGGCTGTGTAAGCTGACGCTAGACAATAGCAGAAGCACGTTCAGAATTGGGAAGGACCTGTTCGAGCCGTTCGATACCAAGCGAGGTTTCACACAGGGTGACTCTTTGCGGTGTGACTTCTTCAATTTGATGAAGGAGAAAATATTAAGAACGGCAGAGCTCAATAGAGAAGGTACAATCTTTTATAAGAGTGTACAACTATTAGCATACGCCGATGATATTGACATTATCGGCCTCAACAATTTGGACTGAATAGGCAAAGTAAAGTCCTCTCTCGTCGAACGATAACCAAACTCTACTCAAGAGGCATGGACGATGTAAACAACTGATGAGTCGGCCTAAAATTGTTGTTCTTCATGAGGTGTATGTATGTACATTAGGGTGTCCGTTGTTTGCCAAGTTAATTGATTTCCTTCTAGGCTTGTAGACTATAAAATATAAGTCCGAAATCAGCTTTTTATACTCACAATAAACTTTGTCTTAAAGACGATAAGTTATCCATACAAATTGTAAAGGACTTTTTCACTTATTTATTGAACAAATATACATATCTACTTACAGCAATGAGAAGTTCATATTCTCGTAGTAATTTAAATTCGCTACAAAGATCTTCACAAACAAATTGTAAAGGACTTTTTCACTTATTTATTGAACAAATATACATATCTACTTACAGCAATGAGAAGTTCATATTCTCGTAGTAATTTAAATTCGCCACAAAGATCTTCACAGACTTTTTGACAAATTCGTTATAATGGGGCAATACCTTTTTCAGTGTTGTTCCTTTTGATAACCGGTACTTTATTTATAATCAGTTTGGTTTGCCATTTCAAAACGAACAGACTTATTTTGGAACAACGTCAAGAATCAGCAGTAAATATTTCTTCAAAAATGAAGCCCGACCATAATGTTACAGTCTTTGGGGATTGCTATAGAGCTATCATTGATGACTTTTTCATGGCTGAATTGGAGGATGTTGGTGTGGACGAGCTACATGCAATACACCCAAAGAAAACCTCATTTTATTTAAAGAAGCTTTTGGTGAGCGTATTATCTCGCCTAGTGGGTCTGCGGCATTGCTTCCAAGGTCATACGATTTAACACTGTTAACTTTTTTATTTGAAGTCACGAAACCCTTCTTCGACTGTCTCGAAAAGTTGGCCTCAGCGAATATTAGAAATCTCGTTGCTTTTATAAGGCACACAAAGTGGTTCAATCATTTCAGAAGATGAAGGCAGGAGCCTCAGCGGTATCAGAATTGGCCTATTGGCCTAAGTGTGCTGGAATTGACCAGCAGCCGCATCAACCCAATTCAACTCTATATGAAGTCACTTTTCTAGGTAGATAAGCACGATACGTTTGACGACCCGGAATTGAATTTGTTCTAGCCAGCAGCCCGAAATCATTATTTAAATATAATGGCAAACCCTGATATTTATAATAAATCTAAATTCTTTTCCATAGCATTAAATTTGATGCGTTTTATTTTTTGATGAAAACCACATGTCTAAAAAAACATCCATACGTGGGTCACAGCCAAGGTGATGCAGCTACATATGTAAGAAATAACATAAGTTTTATTTAAAAATTAACAAAAAACATGAATGCCAGTTAATTGCCGCAGATATACACATTTCATTGATGCTTTAAAATTTTATATTTTATGTTTATTTTATTTAATTTTTAGCAAAAACAAACTTCAGTATTAAATTATACATAATAATATAAACATGGCAAAAGTCGACAAAAAATCGCGGAAATGGTGAAATTCAGCCAAGGAACTGTTCAACATATAACTGTACGCAATCAAAGCTGAAGTTTGCAAAGGACCATTTATATACAGATGAAAGTTTCTGGTATACCGTAATTTTTTCGGACGAAAGTAAATTCAACCTGTTTATATCAGATGGAAAGAGCTATCTGTGGAGAAAATCAAATGTTGTGTTACAACAGGAAAATTTACATAGCGCTGTAAAACATGGTGGAGGGTATGTAATGGTATGGGAATGCATGTCGTCTTCTGGAGTTGGAGATTTGGATTTCATCAATAGAACTATGGATTATACTGTGCATTTGGACGTTTTAAAAGGAAATAACAACAAATTTATATATTCGTGACAAGTTTCGGTACTATCAAGGTAATGATCCAAAACAAAAATCAGGCATTTTGCAAAGTTGCTTATTTAGGACTGTCCGCACATAGTACAAACCCCAGCGCAGTATCCAAATTTTAATGTTATTGCGAATCTGTGATCAGTTCTGAAACGAGAGATTCGAATATACGAAATTTGAAATCAAGCCGATTTAAATAAGGCCCTACAAACAGAATGGCACAATATTGGTCATGACCACACGAAGAAGTTAGTGGAATCCATGCCCAAACGGATGAAAGCAGTCACACACACCAAGGGGAATCCTAGTAAATATTAATTAACATACAATTTTAGTTTTGTTCTTTAAAAAAATGATATATATTATTTTTTTGTTACTGCATTATTTTCGCTGTAAGGTACAATTTAACAATTAAGTTTGTTTTTGTTGTAAATTGCATAAAATAAACATAAAATATAAAATTTGTAAGACATCAATGAAATGTGTATACCTGCGGCAGTTAACTAGCATTCATGTTTTTTAGAAAATTTAATTAATTTTTAAATAAAACTTATTACACTATTTCTTACATAGCTGCATCATTTTGGCTGTGAGCCACTGTATATTACAAATACTTATATATTTACCATTAATTCGTATGTAATACTTTCGAAAATTTATATAGGACAATATCTATGTCTGCTTGCACCAATAACTCACTGATAAAGTTAAATATAAGTTTATAATAAACTAAAAAGGTTGTAGGTCAGTTTTGAAAAACAAACACTAAATAGAAATTTGGAAATGGAAATATTTGTTATAAGATTCACACACGTATCTTCATTGTATTACAAACAATAAGGGAACTTATGGAAATGGAAATATTTGTGATAAGATTCACACACGTATATTCATTGTTTTACAAGCCATAATGGAACATACTCCTACTGCGTGATCCATATTTTCTTAGAAGTGATTATTTTATTCTTACCGGCAACATCGATGACCATTCACCCTTTCCTCGATGGTTCTCCCGCTGTACCACATTCCACAAACAGGAAGTGTTATCTATACTCTGCTTTATTATGCACACATAGTATATTAGGTTTGTTCAACGCCATAAAATAATCCAGGCAGATATAGCAAACTTTATGGAATGACCAAACGAATTGATTTAGTCATGTCTCTCTGTCCGAACGTCTATGTTCACGATAACTGAAGTATCTAATGTTCGGTCCCATCCGTGCTTAGTGTTGTTGTAGCTGTTCTCCTACCCCGCTTAAGAGAAGATGAGACTGGCTTAAGCCATTAAAGGAAACGAGCTGTGTCCCAAAGAGGGCATGTAAGATATACGTTGGGTATGGAATTAGGTCTTCTACAATATTCAGATCTTAGTTTTGCCAATATTACTCACTCTCGTGGCAACTCGAGCCCTTCGTCTGCTCCGAAGTTAGTCTTTCCTACTGATTTTTAAACAACTTTTTTCTGCACAATTTAATGAAATTAAGTCTAAAGAAGAATTATATTTTAAAATATTTTATTTTTACTCGTAGACCATTGATTTTTTAACAAATATTATTTGGTTTAATAATTGAGCTGAAAAAAGGTGAATTAATATTAATTATTGGTGCCTTAATTTAAAGTTGATGCAGTTTCTTTCCTTTTTTCAAAAGAAATTAAAATTTTAATCCAAAATTTAAGTTTATATTTTAAGTCTTATTTTATAAATGTTAATATTATGTACACTAGTGCTAACCAAATTAATGCTAGTAAGCACGTTAAAAAAATTAGAAAAGAAATGAGTTGTATGAAAATTTGTTTTTCTTAAGGGGTTGGTTACATTTATTTATCCGGAGAGAAAAAGTCTCTTTTCAGAAACTTTTTACTTGCATAAAAAATATAACACTTTATTCCATGTTTTTACTGTCTCAAAGACTTTCTGAAATTTTCGAAGGATTGCCATTGTGATGTTGATTCCAATGACGCTTTGAAAAAAAGTTGCATCTGCGTTGTCCGTAAAACTCATGACAGGATAATCCGCGGTGAAAAAATCATGTTTTAGTAAATACCATAAACTAATTTGGTCGAAGTGAAATAAGTGAAAATTGGATTTTGGCAAAAAATCAAAATTTTGTTAAAATTTGCTCAACATTGTTTTTTTAAATAGTCGTGATTGACAGAAAAAAACTGTATGACTCCTTGTGCATCTCCAGGAACTGTGAAAAATTATATAAAGATCTGACGAGTACAACCTTTGAAAACAGTTTCCATAACAACGCGTTAAAAATTTAGACTTTTGTCTAGAAAATTTAGGATAATATTTTCGAGATCTAGTAAAAATTAATACAATAAGTTAATTAATAAATAAAAAAATAAATTTTTTGAAGCTATGAGACCCATGTAAATCAGATTACATACGTACATAACTATTGTTGACGCTGTGGTTAGAGCTCCTTCCGCCTGCTAAGAAAGAGTCCGTGGTTCGATGCCTGTCATAAGAAGTTTACTGAGGAGATAAGGTATTTTCAAAACAGCTTTGAAATTATATCTCTGTTGTATAGAAATATTAAATTTACAAAAACATATAGATAAATAGGCCGCAAAAATATTTAAAGTAATTAAATTAAATATTTGCTCGGCTTTATCTTCAGAAAGCCCCCAATTTGTTTATTTGCAGTGCCAAAAACAAAAAATTATATCAAAAAGCAAAATAAATAAATAATTGATTAAGTTAAAAGTACAAACAAATTGCTGTAGGGGCTGTTTAAGGTTTCGTAAAATAATAATTTTAAGAGCTCACACTCTAATCGATGTAAAAGCTGTTTTCAATAAAAAATTAAACGCATATAATTAGATGTTATGGCCAAGAGTTTAGCTGTATTATAAAGATAAGTCATTGTCATTATGTTTCAAAAACTATCTCGGGAAAGGTACCGCAATGATTGGCTCAAATGAATTCCACCAGAAGATATCTTCCAAAGAGTCGATCGTCTCTGGGCGAGATAATGTGCCCACCAAAGGTTTCCTTTAATGAAATAATCGTTTAGTTGACTGTATGGCACGTGACGCCGTCTGTTAGACACAAAAGTCGTCCATATCAATATCTTCCAATTCAGGCATGAAAAGATTATTAATCAAAGCTCTATAGCGTTCTCCAAGGACTGTGGCAATGTAAAGTAATTTTGGATGAAATATAGAGCACACCCAACACTAACTTTTTAAGGATAAAACAGCGTTTCAATAATGAATTATGGATTATCATCACACCAAATGCGACAAGTTTGTATGTTAACCCATTCAAAAAGTGCTGGTGGATCGTGCGAACCAAATCATTATTTTAGAAAAAAAATGCACGATTTGCAAGTGTTGTTCCGAAGTTAGTCTGTTCATTATGATATGGCAAAACAAAATGAGTATAAATCAAGTAAAGGTGCACCTTGTGGACACCAATGGTTGGCTGTACATATACATATATGCGTATATATTCTATATATATACATATTGTACAATTTATGCTTATATAAATATATATGTATATATATATATATATATATATATATGTGAAATTTTTCGATTTATAGTCTGAAGTATGAATTCAAACTATATTTTTTTTTTTTGATAAGGACTATTTTAACGAAGATACGGCCGATAAATTGCGAAAAATTTAGAATTTTAGTATCCTTTAATTTTTCACCTTAAAAAATATATTGTATCTGTTTACGCGAGGAGCTTAGACTAAATGTACATACGAGTTAAGATCTATTTATATTTATAAATAAATAAATTTTTTATAATAATATTTTAAAATATTTAATATTTTTGTGTTTATATACTCATGTGTCTTCATAATGAATGGGTCAAAATAGCCGAAGGCCGTTTTCTTCACTTGCATGGACAGTCGTATGATACCAACGCGTTATACAGATACACACGTCGGTGATATGTTTGTAGGTATGTATATACATATATATACTACACTTCTATAATCGCTCTATTAATATGCTATTGTGTTCATTATATTTATATGGCATCAATAAATGTATTTTTTAATGCCCTTCTGTTTTTGTATGAAAGTACGTAACGCAGGAAATGTGATACCGAACGCGCAACATTTCCAGGATGAATACTTCAGTTGCGAGCCGGCCGCCTTGGAATTAGGTTGTGTCATCAATGATATACGCCATATTATTGTGTGCGGTCACAGCGATTGCAAAGCTATGAACCTGCTCTATAAACTGGAAGATGAGGAATATTCTTCTCAAGTAATTTCTATTTTATGATTTCCCTTTTATTATTTATTTACATACATAAATTAAAATTATGCAGCGGAACCGGCGGTTGTCGCCACTACGATCTTGGATGTGGACACATGCGAACAGCAGTCTCGAACACTTCAAAGCCTGGCGGAATGCCGGTATGCAGGGACCTCTGATATTCTCTTCCGAAACCCCCTTACGTCGTTTTGTGGCTTATATTGATCCAGAAAATAAGTTTGCCTTAGAAGATAAATTATCACAAATCAACACTTTACAACAGTTATCGAATGTGGCCTCGTATGGCTTCTTGAAACCGCGTCTGGAGTCACATGATCTTCACATACACGCACTGTGGTTTGATATTTACACCGGTGACATCTATTATTTCAGTCGTGGTGCAAAGCGCTTTGTTCCAATTGATGAAACTTCAGTTGAACGATTGACCGCGGAGGTACGCCGATATTACTCATGACGACCTAAATGCGATATTCATGAATGTATATGTATGCTTGGAGTTTGGCGGCTTACGTAACTCAAATAAAAGATGTTAACTGTGATAGGAATTTGAATAAGTTGCATTTACACACATAAGTGCAGCAAAAAACGGAAACTAGCCAAAACTTGAGAATAGAATATTTAACTTTTATATTCTATTTGTAAATACGTGTGTATAACTATGATTTTAAGTGTAAGAGCTTTCAATAAAAGCACGATCGAAGATTATAGCGAATCAAACAAAATTCTACTAAGCCAAAAATAGTTAAGTGTTTCTATGAACATAAATGCATATAAATGTATAGGTCGGGAAATATTCTTTCTCTAGAGAAACACTTCAGTACTTGTAAAAATGATTTATTAACCGGCTAAATTTATGTAATTATATATAATATGTTTAACATATAGCCATAGGATTATCTATCATTATTGAAGCTATAAAAATATGTGGCTTGTATAGTAAGAGAACATGTCTGTACTGCTAACATTAAATTTATAAGATTATATAATAAAACGTGCGAAAACTTCTGCCTTTTATTGAGCAACAATAATTAAATGCTCTCAAATTTAAAATCTGGGTGAATTAGCAGCTATAAAAATTATGCAGTGAAATAAAATAATAAAAAAAGTATCCGGCACAGGATTTTTTTTTGGTTTTTACTGTGTTTATAGTGGTAGAAAAATATTGTACGAAGACCAATTTATTATTTGATATTTATTTTTTTTTTTTTTAGAAAATTTCCTTTTAAAACACATTGTAAGATCATTCTTCAACAATTTACATTTACTTTGGCTTTATATACAAATTTAAACACATATTTCCCGCAAAGTTTTGCAAATCAAATATTTTTTGTTTGACTTTTTTTCATTCATAAAAAATGCTGAAAAGTGCATATTTGCTCACTTACTTCATTTTCACATCATTTCTTGATGAATTATTTTAGTAGTGCATTGCACCTACATTTTATATCAGTGATACTGGTGATGATTTACTGCGTTACTGTTTGGATTTTCCAGCTCTTCAAATGATTTGCGCGCATTACGTATATTAACCAATGTCGCTTCAGAAGGTATTGTTGGATCAGACATGACAACCATAACATATGTGTTGCTGGTAAAGGTATCTATGAATGCAGCAAAGGCGCTATTGCGTACCTCCATCGATTGAAATTTGGCACCCAACTTCGAGCAACTTAATTTAAATTGTTTTATTATATTGGAGACTTTTTCGAAACGATGAGAATCACGGTTCTTTTTACTTTGGCAATGTGATATCACCAGAAATGTTGCCTTCTCAAATAATAACACTTCATCGGCATCAATAACGTTAGCGAAGTGGGTAAGAGAGTTCTCGAGCACTGCCACGTTGGGTATAAGCATCGTGACTATGCTGGACCAAGCTCTGTAAATAAATGTTAACAAGGTCACCAAAGCACTTTAAAACTGTATCAAATTGTATACCAAGTAAATCAATATTTAATTAAATTTAATTTTTGGCGACTAAAAAATGCTTCCAATTTAATTTAAAAAAAAAAATATATTTTCAACTTTCTAAAATTTAGGAAATATATTATAAAAATGCATCTTTCAATGTAAACAAAAAAGTCAAAAAAAAAAAACGTACTCAAAAATTATTTTCAGGTGGCTTAGCATTTTTTTTTAATAAAAAAAAGTTGGATATATTTTGTAAGTGAGGTTATCATACAGTTAAAATGAAAATAAGATATAATGTGAAAAGAATCCTTTTCTTTAGTGAAACTACCTTCCTTTTTCGTATCATGAGTTATGAAAAATGAATTTTAATAAAAAATTAATGTCAACGCCTCCGAGTGTATTTTTGACATGAAATAAGCTCCTCACAAAAAACATTCAACCGTTCGGACGCAGCTAAGTATAAACTGCCGGTCTCAGCATTTGTTGGAAAAACATCAAGACGCAAAACCACAAAATGGAGGAGGTCGGCTGCAAGTCGCTTCAGCGGTTACAAAGCGCCAATTATATATGTATATACATAAGTGTATTCGAGCTCACAGCCTTAAAATAAATGAGCTGATTGATTGATTTTAGAAATTGAGGTAATTTATTTACTTAGTTAATAGGGCAGAAAATACTTTTTTCAATATAATTTCTGAAATAATAATAATAAATCTTCGACGGGAACAGAGTATGAACCTTTCCAATCCAACTTTTTTACAGAATTGGTACTACTATCGCTATTTTAACTTCTATTATGAAAAATGAGATTTAAATTATTACGTTGCATAATATCCTTGCAATTTAATTTTTATATTCAGAATATACTACCTCAAATACGAAATATATGTATGTCCAGAAAGACTCAAGATCTCTAGACAGATTAATTTACCCTGTACTGTAAACTTTTACCTGTATAATGTTTCATCCCAAATACTAGTGCGGAAGCAAGTAACATTTCCTGGTTTTGATAAGCGAATGAGATCCTCTTCACGCTCTTTAAATAAAGTTTCTCGTTGTTCTTCAGCTACTAAATCCATTTTATGTATCAAACAAAAGATTTTTGCATCTGGTGAGTTCTGGTAAAAAAAATATTTTTTCATTTTAAATGAGGTTTTACCTCTATTTTTATAAACATATACTAATATGCAAATTTACTTGCAATAACGCTTCCAAACATGACTGATAGTAGTGTACATCGCGTTCCATGTCGCGACTTTCTATATCAAATACATATATAAGAACCTCTACATTTCGAAATATATTGTCTCTTTGTGATGCAAAATATTGTTGCATGAATCCTTCCTGACCGCCACAATCCCATAAATTGAGTACCAGATTGCCCAAAAAGCGTACATGTGAATGTTCGACGTCGACTATAATTGTAAGATTGGTTCTTTTTATCATGTAGATACTATGTTTATAGTTATGAATTTCATTACTAGCATTTCAATTGTACTTACTAGTTGCACCAAGACGCGTTGTATCCCTTGCTATATAGTTTGCAAATATTATTGAACGCATACTGGTTTTACCCGAGCCGCTTTTTCCCATCAGAAGTACCTTCTTCTTCATTTTGCTGCCCTTTTATTTTATATTAAAAAATCTTATTCACTTTTAAGAGAACACAATTTAATTTGCAAATTCACTTCTTATTTGCACAAAGAGTCAAAAAAAATATTGATAATGGAACGGTTGATAAATGTAATTTTGTTTTCACAATTGTGCTAAACAGCTGATTGGAACCTGTTTATAACATTCAGTGCTGCTTCTAATTGTATGTAGGGTAAAATAACGTTTGGAATGGATTTGTTCATTTTAACAATCATTAAAAAACTGTAGTGACTGTAGTGATGTCTAATTTTTTCGATGATGAAAAACTTTATGGGTACTAATATTTCTAAAATTTTTATTAATGCTACAAAAACAATATCTTTTGCTAAGGAAACGGGTTGGAGAGAGACAATTGTTTACTTACTTCACCTTTATATCATTTCATCATATTGTTACGATTTTACTGAATCAACCTCGATTATTTTCTAGATCCTTCGGGTACGATCTCTGGATTGTTAAATAAAAACTCGCCAACTTAGTTTGCAGTTTCTTTCGTTATAAAGATTCTATCTAATGTCCTTTATTCTCTCAGTAATTCACAATTCAATTATACTGCACTTTACTATTTATAATCACTAACATCAACTTTCACAATTTCCTCTACTTAAATGTAATTCCCTACGCGTTCACTTTACGTCTTCACTGATGTTAACGCCAACCAATTTGCTTTGTCACTGCTTGACTTGCAGCTGAGTGTCGCCTTTATATAGCAGTCGGCTGCTCGCAGACGAAAGCGTAGAAGCATCGAATTGTTCGCTATGGAAGGTTCTTGTGTTATCGGCTTCTCTCTTTCATCTGACATTCGCCTCGCATTTTCGCAACAATATTGAAAGCTGTGTGTTTTCAAACAACAAAGAATAGCTAGACTTCGGGTAATGCTGCAAATACCCAACTCACGCACCAGTCGTCCATAGTAACATATCTGATAAGAGCGCCATGTAAACACAAAGTTGTCACCGCTTGTTCCGCAGAAACCAACTGCGGTTTGATTTCCGTAAAACCGGCTCGGCTCATTTTTCGTTGCCATAAAAGGTTGCCAGTAAAGTTTTTCTTACAGGCCTATTCTGTCGAGGTAACAAAATTTACCTAGGTATTAAAATTTACCATTCAGTAAATTTTGTTACTATTTCGTATTCTGAGTTCACTGTCACCCTGTAAATTTTGTTACCAGCGAAATAGGAGGCAACAAAAATATCTGCTGTTTGATTTTGTGTTGTAAGTTTGAGAAAAAATAAAAAACCAAAACTGGAAGGCATATTTTAGGCCTGGAATTCATTGAAGATGAAGAAAAAAATGCAAAAAAGCCGTATTTTAAGAAGTTTTCGAGACTAAAAATATCCCTTTAATTTGTAATATAACGTTTCCATTTAGCTTTTTTTGTTGTCCAGGCATATTTTTCATAATTAGGCGCAAATATTTATGATTTAATAACCAAATGAATAAAACATTTTAATTATTTTGTGCACCATCTTCCATTTCGATTCGAATATATTTCTTTTTACTTTATCAACTGGCGAATGTAATTTGACATGGACGAAAAAAGCAGTGCTGCAAAATTTTTTTCAAACATTGTAACCAGTTCGCCAGAATACCAAATTCAATTTCGGGTGTTAAAGAAAAGTAACAACATTTACTTTACCGGTAGCAGTGAGAATAGGCCTGTTAACCTAACATTAAATAATCGAAGAAAATGCGTAGTTTTTTCAAAAGAAATGAAAACTATATGCGTAACTAATTATTTGTTACCATATAGATCATGTATATTTGTCTTGCGTCTATATTCAAGCATACAAATTATAAAATTCGTTGATGAAAATTATATATTTGTTCAAAAGTGTGCAAACACACAGGCAGCTGGCAACATTTCGCCGCTCTCAGCAGCGTCGATAACTCGTGTATGTATCTCGCCTTGACGTCGCCAGTCATGGACGGCTGGTAAGTTAAATGGGTAGTTGCAGCCTAAGAACTTTTACCATCCAAAAGTGGATTGGGCAACTTTCGGAACAATATGTACGCGAATAGAGACCAGAGTGTAGTTTTGCTTTTAGGTATGTGATTCCAGTTGCAGCGCTATACTCAATGCCTACTCTTTTGTCCTCGTCCGGTGGACCCTTGGGTTATCACTAAAATAGACATAGTCGGTTTTTGGGCATTCTGAAATTTTAATGCACTTCCGTCTGCTTAACAAAAGTATGGCTGAAAGTCGGTCATAAAGTAAACGACTGGCAGCGACTAGCGATGTATCGTATACGAGCAAGGTTTATGCGCCGGGTTTGAGTTCCGACACATATGTATAAGAAAACTCCAGGGAAAATAATTGTGATGACAACAATTCCTAGTGTTAAGGAGTGCGAATTGATGCGCTGACGCAATTAAGTCGATGGACGAGACATGTACGGTAGAAAATAGATTTCTTTGACTTTTATTACAGTGACTATTTCAATTTGGTGTTTGAAATGTCTATTTAATTCTCGACTGGGGCTTCGACTTGCTATTTCCAGTGTTGTTGTTATTACTGCAGTTGAACAGGCAGGCCTATAGATGACTTCCTTGGCGCCGTAATATTCTCATAGAATTTTCGACCAATTGCCTAATGAACAATTTCTCAAACTTCTCTCCGACAAGATGTACGAAACGATTTTAGGATTTTGGAGTGTACAGACATCTAAAATACTAGAGATACATTATATGTGTCTTCCGCTTACTACATATAATACTCTTTCCGTGCTGGGAGAGTCATTCAGCATCAACATATTTGGATATGTTTTGCTATGAAGTTTAAATTTTCCGATTGTTGTGATGAAGATAACTACTTCGTTCATTTTACGAAGGTGGGACTCGTATGTACGTTTCACGAGTTTCATCGTTCTTCTTATCGCTCAGATGTTTATTTATTATAGTAAATCTCACATCGCAATTCCGCTCCTGTCTGCAGCCGCTGCTGGTGACAAATTTTATTTGATGCCATGCGAATAGAAAAGTGAGCTAATTGTGCTGATTAGACATTAAACTATTGTACAGTTAATCATAACATAGGTAAAGTTTTCCTACAGAGCTTGTTCTCTTTACCAGAAAATATAGATAAAAGTATTAAACACCAGGGTTCTCAGTAGTCTGCAAAATATCTTTACAACCTTTGGAGACTTGAGCGAGATAGCGGAGGCAAAGATACGAGGACTGCTCGTAACAGGGGTAATACAATGGACCCGTTTGGCGGCTTAAGTGAGCTGATCCTACCTACCTATGATCCCTGTAGAATGTTCCAGAATGACATCCTACCTTCTATCCTTGCAGTTTTCATACACTGGAGCCAATTTTTACGTGGCGTATTCCAAACCCAGTTGTGCTCTGGAGGTAACACAATTCTATACTTTAATGACTTTAAGTCCCTTGGACCTTAATATCTTTTTAATGGAATTTTTTTAAGTTCAAATTAAAACACAAAGTACATATGTATTTACGTTTATTGTTATACGTTTTATTTGTATCTTTGTTTTTTCTTCTTCTTTTGTTGTTGTTTTTATACCATGTTATAATTTATGTTTAGTTCATTTTTGTGTTTTTTTCTTAAATTTCTTTTTGCATATTGGGTTATTTGTATTTGCATTTTTACGTACCAACTGTTGACTTTCGACTTTTAATTTAACATTAACATTACAATTTATTTAGCTTTTGGTCGTTTGGCTGTCTGCACTTGCAATTGTTTATAGTTGTTGTTATTATTTTCTTTTTCAAGTATGTTTTAATACATGTATATAGGGATATTTCATATAAACTTTACTTAACGCAATTGCTTTAATCGAGCCAATGGACAATGCTAGTTTCGTCATTTGAATTCTTTTCGAATTAAATTTTCTTTTAATGTTGTGCTAAAGGACGTTGGTAAAATAAACTCTTGAACTCAGCTGAATGATATTGTAATTATTGCAATTTACTGTTAAATATTGCGAATAATAATTGAAGCATCGTCTCTAAAACCGTTAAACTTGCACTCAAAATAAATGTTTTTCTTTTTTACATTTTGCAATTTGTATTAATGTATGTATTTATTATTATTATTATTCTTACTTTTTTCGACTAATTTTTAACATTTAAAACTTGATCACTTTCATTTTAAATAAATATTTTAATAATATTGTTCTTCAGCTGTGTGGAAATGCATTCAAAGTATCGGTATAGTTGGTATAGATGTGGTTTTCACTTTTCCTCAACTTTTATTTTTAATTTAATACAAACATTTTCACTTGGCGAAGGTATATGTTTATATGTTAATATTCTTTTTCTTTTAATTCTTCTATTTCGCATAAGTTTTTCTTTCTTTATTTGGTTTTAAATTTAGCCTTAGTAGTGGATAGTAGGAGTTTTTAATCGTTTCCTTTTTTCTGTTTTTGTATTTTCTTTAGTAAAGGTACATTAAAAGTTTATAATGCTGCTTTGGTGATAGAAAAGTAGTGATTCTTACTTTACAATTATTTGTTTATAATTGCGCGCAATAGTCATAGTAAATATGAATATATGTATGTATGTATGAATGTATATGTTTGTAGTTTACTACTTAAGTATGCTTTTAGTTATTAAAATGCATGCATGTATGTATGTATGTATGTATGTATGTAGACAACAGATTTGAAGCTAATAACAATAGTTTGTCTTGCTTTCATTTAGCCATTCATTTCTCTCTATTACAGTTATATTTTATATTGGTTAAATTCGGACTCTCCAGAAAGCTCGTTCTAAACCAATGCAATTTTAAAGAGTTAACTAATTTAATTTAATTTTCACTTAACAAAACATTAGGGTGCCCGTTGTTTGCCAAGGTGCTTTTTTTAAGGATTCCGTAATTTTTAAACTTAAAACTTAAAATACACGACCAAACGCAACATTTTATATTCATATTAATTCTTGGTTCTAAGAAATTAAATCTTCCATACAAATTCCAAGGGACTTTTCCTATTTTAACAATTATTTATTTTCCTCGTGAACGAGTAAACTTACAACCATGAAAGGCATATAGAGTTTTTCAAAAGATATTCGGGATTCGGTTCTATTATATATGCATATGCGAGCGCTATTGGTTGTCGCTGCATTTCCTAACAAACATAAACTTGTGTGTGTATTATGAAGAGAATGAACTTATCAAAAACCCGATTAAGACCATTTATGTAGAGCGTTTAATTCTGTACAAGAATATGAGCCTCTCATAGTTGCAAATTTGACGAGAAAGTAAAATATAATTAAAATAAAGATTCAAAGTTAAAAGTCTTATTTCTTCTTTAAGCTACCAAAGTTGGCTGCAAGAAAAAAATCAACTTGGTAAATAGCGGAAAGCCTAATACGCATACAACTCCAAGTCCGTACGATGTTATTCAAAATGAACATACGACGATAAATGTACATATATAAATGAGTTGGTGCATATGTATTTCCTAAATTGAAGTCTTTTGTAGTTAAACTTCTGCATGGCTCATAATAGTTACAGAGAGAGCAATGGATAATTAAGTTTTGAGATAAATTTCCTTCCAAGAGCCAGAGTGATACATTGGCCGTGGGAAACTGGAAGGATAACATTGCTGATCTGCAAGTATTATGTTGAAAGGGCAAAAATTAATAGAAACGTGAAAAATCCCGTCTTCCGTAACTAAATACAGTTGAAACTCTCTATAACGAAGTTCTCTTTATTGCGAAGCAATTATAAGAACACTGTGTTTTGGGTCTACTTTGTATGTAAAATAATCTCAATATAACGAAATCCAGAGCACCAGCTATCTCAGGTAAAGAAACAATAATAAACAAAATCTACTACTTCTTCTAATAATTTTCTGATGTACATTGTTATTTCTCTTTTAACAGATTCAGATGAATACGAAGAGGAATCTGACGATATTGTGAAACCCTTACCCACATATGGACAACTTTCTTGCAGGTTTCCGTACCTATTTGGAAATGGAAACCAACGTACCAAATACCGTGTTTACTTCTCTAAATTTATTGGAAAATTATATTGAAGAAGAAACGTGGATAAATGTACTTCAACCCAAAATAACTGATTACTACAAATAAAAAATGTTAAAAGGAACAAAATTGTTTTTCTTTTCTATATAACGAATTTTCTTTATAGCGAAGTAAATATCCGGTCCGGTTCGTTATAGAGAGTTTCGACTGTACATTGTTCTTGTTGAAACGATATAGGGAAAAAACGTAAGATAGTCTTGAAAACGGCTTCTATTATGGTATTTTTAGTAAATTATTTTAAAAAAATTTTACTATAGTAATGTTATATTCCAATAAGGGCAATATATGTATGTATATCTTATTGTATTTGAAAGAATGTGTATGTGTCTGTGAGGGTAAAAAGGAGATAAAGATTAGTTTAAAAGTAGAATATATAGAAAAATAGTTCAGTATCTTTTTAACATTCAGTTTTCACTCAAATTCCAAATTACAAGCCGTTTTAGTTGCACATGATTTTTTAATTTGTTTATTATTTTCAATATCGTAAAAAGTTGCGAAAACGAATTCGAACGAAGCGTTGAAAAATATTATTTTTTTGCCTTCTGTTTATTAGATTTCTAATCATGTAATCTTGTTTAGGCTCTCAAAAACAAAAAACAAAAATAAACACTATCTTTTTCGATTTTTTTTCTGAATCCATAAGATAAGTGATATTATTGATTTGTGTATGAGTTGCAGAACTTACCTAAATACTCCCATTAAACCATACACTTACATTTTTAGCTTAGTGTTAAAGGGAACATTCCAGTAATAAACTTGGATGTGTATTATATATAACACGATGCGTACATACATACGTATGTATGTATAGTATTAACACATATATGGTAACATTTATTAATTTAAAGAGTTTTTCAAATGTAGACTTGTGTTTCGAAGTTTTCGTATAATTTTTGTTTGTACATTTTTGTATTCTGTATAATTATTACGCTGTTAATTCAAAATAGTATTTTAATACAAAATTTGTTTGCATTATTATTTTTACAATTTTGAAATGTTTTGCACACATTTTGGCTCGTATTTAATTTTCATATAGGTTTCAGGTTTTTTGCATGTGTTCGCTGTTTCTTTTAAGCAAGTGTCGAACAACATTGAAAGCAGCAACGGCGTTTTCGCTTAATTTTTTTATTTCTTAAGTTTTATAACGTTGGTATTAATTTACATTGTTTTAATCAACATATTCTTGCTACCTAAATTTCTAAGTATTTAACATTTGTTCCATGTGAATTTTACATATGTATTTGAATATTTGAATTTTTATTGTAAAAATGCTTATTGATCCACAAAATAGATTATTTTACAATATATTTAGCATTTTTACTAGTATCCATTTGTTATTGTTTTGGGCATTTTGCAATTCAGTGTTGCTAAAAGTTGCATCTATACTCTTTGCTCTAGTTCGTTACTTACGGTTTCATTGTGAACGAATTTATGCATATAAGTTCTTTTTGCGATAATGTCGTTATATTTTCTTTGCTTGCTTGTTATTTTTTTGGCAATTTAGTGCAGAAGTCTCTTTCCAAATTTCCTAACCTTAACTCAAGCAAAAAGAAAGGCGCTGAATGAGTTTCTTTACCATTGGAAAATGCAACTGTACGGAAAATACAAATTTAAAATAAAATTAATGTTACTATTAATACTTTCTAAGCGCGGAAAATCGATAATTTGGTACTGTTACTACTATGTACATAATAAACAATTGCCCGATTGGGGTCAATAAAAAAGATGCCATTTTTATTTGCCTTAAAACATTCCAAATGCAAATTAACTTGTAATACATTCGTACCACCATTTTTTTGTGCAACGCAGTAATTTATTTATTAATTTAATGTTTATTTAATTTTAAATTATTTGTACGTTTTTTGTGCATATTAATATATATGTACATATATACACATACATACATATAAATGTATATATGTAACATATCTACTTTAGTATTTGCATTTCCTTTGAATTTTCGGTATTAAATATTTTCGGAGTTATAGCTTTTAAGTACAATTGTGCATTTGCACAAAAGTTGTACACATGGTGGAAATACATATGTACATACACTTTTTGTGTACTTTATATATATTTTATTTTCTTGGCATACATACATACTCGTTCATATTTAATGCCTAAGTCATATTTTTTGATTTAATTGGTCTATTCATAGCTCTGACGAACTTAGCGGAATTAGTCTTTTCAATAACTATGATCTTCGCATGTATGTATGCTTTCTGCAATTCAATTATTCAAATGGTGATTTTCCTATAATATTTAACTTTTTATACTTTTTATGGTTTAATAATCAGACATGAAATTAATGTACACCCCACACATATGTATGTATGTATGCGTATGCACTTAATCAGCTTGTACGACACTATTATTAATTGTTCTATTCCGTTTTGGGTAAAATATGTAATTGAGTGCATTCATACATACATATACATATAGTTCAGAAATGTGGCAAAACTTGCACATTTTTTGAGTTTTTCATTTCATGATATTTCTTAGTTTGAACTGTTGGTTGAGCTTTACTTATAATTCTTATACGTAATGCTTTTTTATATCAATTTAAATATATTATACAAATATTTTACTCATCTTTTCTGAACATTTGTTATTTTTTATAATTTTTATTCATGCAAATTTATTGCTGTGAATTTTTTCTCTAAACTCACTCATTAACAATATCTTTTTATGAATGGCTTAATATTTGCTAAACTTGTTACGTTCGTACGTTCACTTTCCAATAAAGTTTAAATAAATCAATAATAAAAAAAAGTATTCTTTTATACACAATTTGTTTGTAAGTGGCAAATCATATTTATACAATTAGATTATTCAGAAAAAAAATTTTGGTATATGTACGTCAAACGAAACAGCACTACCTAGAAAATTTCTGAAATGCATTTAAAAGAATGACCATAAATTAACAAATTATTTGTAATATCATTTTAATACTTTTTTTTTTATTTATTTTAGTTCATTTATGGTTATTGTGCGTATTTATATTAAAATGCATATCATTAAATAAACATTGGCCACTTTATGGTCAAGAGGTAAGGTAAATGTTGATAAATTATTTTCAAATGGATTTATAATAAGAGCATATCATAGTATCGAAAATAAGTAAAACCGGCTATTCGAAGGTCACCCTCAAGCGTTAAAATAACTTAGTTCTAGTTCCTTCCATAGCAAATTTCTCACGATTTGAGACTCAAACACATTGGCATTATAGCTAATTGTTTACAAAAATATATTTCTCCCTCCACAAAGCATAAAAAGGAAAATAATGTTGTGGAGATTGCGAGTTCACTTCGAAATTGTTTTGATTGTTTTATTTTTAGCAGAAAACTTGACTATTCATACAACTCAGATTTAAGCACAGTTAAAATAAATCTTATGTACAATTTGTTCCAACAATTAAAAAATACCATTATAATTATAAAATAAAATTTGTTCACTTGGGTTGTAAATCAATGGAAATACCATAAAAAGTAAAACACATAATCAAATATAATTCTAAACTAAATTCATCGCTTCATATATGAGAAACTAAAACTAAAATATGTTTGCTCAACAAATAATTGAAATGCATTTAATTGTAACAATTCAGTTATGCACGTGATGTGTGTTTTGTGTGCGTATTTTATACATATTTTGACTAGATTGGGCGAATGACGCTTCACATTCGATGGTTTATGGAATAAAATTTAAAAATATTCGTGAAAACTACATCAATTAACAATGATAAATAAAGCAAAATTACAATATTCAAATTTAACTTCTTATAATTTCGTTGAATGCATTAAAAAGCTATTAACATAAACATAATCATATAATAATACGATGCAGAAGCAATTAATCTCTACAGTGTTCGTTACCTAAACAAATGGCATTTTCTAAATCTCAGTAAATTACATATCTTTTTTATGAAAAAATTTAATCAAAATCAAGGTGTATGGCTAGATTTCAAAGCTTTATGTAAACTAAACCGGAAGAGTAGTATAAAAAAAAGGAATTCACTAAATCCGTAAATAATTAAACAATCGTTTAAATATATGTATTTACGCTATTCATTGATGCTTTGGAATAACAAATCTACAAATAGTTCATTATACATTTTTGAATGCTGCCGGTATTATCGACTGTTATTTTAAAATCAAAATTTTTTTTTTTTTCTCACAAATCAAAGCATATTTAATATTAGCAACTAAAATATAGCTAACGTTATTCAATTAAAAATAATTATTTTAAGCATATAATTAATTAGATGTGAGAAAAATTAAGAGATTACCACCAGTAATCATGGCATTATCATTCGTACTAATAAACATTAAATAACAGTCTTAGTACAGCGACTTCAAATAGTTTTTGTTTACTTTGAATCTTCATATTTAAAAAATTTACATTTGCATTTCTATAGTGGCAATTAAATTTGAAAATAATACAATATATTTGCAACATGCTTTTCATTACAACACAGTGCCTAATTGCGGGTTAACAAATAATTTTTGTTTGTTATTATTGTTTTCATGGGTATACGAATTTCATTGATTTTTTTTCCTAACATATATATTACAGAATTGTATTTTTAGTTGTACTACCTTCCTCGCATAGTTATTGGTTAATAGATTTATTACTTTTGTCCTACAGAATACTACGAGCTGATTTTGTTTTGTTAACAATTGAAGCTTGTTCTTTTGCACCTTTCACGAAATTCAATTTCAAATTCATTGCTACACTCCAATTAACAGCGGAAAACAATAAAAACACGCCGTTAATTATCCAGACATACATTATTTAAGCAATCGTTTAAATATATGTATATATCAGTACACGTTATTCAAACAGTCTTTGTCGCAATACGAGGGTTTCAATATTGTGTAAGTAACAAACGGAAATTTGAAGAAAATAATATATAGTTTTTTTTTTATCTGGCGACATTGTAACTGCGAGTATGGCTTTATGATGCATGTGTACATGTATGTGTGTGGCTGTGTATATGCGTACACATTATAAAAAAGAACAAACGCAATTGTCGTACTAGTTTTGGTTGCTTTTCGCATGGATTTGCAAGTTTTCTGCTTTATGTTTTAAATCCTTTAGACGCTTCTGCGCACACAGAAAAACGGACTTAAAATACTTTACGTTCAGGTCCGAATTTCGGGTTGACAAATGAGAAACCAGCGAACTCGTCTTGATTAATGCAGCGTATAACATCGTTGGGTACGGGTGTGAGTACTGGTTCCTCTTTCGTAAACTCCGTATCGAAATTGGTGGCATCACGTGGATTTTTCTATGCAAAATTAGAATTATTAATATGCCCAATTAAACAAATGATACAAGATACTTACCATTTTTGGTCTAAATGGTGGTTTAATATTTCGTTTTTCCAATTCTTCCCAATCTAATTTGGCGAAAAATGGATGTTTCCGTATTTCATTCTCATCGCCAGAGCAGCCCAAGCGGGTTTCGGGGTTTTTCGTTAAAAATCCTAAGAGAATGGCAATTTTTTGTTTTGAAAAGTGGTTACCAAACGATTTATTTAATGCGAAATACCTTTCAAAATGGACACAGCTTCTCTAGATAACCAAACTGGATACAATACATCATCATGCATAATCGAATCGAACAACTCATCTTCGTTGTCAGCCTCAAACGGCGGCTGACCAGCCATCATTTCATACATCAGTACTCCTAGCGCCCACCAATCGACAGAAGCACCATACTCTTGCTCCTTTAGTATTTCTGGTGCGATATAATCGGGAGTGCCGCAAAATGTGGTGGTTAAAACACCATTTATAATGCCCTCCTGCAGAAGAAACGAAGCATTAGTGACCTCATGTACTTGGATTATTATTTTCCAAAGGAATTACCTTGCACATGCCGAAATCGGCTAATTTGCAATGTCCTTCCTGATCCAATAGTATATTATCCAGTTTTAAATCGCGATAAATGACACCATGTGAGTGTAAAAACTGCAGAGCCAATGTAACCTCGGCGGCATAAAAAGCAGCGCGTGTAGCCTCAAAGCGACGTGCCTTTTGTATTTGAAACATTAAATCGCCGCCATTCACATACTCCATAACAAAGAAAAGACGATCCTGAAAATTATTTATATGCATACTTATGTCTATTGAACATCAATGAGATCAACAATATTTATTGTAGGTACTTATGACTATGTAAAAATACACAAAACCAATTTTTTTTTGTTATTTTTAATAAAAGTCTATAGATTTCAATATAATGGCTGAATAGTTTGATATTTTAATACTTTTCTGTTTTCGCTCACGCGATTTAGTCGTAAATGAGCAATAGGCTGATTTAGGGAATTTTAATAAATAAATAATAATTTGTTTGCATGAGTTTACAGTAGGTCCAGGAGACGAAGTTGTTTGACGAGTTCGGACCGGAGGGCGGTTAGTGGTATTGCCGGCAAGACATGCCTTGGGTCTGTTTGGGGAATGCGCCAATATTACCTGGGTTTCTTGTCAGTAAGTTTTGTGAAAAAGTATGGGGCCTGTCGATCAAGACAATTATGTGCAAACGACAAGCGCTAGCAATTGTTATGTCCGTCGTGCTGTGGCATATGCCGACATTCCTGGTTGGGGGTTCCCAATGGAATGGAAGCTTCTCATCATGCAGAAGTAGCAAATTTATAAGTATTTGACAAAATTCAGTCATCGCATTGCAACCTGGCTCTCACTTCACTGTTGACAGTCATAACTTTGAAGTCGTAGATAATTTCATCTCTATCTAGGAACCAGCATCAACACCAATAATAATGTCAGCCTCGAAGTCCAACGCAGAATCACTTTTGCCAACAGGTGCTTCTTTGGACTGAGTAATCAATTGAAAAGGAAACTCCTCTCTGGGCGAACGAAAACCAAACTCTACAAGTCGCTCATCATACCTGTTATACTATATGGCGCAGAGGCGTGGACGATGTCAACAGCTGATGAGTCGGCTTTGGGAGTCTTGGAGAGAAAAATTTTGCGAATGATTTATGGTTCTTTGCGAACTGGCAACGACGAATACCGAAGACGATGGAACGATGAGCTGTACGAGCTATACGATGAGATTTACATAGTTTAACGAATGAAGAGACAGCGAGAGACAGCAGAGGAAGAGAAAGACCATCACTCAGGTGGAGAGTGACCTGACAAGAGTGACGCAAAAAAGGGTTGCATGACGCGCTATAATTAATTCGGCTATAATCGCTTAATTGGTACCAACGCCAATAAAGACGAAGAAAAGGACTGTATTTAGATATTAATAACATTTTGATGAGAGTATTCACTTTTCATTCTACTTAGACGTCTTTAAACTTCAAAGCAGTCGCGAATATAACGGAGGTGTTCGCAAAGTGGAGGTGCTGAGTCACCAACGCTTCACTATTAAAGAGTTCTCCATATATGGTTTTGCTTAGAATATTATATAAACCAAATACTTGATCCATGTAAAATATTGGAATAAAGACTGGATTTTAATAATTATTGTATGTATATAACATATGTACGGAAATTTTTGTCAAAGCTGAGTTACTTCTGCATCACTGCTGTCCCTCATCTGTATTCGGCTTGTGCATCACAAATGTAAACATCACATTTGTCATTGAAGCCTTCAGAAAGCGATGGGGAAACCGTTCTACGAGCTGTCAAGTTATGACATCATGCAATTCTGACATATCTTGGCTCAAATGAACGGAAGCATTCTTGCAGGGCGTTCTCCCCTGGTCTATGATGGTCGCAGTGTCACAAGTGCCACCAGCTAAAAAATATATTGCTTAATGTTACTCAAACTTACCTTAGTCTGAAAACAGGAATGTAATGCTGTTAAAAATGGATGATTGGCGGCCAAAGCCAGAATACGTTTCTCGGTCATAGTGCAATCAACATCATCATCCTGTATAATGGCATCTTTTTTCAATACCTTAATCGCGTAAATCTCTTCAGTATCTTTCTTTTCAGCCAACATTACTTTACCAAATGAGCCTTTGCCTAATACTTTGATGAAATTAAAGTCAGATAATGCAGTTTTTCCTGGACGAGAGTCAAAGTATTGGCTAGCAATGCCACTAAGGCCGGTCATTGCGGTCGAACTGCTTGTAGCCGAACGTTCAGACATCATTGAACTTCGTGTGGAAGTGCTGCTTTCAGTGCTCTGATCGCTGCGATCGCTTAGACTGTAGCTATCGTCACCACCCGGTTGATTTAAATACTGCGAATGTAAAGCGAGGAAAAACATTATAATCATGATCAACCACTCGAAAATGTCGTCTGGGCGGGGTTTACCTTCGATCGGCGCGGTTGTCCTTGTTTGTCTGGAGAAATGCCCAACGAACTGAGTATTTCAGCCATTTCTTTTGTATTTATGCCACAAGTATTGGCCACATTCTTTTGGCAGCGTTTATGCACATTCATATTGCATTGAGTGCATTGCAAGCCCTGCTTGATAAGCCCATACAACAGTGAGCCGCAGTGATCGCAAAAAGTAAAACGTTTATAATTGTGCACGAAAAAGCGATGGGGCACATTTACATTGAAACGCTGACCTGCTGGCGCCATTTCCATTGTATTTTGCTGCGGAACCAAGATTATTGGAAAAAATTAGGTATTCAATTCTAAAATTATGAAAATAATTAAGATCTGAAATTACCTCTTCCCGCATTCCAGGACATTTAGTGACCACGGAGCTATGACATCTCTTATGTACAACACAGGTGCACACTAGAAGAGTGAATGCAATAAATTATGTATAAGAGTAATATACTACGCGTTAAATTGAGGAAAAACATTGGACAATATAGATCTGTACATTAAGAGTGTTAACTACAATACATCACATACAACATAAAGTTACGTTTCACAAAGAAGTAGACATTAGCATTATCATTACATATGTACAATATAACGAAAATAAGCGAAATCATACAGTAGGAAATTCATAAAGGCTTTTTTTTAATAGAAAACTAAAAAATTTAATCCTTTTTATGTTTATGCGGTACTTAGTTTTTTGAGTTCGTTTCATTAATTTTAATATACATACATAGATATACCATTTATCATTTCAATTATAACTTAAAGATCTCTAATTCGGTTGTAAAGGATTTAAGAATTCAGAAATTAGTACGCATAAACGTAAAATACATACATACATATGTATAAGCCATTGGTGTTGTAACTTTAATTCCATAACAAAAAAAAAGAAAAAAACATGCAGCAAATAATTAGATATACAGCGGTCGCAAGAAGCTGAGTATTTAGGAGTGTGTGCTACCATCTGAAATGTAGTGAGCTCGAATCAAGCACATATAAATTAATAAAAGAAAAAAATTTTAAAATTGAAGTTATCCCTCGGTATGGAATGCCAACCCCTTTCAATGTAAAAGCTCTTCATAAAAATCCATCGGTCGTTCGAAAAATCTACGGATATGTAAGTGTACATATGCGGTTCCACTTTTACGCATGATAAAAATATTCATATGATACAACCACTGATTGAAAATTGATGTTTGCTAGCATTTACTTTTTTTTTCATCTTTCAAATCATTCATTTTGTCCCAATTTTTTATTTAAATATACAAACTCAAAAATAAAGAATCAGTTTGCAAAAATATTCCTTTTATGCGGAAATCACGTTTAATTCCATTTAATAAATTGAAATCGTGGTAAAATACATTTAAAATATTGACTGTTGTAAGCTACATACATATATACATACAGTATTTAAGGTTTTTTGATATATAAGTAGTAAAAATTAGGTCAATATATTTCTGAAATCTGCGGTACAGAAATTAAGCATTTTCCAAAAAAAAAAAAAAANAAAAAAAAAAAAAAAAAAAAAAAAAAAAAAAAAGAACTGAAAGTAAAATTCAACACATTTCAACTTTGTTTCATTTTTGACATTTCTTCAATTCTAAATAACTCTGATAGCGAATGAATTGATTGAGTTAGTGACGAAATGGCTTAAATCTCACATCAGAATGAATTAACAGTTGGATTGTAGTAAGTACTTATGTGTATGGAATAGTATAGAAAGACAACACAACGAAGCACTTTAAATATGATTACGAAATAAATTAATTTTATATGACAAAACAACAAGAAATCATTGTATGTAAAAATAATTCATAAAAATAACAAAACATAGAAAATGCAACTACAACAATGGATGTGCAGCAAGCAAAAGCATAAAAGTGTCTTTAAGCATAGGCTGAGGTTGCAGCCAATTTTTTTATTTTTTATTTGCTATTATTTTTTATTTTATTTTGCGATTGCTTGTTTCATTTTTTATTATTTTTTCATTTCTTTGTTGATTAGCATGTTTAGTTGCACGACTGTCGTGTTGATTATTGAAAAATTGATTAATGTAAAACTACTACCAACTATAGCAACAACAACAATAAGAACAGTAAAAAATGCAGGCCAAAGTGGTAGATCCAAGAACAAAAGGGTAAACAGCAGAGTATTAATACGTATTGTAGAAATGTGAAAGCTATAATAGGTCGTTTTTACAATTTATTAATGAATGTATGGGTGTCTGCTTGTATATAGTACAAATGGTAAATACTAAATAGACAGCATCAGGTTTTATTTGAGCTTTGGCAGCGAATGTTTTTAAAATCAAAACACCATCAACATTCAATTTATTGTGAGTAAGAGTGCCTTAAAATATAAGTGTGCATTTAAAGAAAACTGTGTACGTAAGTGATGAACGTGTAATAACTAGTTGTTTGAAATGGTTGTATGTAGTAAACATACACACATACATAATTTGATTTAGTTGATATGATATGCAGACAAAATTATTAAATTTTTTTCATTTTTTTACTATGTTTATATGTACATAAGTAAGTGTGAGTATATGTCGATGTTAAGTGTTGGTTGTAGTAAGTGTGAGAATTATTTCCTAAACTAAACCAACGACTTTTTGTTCTGTTTGTTTGGAAAACGAGTACAAATGCAATTACGAGTTCGAGAACGAATACCGGGTATGTAGTTGTTGTTGTTGCTGCATGTGAACACATACCTTGACATTGATAGCCTTGTTTACCAATTCCCCTGCAAAGGCAAAAAATTTCCGTAGCTTGTATATATGTGAATATAGATTAATATTAGGGGATGATTTACAAAAATTAAAAAAAAGATCAAATAGATATGAACCATAAACGTTAAAAACCCCATAGCATTTACCAGAAAGTAGTTATTTTGACCAATAAACAACCCATTTCTAAATTGTTTATATTTTTCTCAAACAACATTAGTATATTGCAACCGTGTGATCATATCTAAATGAACTATGTTCTGGGAAGTGTAAATCAATAAAAGCTATTTTCTCCGTTTGCATTCAAACTTTCCACCGCCAAATTACACCCACATGTACAAATCACTCACGAAACAAATAAAACACAAAACATAAACAACAATAAATAAAAGGGAGTTTTTGCCTAATTTACCCATAATACATTCTCTAATACTATATTTTCTGGAAAAGGAATAATCAAAATAATTACGAAAGTGTAAAGTGAACAAAATATAAATAATTAATTATACTTCAATAACCAAAAATGAAAAGTAAGATCAATACAATTATTCACTGGCATGGAGATACAAATAAAAATTATAAATGGGTGGAAGTAGCAGTACAATGAAGTGATGTTGAGTTTTTCAGCATACCGTACAGTTTGCCAAAAGTAGATTTCTATTTGTTATTAAGCTGTGGGTATGCACTTACCAAATGAATTTCTGGCAATGTGAACAAAAAGTCGGCTGACGGAGGAAAGTTGCCATAAATTTGTGCCCATTCACCTGACGAAGACAAGCAAATATTAAATATTTTTAATGTCGAAGTCAAAAATAAATATTTTCTATATTGAAATGCATAAACAAATGTTAAAATGTAGAATGCTCTAAATGATAGTTTCGTATTCGAAAGTCATTACTATTCAAAATTACAATATGATTTCATGAAAATACTCATGCTAACTTCCATTTCATAAAAGCAAAAAGTGACAGTTAAATTTAATATGTCAAATGTTATGGATTTGGTTTGTGACCACATTTTTTCAGCTACTTGTATGTATGCATATACATATATTTGATATTCTAACCTGATGAACACGTCGACGCATCGCACCACGGCGACGATTGAAGCCAGCTCGCTCCTTAAATTCCTTATTTTGAGTAACCGCTTGAACCACTTCTGTTACATCTTTGTTAGAATCTAAAATAAAAATATATTAAAGGTAAATAGATTGCTTAAATATAAAGATAAAAAAACAGTTTAAATCACATACCAATTCGGTTCTTCAACTCAATAATTATATGAAGTTTACCCTGTGGTTCTAAGTTCACCTGTAATATGAAGTCATTTAGATTTAATGTATTTGGGCACAAATTTTTTGCTTACCCATAGATCAAGCACACCTGTATCATTTTGCAAAATATCTTCGAAAGGTATTTGGCAATTTGCAACAAAATCATCGGGGGGCAGTGCTGCATCGTGAAATACAGTTAAGTTAATGTTGTTTGCATTGGTTACATCGTGGATGAATTGTTCATTCCATACTGGGTCGAAAGTTTTCGGCCGCGTTGTCGAGCGATCTTAAAAAAAAAAAAATTGTGCACTTAAAAAGTATTATGTTTTTTTTTTAAATTTTAATACTTGATCTGAACATATTTACGTAATTTATCGTATAACACTCAAAATTATAAAAAAAAAATATATAATAGTGGTCGCCTATAATCAAGTCGACCAATGTCAACCATTCCGCATGTATTTCTACGAACGGCTTTGGTGGTTATAAAGCATAAATTATGCATCAATTGATATACATAGCGTTGATAAGTAATACTGTTAGTCTGTTCGACCGATAATTGAGAGTCTGGGAAGGTTCTGATTCTCGAGCGAAGTTTATCTGACATTCAGTTGAGGACTGACAAAAAGAAGGCTATAGATATTCTAAATGGCAGACGAAAATGCGGTTAGAGGAATAGATATTTGAAAAATACGATATTTAGATGTTGTTTTTACTATTTTTCCTTTGCTGCAACTTTTAATACTTACCGAAATGATTATCATCAACATCAATTGATATATAAGGATCGATTGGTTGATCATCAGCTAATTTTCCAAATGCTAAATTATGGCGCTTTTGAAAATCGGTTGGACGCAAACCGATTGCTTCACACACCTTTATTTGAAGCTTTCCCGTAAACATGGTGATTGTGAGTAGAAGATTGATAACGGTGTCGAAAAGGAGGCTGGGGTTGTGCTTACTGTTTTTAGTTATCAACTTCGCGAGTATACAAAATCAACAAGCATATGCACTTCCAATAATGAATTGTGTTATGTGTACTTCAACTTTGCTCATACAACGGTTCACGTTTCATTAACAATTTGACAGTGACTGCCGATATCAAAGTCAACACCCGTTAATACGGAAAACCTCTGGTTTGTACACACACACACACACACACACACACACACACACACACACACACACACACACACACACACCCGCGCGCACGCACACGCACGATTCTATTCTGCACTTTCTTTATTCATATGATTGCATCCAAAAACAGTCGTTTTGCTTCAAAATATGTATATTAATATTTTTAATATTTTGCAACAATTAGATATTGTATTCTGAAATTATTTGTTTCATATAAATATTCTTCTGATGAACTTTCTCCTTATTTAATGTATTTATATAGTATTTCTTTTTTTTTTTTGTCAAGCTTTTTTATAATTTTTTTATACTTTCACCTTCAAGCTATAAATTAATCAAATTCATGAAAATTGCTGTTTTTTTTATGTGTGCGTGTGTGTGTAATTCAACTAATTGCACATTTATGTTTATGCCTCTGCAGCTGATGATGTTGTCGTTGGTACTGTTGATTTTGTTCTACGTTTGTACGATTCTTGCACACTTTACCCATTTAATGTCAATTCAAGTTGGCTACCGCAACATTCATTATACAATGCGTTGATCTTTTTCGATTACTTTTTGGTTTTGTGCACCCAATAATTTGTATAATTCTTTTAGTATGGAAATAGTAGTTATGTGGGACATTTCAAGTCATGCTGGTCTGATACGGTCATTGTTTTACAGTTGAGTTTCGCTAAGAAGGTAGAAGACATTTTACTTTGCAAATAAATCACAGCAATTTATTCTCATATTAGCCCGTTATAAACAAAGATAGAACACTTTTACCCTGAAAACTACTAGATTTTTATTTTAACTAGTTAATATTTTTGAGCATTAAAAAATTTTGTTTTTATTCTTAATATTTTTAATTTTTATGCATACTATGAATATCTAAGTATGAACACGTATTTTTTATGCGCTCTTATTTTGTTAGTTTTGTTATGCCAACTTTTTTTTGTCTACACTTTTTATCTACAGCTGCTCATTGTATCTTGCTTCTCGGCCTTATTCTTGTTCTTGATAACTCGGTTGAGTACGGACTAATTTGTATGTATGGACATATGTATGAGACAACATATATATAGATATCCATAAGTACACATGTGGCTTTGTTGAGTGGCTGGTTTGTTTGCTGGCTGCCAAAACTTTTGACGTTCTATTGTTGGTATAATAGAAAGAAATGAAAGTAGTAGGAAAGTGAAAAAAGTGTGGAAGGAATTTTACTTCCTCTTTTCCCTTCCTTTTTTCGCGCGTATTCATTTACTAACACATTCCCATGCTCTACATGTAATCACATTCAATTTGATTCTAGATTTCATTTAGAAATATGCAATACTTCTCTTAATATTACTGGTCTCATTCAGCTCAAATATGCATATAGTATTATCAACAATTTTTTTGGTATCGCTTTATATGGGATTTCGTTTAAATTAATATTTCTAGAATGTAATCTCACTTGAATTCTTATACTTAATTTCTCAGTTTATTAAATAACACCTATTTCCAATTTATTCTCTAATCGTTTTATTAGTTTTTTTTTATTCAGTACCAACTTTAATAAAATTCTTTATATTCTATTATCAACTCTCTTACTTTCTCAACACCTTTTTAGTTATATTTTCTAATGTTTTTTTTTATACAAATGCGAATTCCAGCGCAAATTCTATAATTCGCACTGGAAGAATTTTCCAAGAGAAAATTTTTCCTCTACTATTTTCACAAAAAAATGGGATACACGAGATATGAAGAAAATGTGTACTTAAGAAAGTCAAATATAATGTTCAGTGAATTTTCACTTTTTAACACAATTTTAACTGCACAATTAATTGAAACTATAATTACTTCGATAGTGTTCCACTTAAACTTTGCTTTGTGCTTAATTTTATTATTATATGTTTTTATTATCCACCAAACATTTAACATTAAATATGAAATCCTAAACTTTCTTCACTTCTATGGATTTTGGATTTTTCAGCGAATGTGTAGTAAAGCACAATGAATGGAATTGGTTTTGCTTTTTCCATTGAAATGGAGCTTATAACAGGTTTATATGAAGAGCTTTTTTTAGAATGAACATCTGTACCAAAGGGATGCCATCCTTCTTATGAAAAAAATTGAGTTATTTAATCAGAGAACCAAAGAACGTATATGAATAAAAAGCCTTCTTATTCATATACGTTCTTTGATGCGCTAGACAGAGAACGTAATTACAGCGAGAAGGGTCATAGAACATAAATACAACAACGCAATTAAATCTTCTCGAGAGAACTTAAAATAAGTTCTCTGACAGAGTTTGCTATTGATGCATAACATTATCAAAGAACGTATATGAATATGAAGCGGCATGACGGTCTCGTAAATTGGCATTTTCACAAATACCGTATGAGTCGCTTCTTAATCACATACGTTCTTTGATATAATTCTTTGCCAACGACCTACGATTATTTTCCCTCTCTATGCAACTCTGCTGCTTGTTGTTCTCCCTGAGTTTTGATGAATTTTCTACGTAGGCGTTTTCTGGCATATATGTGAATAATTTAAAACTAAAAGTTAGATTTTTGCAATGAGTAAGCGCTTAAAACAAAAATTATGCTTAACGAATTATATATTTATACATTCATATACTTTTACAATTAAAAATAGGCTTGGAAACAAAAAGTGGAAGCAGTAATTTGGTTACGGCTGTGATATCTTGTATATTCAGTTTGGTGATTTTTGCGACTATTCGCTTCTATGCCGGCTGGATCACAGCTTCACAAATGAATACCATAGTGGGTGGCTTCATTGGCTCATGGTTATTTCTTTTTACATTAACGGCTGTGTCGAATGTGGAAATGCTTGTATTTGGTAACGATTTTCAAGCGAAATTTATACCTGAAATAGTAACTTGTTTAACGTTGGCGATAGTAGCATCCGGAGTTGTACACCGAGTTTGTGCCACTACCTGGCAAGTATTTATTAATATAATCAAGTTAAGTTTTAAAATTATTTATTTACTTTAGTTTCCTATTTTGTATTGCTGCATTGTACTTTGTTAATCGAATTTCCAATAAGTACCACAATAAAGGATCCAGTGCAGTGGAGCAAGCGTCCATACGTCGCGGTGGTGCCAAGAAAAATAAGTGAGGTGTATTGAAGCCCAATGGAAATATAATCTGAAATATCATATATATGTAACGATATAAGAATGCCAATATTTATAAATACAGGCATGCATATATAGAATATTACAATCTTTTGCTATTCTTTGTACAAAAAAAAAAAAGATTTCAGTATCAGCTTAAGCAATTTTAATTATTAATAAACTCGCCGTGGTTGCGATAATTCGAAATTGATTTCATAGGTACTGACAGAAGTTAAGTATAACATTACAACGGAATCACCTTATGCATTTTATATTTTTTACTGCCATTAAAAACAAATCAAAAAGTATGATTCCTGTTAAGTAATATCTGACAAAAAAATGATTGAAATTGATGGTCCCTTTAAATCTGGTATACCAAAAGAACCTCATGCATTATATGGAACTTGATAGTACTTAAAAAATATTTAAAACGTAAATAGGATTTGAAAGTGGCCTCCACCCTATGATAAATAAAACACTGCAATTTTGTGTTATATTTTCTCATAATTTTTTTTTTTTATTAAGTGTTTCCATTTTACGGTTTTCATTCATTCAAATAAGTTTTTAAGTATATCTTGCACTTATTAACATGCCAGCATTGGATTTAATAATCGCTTAGTTTCTTCTTCACATTTTGTCATGTATGGTTAATAGGTGTCGATTACTTTTTCAATGCCATTGAAAAGTTCTCACTTTTTGATTTGTTTTCCATATCTGAATACTTGCGTTCTTATTAACAACAATTTTGTCACCAATTTTTCATAATATTTAGCAGTACACATATACAGACGTATTTTGTTCACATATACTTAATTAATTTGAATATATTAATATTATTTGTATGCTATTTTATATTATTATTATTCATTACAAAGACGTTCGTCTAAATGTTTTATTCCAATTTCTTCCAGTGACATAATTACATACATTACTAAAAACACTAGACACTACACCTAAATCGCATTCTGATTTTCTGACTTGGTCTACTTTTCCGTTTTGATCAGTTTCTTTGTATTTATATTAATTTTGTTTTTTGCATCTCAAGTGCCTTCACCCTACTACTTGTATACATATTTGCTTAATGTTTTCTAAATGTATGTATACATTTTTATTGAATTGAAAATAAGTACTATAGTTAAACATTTTTTTTCATATATACTTTATTCATGAACTATCATTACTTTCTTAGTAGTTTTTATGCAATCTTATTTTAAATAATTATAATATAGTATTTCATTTTCCGTTTACTTATGTTTATGTAAATTTACAATCTACTATTATTTAGTGTGTAAATTATGTGAATTATATTGAAATAAACAAAAAATATTAATATATTATTCATACCCTTTTATTAATTTATTTATATATGTATGTATGTGTGATTAAATTCTTTCACATGGTTATTATATATGTCCATATGTATGCTCATACATATATCTTATTCTAGTGCTGTCAAATATTGTGTTTTTGTAAGTCCAGATTATAATTAAATTTGCTTGTGTACTTTTGCACTTTTGCCGCATCTTGTCGTCTTCTTCTTATAGTACGGCTTAACTGTCGCAGTCGTTTGAACAAAATTTGATAGAAATTATCGACGAAATGATAATCTTAATGCTCTTGTTTTAATTGTTTTAATTGTAGACGTTTTTTCCATTGGGGGAAATATTAAAATATCCATTAAACTATTTTTTGACATTTTATATGATTATAAAATATGTATGCATATCTATGTACATATTAATCAAAGTTATGGTAACATGGCATATGGCCATACATACATTCACACATAATTAAATTTTACATATATACATACATTCAATTTCCTAAGTGGTTATGTACTTCTGTGCATGCATGTGTAACATAATAGTTTTCTATTTACAATTTGCATTTGTATTTTGCACATACTGGCAGATACATATTACATATGTATGTATATATTTGACATGTATTTATCTAAAACTAATCCCTTCAATCAAAAGATGATTAATCAAGAAGATTTCGAGATTAATTTACTGAATTGATTTGAATAATTCAGAATTGCATTTTAAATCAATTTAAAGGCCTATGCATGCAGTAGATTATTTAAAGCGAAATCATATTATTCGTAAAATAATAATAATTAATGTCGAAAACATTTTGTTTAAGCAAAAGTACGATTTATACAAAAAGAAATTAATCTTTCCACTCCCCACCCCCAAAAAATGGTTTCAATGCAGATTCCTTATGCATAACCATAAGCCTAAAAACTTCAATTTGAATGCAAAAAAAAAATTGTTTCATATTGTTCCATAAAAAGCGTAAAAGTTAGGCATGTTTTTTAAAATTATAGAAAAAGGTTCTGAAAAAAAGGCTAATATTTTTGTTCAAAATGCTCGAGTTGTGCGAGTACTCGTTGCTTAAACCCTCCAGCTAATATAAATATTTTTTTTAGATGTTTTTGCTATTTAACTAGGCTTAGCTGATAGGGTTTGGTCAGTGCAAATAAAACTAATTTATCCACTTTTTGCCCAACGTTTCGCTAAATATTTTAGCATCTTCAGGGGCTCTAATATCAAAAAACTTGCAATTATTTAATATGCGATGTCATTAGCATATGCATTGTTACCATAATGTTTGGTAGCTAAATTGATACTGTATTAATTATTAATGCTAAAATATTTAGCGAAACGTTAGGCAAAAAGTGGATAAATAAGTTTTATTTGTACTGACCAAACCCGATCAGCTAAGCCTAATTAAATAAAAAACAACGAAATTATTTTTTTTTATTATTATGTATGCATACATATATACTTTTAAATATATATACTTTTAAATATAACAAAATATTAATCGGCAAGTAATAATTAAATATATTAAATTTGACCAAATCAAAATAATCAGCGCAAAAGAATCATATTTTGGCTAACACTAATGCAAATAAAATATGTTAATTGTCCCACAGCCGGCCGCTGAGTTATCCATGGAGATGTAGCACATTTATAAACAAACTTAACTAAAATTAAAAAGAAATGATTTTATTCATTTATAGAAAAATATTTCACTTATTTTTCCGATTTCAATACATACGTACGTTTGATGATTCAAGTTCATTGTTCATGCCACCATTCTTGTCTTCTGTAACATTACACGTATCAGAAAGGTTGAAATATGTAGGCGAATAAAAATGAGTTTTTATTTCTAAAGACTCCGTAATAATTTGTAAGGACTAACGCATAAGATTTAGAAACCAGGGGCACACATTTATAAAGATGTGTTTTTTTTCTTTTACTTTTATCTTTTAGGACAAGAATCGTCCCACGTGCGACGTTTGTATGTCGAAAATAGCTTTTGATTTATTTGGGATTTGTACATGTATTGGTACAATTGCTAGTTGTGACTATTTACGTTTGCAGTTTTGGTTATGCATATGCAAAACATGGATGTGCGTATATACAAATAAGAAATGTATTTTACATGTTCCATCTAGAATACCAAGCATTTTATATACACATTTACATTTTTTTTGTATTTAATATTTTGCATTTAATCATTTAATTGTATCTTGTTTATTACATTTAGATACATGCATGTTTAAATATAGTATATATATGTTAATATGTTACGACTACACATGTACAAATTATAACTTAAGGATTAAAAAAATATTAAAAAAATTGACAATAATTTACAGAATTTTACTTTAACATAGTTTTCTTTTTTTATTTATTGATCTTATATTGTTAAATTTATAGTTAAATTTTATAGAAGTATGTACGTGTTACAGGTTTTCTTTTATTAATATAAACACGCATTTGTGCAGTAAGCAACAAAAATACTCCTATTCAGCAGAATTCAGTAAATTGAGTTTTAAATTATTTATGTATTCTTTTTTCCGTTTTTACACGCATAACAACATATTTGTTGAAAGTTCTTTATGTATGTATACTACATATGAACTATATGCATAGTAAAACAATGAACTACTCATGAAATCGACGCATTGCATCTCATATTTACTACCGCTAACACATTCATGCTTTTTATTATTAATTTATTTTGTAAGTATATGCAAGCTATCGATAGCATCCATATACATATATTTTGTTTCTTGCATTTTAAGCGCGCTTAAAAACTTGACATGAAGTTGATGCCATCGCTTACTAACGCCTATTTCACTCATAATCGAGCTTGCAAGTCTCATTTACACAATATACGTTATTTACGCTTATTTGAATGTACGTATATCTGTAAACATGTATCTTAAGTATGATAAATATTTATATATATTATGTCTCAAATAGTTGTACAGCATCAAACATGTTTAAATACACATGCCTTAAGTTCAATATATTTTGTTTCTTATATTCTTCTAAGTTCCGTGGCTTAATGCATGTTGTTGTAGGAGCTTTGTATGTTTTTTAACAGTACTACAGGTTCCCTTCGCTCATATTGCCCTAACACTTTTGTATTAATAATGATATTAAATCAAGCTCTTACAGCAACTGCCACCAGAGACATCACGTAACGTTTTCACTTCATTTCATCTTAATAAACACTGCGCACGGCATATCCGACCGCGCGGTTTCGGAGCAGTGTTTCAATTATATAGTATATGTACATATTTTTTTGCAAGTATATTGCACTAAACCACACCCAAGCATACCACTCTATTTCATATATTCCGACTGTCACTATTACGTTTACATTTTCAGTTAGCTTCTTTTGTCTGTTTCAAATTCAATTAATTTATATATTGAACAATAATTTATTTTTATATCAGTTGTAAGCAAGATAAATTTACAGCTATATATATATATATATATATTCATTCATTATATTTAATCTTTTTTATAAGAATTTTACTTTAATAAATATGAATAATGTTATTTATTTTAATATGGTTTTTGCTGTTTTTTATTTTTATTTTACTTTTGTTTTCCACCATGCATTCGCATAACATAATTAATAGTTTACGTTGCATGTTTACATATTATTGTTTTACAATATATATTATATGTAATTCAATAAGTCTTAAAATGTAGACATACATAAGTATAGAAATTAACTTAAACCTTTAGAACTCTTCTATTTTATATTTTTGTTTTCATATTTTTCTCTTTTGTTTTTCCCCTTATTAAGCACTGTTTTTTACGTTTTCATTTATTAGTATTTTGCATCTATGTACTCGTATATATTTATATTTGTTGTTTCTATCCTTACTGAATGCACATCATACATATATACGTAGTTTAAATTTATATACATGTATGTGTATTATTTCGCTCGATTTACATTATTAATTTGCAAAACTAATGTAAATTAGTTAGTTTTAATTTTTAATTAAGCGTGTGACAAAAATGCTTAAAATATTTCTAAATTATTTTAGTTTTCTTTGTGTTACGTTTATTGTATTTTGTCACTATATGTGCGCCTGTTAATATGATTGTATTTACTTGTGAGCATAACCAGCGATATGAAACTCGGAGTAAATAAGGTTCTTTAGGAATTTTTGGGTTTAGTAACTTAGTAAATTATGCGAAATTTACATTTACTTAATATGTTACAGAAAATAAAATTGAAACAAACGTATTAAATATTTAAACAAACAAAATAAACAAGTTCTATTTATATTCAATGAGCTTTCATTATGAGTTACTAACAAACAAGACAGTTGGCATTACTATTTTCATTAACACAAACATGTGGAGCACAATTGCGTCTCAGAGAATACTAAATATACAGTGATATTTACCGCAGATGAATTTTTCTTTGCTATGCAATAAACTGTTTCCATGATAATTCTCAGATCTAAAGTAATCAAAAAATAAGTATGTACCTTTATGTGCCCAGTTAGATGCATTGAGAAATATGAAATTACCATTTTATAATGCCAATCAAATAGATGTGAGATTCAAAATTCTAGCTATGTAGATATTTTTGGACTTTCAAAATTTCAAATTTTAACAGCTGACCGTAATAAAGTAAAAGGAAAAAGTTGACGGTTTTATGATTTAGTTAGAACAACAATGATATAAAATCTAGGGAATAGCACGCCTGAATTATTCACAGTGTGAATATTGAGTGAATATACGAGACAAGTTTTGCGACTTTTAATTTACAATATTGCCATAATCGAATCTCTTCAACACTAATCGGAACGTGCTTCTAGCAGCTATACATATATTTTTCTTCGGTTAGTTAGTGGATTTCTTTTTATATTCTTGTCGCATGTTGGTTATTTAATTCAACTAATTCTATATCCCAGCTTAGGTAGAAATTAATTATAAGTTTCTTAAAATATTAATATAATAATAATAGTAATAAAATACAAAAAGCGAGACATACTTTTTACACACACTAAATACTAATCATTTTACTATATCTACAGGTTTAATCACCACAATTTGTATGTATGTTTAATGTATGTGCTATTATGTCTAAGCATATAGTACATGCATTTTTGTCTGTAGAGGGCGAGGGACAAAGCAGATTGGTCTACATCGTTGTTACAAATGTCCCTCTTAGCATTAAACTCTAATTTATTAATTTATAAGCCAAGTGCCTCTATGCAAATTTCCTGCAATCGTCTTAGCTTCATTTCCTATTTTTGCTACTACTGCTGCTGCGTTGCATTTGTTCTTCTTGCTACGTTCTAATAATTTATAATATATGCTCATATTGACATCATTCAGCGCGCATCTTCCGGCTGTTGAAGTGGGGGAGGATGTGTTGACGGTGGTGTCGGCTGCAGAGGCACCTGTTGCTTGCCCCATTGGTAGTGGTATGGCGGTATATGGTAGTTTGGCTGCTGCGGTGTTTGTTGTTGGTGTTGATAATGTGGTTCCAACTGTGCGTAATGATGCTGGTGCTGTTGTTGTTGCTGCAGAGGGTGATGTTCATGCTGTTGCTGCTCTATTGTTAGATTAGCGTGTTGTTGTAGTTGATGCTGCTGCTGCTCAAGCGAAACTGCCGGCGGCACTGGTGCCAACATCGGCAACATGGTCATGTACTACGCAACCGCTGCGGTTGTAGTTGCTGCAGGTGCTGCTGTCGCGTTTGGCGTTGCTGCTGCCGCCGCCGCCACTGTTGCGGTAGGTGGTGGTGACGATACCACGGGTACGCTAGCCACCGCCGTGGAGGGCGGAGTATCGTTTCTAATATCTGCACCGTTGCCATTGTTGTTGGTGGCGTTGGCGCCGAGTGGTGGTGCTGCATTAACCGTAGGCAATGCGCTTGCGCTAATCACATTCTTGCCACCACTGCTGCTGTTGCTCATTAGAACTGATTGCATATGACTCGAGTCGCTGTTAGCTAGTGCTGGGCCACCGCCGATTAGCGCATTCACATTGGCGTTTTCTATCACATTCTTTATGTGTATATTGCTGCTGGTGTTGTTGTTGCCACTGCTTATGCTATTACTATTGCTATTGCTGCTTACTGTACCACAGCTGTTGCTATTCGTGCTGCTATTGCTGACGTCATTTAATAGAGCAGAAGCTGGCGCTAGTGCATTGCTGCTGTTGCTGTTATCATCGAGCGTGGCACAGGCATTCTGGCTCTTACTCAATTGCGCTGCCGCTGTTGTTGTTGATGGTTTGTGCGTTGCTGATGGATCACAGCTATTATCGCTAATGTTGTGGTTGCTGGCGCCGCTGTTACCATTAGCACTAATGTTACTCTCGTCGTCGCCGGCGGCTACGCCGGCAGTTGGCTGTTCTTCCCTGTTAATATTGTTGGACGCTGCACATGGCGCAGAATGTGCCGTAGCGTCCAGAGCTGACGTTGGTGATCCAGCTTTTATTGTTACTGTTGATGCGGATGATGCTTCAGTTTTCACCTCAACTTTTACTTGATTAGCGCCTATAGTGGCGGCACCAAAGTGGATCTCGTTTTTGGCGGTTTTTTCCTCGGCCTGCCGTTGTTGGAAGCGGTATTCCAGAGTGGGCACTGTCAATGGGCCACCCACGCCCGTACCACGCGAGACTTGAAACAGTACTCTCGAAATAATCAATGCAACCTGTTGATCAAGTATATTAGACATCACCAAGCCGAGTAACCGCTGCTCTTGGTGCATGAATAACGAACGGTTGTCCGGATGCTTGGCCAAGTGTAATAACGTGCCTGCAGCGCGACGCAGCATGTCTAAGCTTGTACCCATTGAGTCGGGGTTCTCGCGTAGATAGTTGATGCCATGCTGGTTGGCCACACCTAGGGCTGTTTGCTCGGCCTGCTCGATAAACGCCACAAGATATGAGATGCAAGGCGATTGTAATGCCACTGTACGTGCCATGGCACTATCCGCTGCGGCTAAGTAATGTAGCAGGTTAACAGAGAACTCGCGCAGAACTTGGTCCTCATTGCGGCACAGATGGCGCGTCAGGACTGCACATAATTTTTCAAGCCTTGAATGCGGCGGTGTTGCTATCACGAGATCGACGTTAGCGTCTGTGACGCAAAGTTTACATAGTGCCTCTAGCGCTAGTCGCTGCGGCGAAAGGGAAGAATTCAGGCCACAAGAGGGGAATGGATCTTGACCGTGCGCACTCGGACATACAGCCCAGTGTAACAGCCCGTCGATAAGTGGCCGCGCAATGAGCTCATCGTAACGCGACAGTTCCAAATGCCCAGCAATGTTTGCTAAAGCGACGAGCATGTTCTCACGTATGTGTACGAGATATTCCCACCACCATTCACGCTCGCCTTGAAGTGAACTGCATGAGTCTGAGAAATCGGTGTCCTCTTCACGGTCGTAGTTGCGCGTCTTTGGAGTTCTTTGCAAATGTTCGTGGTTGAGCAGAAGAAGACGGCCCAGGATGGCGAGAAACCGACGCGACTTGGCTAAAAGCGTTTCGTTACCGGGCACAAAGGTCAGGTTTCGGAAGATGTTCGATAAACATATGCAGCGACGCGCCAGCGCATCTTGCCACTCACTAACCAGATATAGACTGGCTTCGTCGCGCGTATAACACTCTTCTTCCACGGTAGACGCGCGGCGACGCTGCAAAACTTGTGCAGCATCGCGTACTGTTGTCATTGGATCAAAGGTCTTAGGTGCACTACCGCCATTCGTTATACGTTGCTGGGGTAGCAGCTCGATTTCCATGTCCACCTCACGACAATCACTGTCAGTCCCGACTGGTGTATTTTCTGTGTGTGTCGCATCAATTAGCTCTTTCTTAACAAGACCCGGCTGCGCAAATGCCTCTTCGTCATCATTTAATTTGGTTTTCTTGGCACCACTAGCCTCACAACTGCCTACCACAGCGGTTGAGATTTGTTTGCTACCACTACTACTGCTGCTATTATTGAATAAACGCCTCTTTTTGTTAAATGTGTGCTCCATTTTGCTATCTTCTGCAGAGCTCTCTTCCAACTGCTCTATGTTCATCAGAGTCTTACTACCAGCTTCACAGCTTTCCGTGCTGCACAACCCGTTTTTCGTAACTCCACTTTTGGAACTCTTCTCATTGGTACCGCGTATGAAACGCGCAAAAGGAATGTTTATTATTTCCGACTTAAACACGTCGATAATGCCGTCTTGTGCATTACGATCCGCAAAACCATACGTCCAACTCCAGGCAGTAGTTTCAGTCACATTTGCCTGTTCATAAATAGGCTCCACTTCTGAGTCCCACTCTTTCTGTGTGTTTGTTACGAAAATATCGTCCTCGGCTGGTTGCAAGCGTACCGGCAAACCCTTTCGTGACATCATTGTGTAGTTGGGAGTATGCGAAAGCAAAATTACTCGCTCCTCAGGATTCGCTAGAGAACGAACCTGTCCCAAATCGATTCCTTCATCCTCGTCGTCATTCTCAGCCAATTGCAGCTTAGGTGATTTTAATCGGTCATCGTTGTCGTTGCTACATTCAGAAGATTCGTTGAATCCGCGGTGGCGTTGTTTGCGTTTGCAGATTTGTACTACTCGTGCATTTCGATTTCCACCGCGATGTTCAACATCCATATCGCCGTCATTGAACATCTCTGCGAGATTCTTTTGGAAATGCTCCAAAAGTAAAGTCAGCAAGCCAGGCAAATGTGCCAGGCCAAAGTACTGTACCGTTGTATCATCGAATAGTAAGACATTTAAAACGTCCAATGCCCATGTGCATTCCGTTAAAAGACCGGAGCGCATGGCCATAAATATGCGCCAGGGATCCACAGGGCAAACATCTGTTTTTGCTAAACGCTTACGTCTATATAGCACAGGTGTGGTGGCTTCCACACTGTCGGGAGGGAAAATGATTTCCTTTTTGACTAATGGTGCGCCAGGAGGAGTAGCGAACTGTTGTTGTGGTTGCGCTTGCATTGGCTGCGGTTGTGGCGGAACCGGGGGTAGCCCGGGAACACCTACTTGTGGTGCAACACTCACGGATGATACCGGTGGTTTAGGCACACTAGCCACTGGAGCACCCATAACTGGCGGCATAGTAGGGACCGTGCTGGGTGGAGCAACAGGAGGAGGTGGTCCGCAGGTAGCAGCACCCGTGCCACCAACTTGTGGTGGGGGTGGCATCACAAATGGCGGCTTTGCGATGTTTTGGCTGGACGTCGGTCCGACGGGTTGTTGCTGGGCGGGAGGTGGCGGCATGCCGGGACGTTGTTGTGGCGGTTGCTGTTGGCCACTAACAGATGGTCGTAGGGCCGTGCCTGGAACACCGGCCTGCGCTGGGACCTGAGTGCTGCCTCCCATTTGTGCCCATTGTGGCGGCGGCGGGGGCTGTTGCTGCTGGCTCTGTTGTTGGTATGGTGGCTGTTGTTGTGGTGGTGGTGGCGGCTGTTGTGGCCCATACCGATGCTGCTCCCATTGTACGGCGGCCGAAGCTTGTTGGTTTGGTGGTCCAAGGGGGCCGCTACCTGGGGGTGCGGCTGTTCGTGGTGGTGCGCCACCCCAACCCTGTGGAGACGGTGCAGAAGGATACTGGCCACGGTATTGAGTCGAACTACTCCAACCACCTATTTAAAACAAAGAACAACAACCATAATAAGTTATGTACGAAAAAGGGAGTTTGCTGATCTTATTTAAAATATATCGTATATTTGTAAATAGACAGATGAAATTACTTACCATACAGTTGGGGTCTGGCATTATATGGATAAGGCTGAGAGTCTTTCACAAAATCTGGATGTCGCCGTGGTTGAGGTGTCTGTTTATTAAGCGAAAAGAAGTTAGTGATATAAAGATCGAGTGTTTAAAGTTATGTGAAAATTAGTGACTTACCTGATCTGGTGGTCTATAATAATCTTGCTGGGTTGGAGTGGCTGTCGGATATCCGCCGCCTGGAGTTTGTGGACCGGTAGGTGGACCAGCAGTACCTGCAACAGCCGAGCCGGGTGGCGTAGGAGTTTGAGAGCTGCCCGGTGGTTGACCATAAGGACGATTGCTGTAAGTGCCATATTGATTCGCACCAGGTGGAGGACTAAGTGAAGCAAGAAAAAATACATTATATTTATGATAAATAGAAATATATATATTTCATCAAATTAGTAAGCCAGTTCGATACAGGCAATGTGTTAGAAAACAATACTTTTGTAATAACACTTCAGATAAGTAGTTGTTAACAACAAATGGACTACTATGTATCAATGTGTGGAGAAGTAGAGAAAATAGCACTCACGCTTCCCCCTCTGGTCCATAAGGAGGGTACATATTTCGATTTTGTGGCGGAAATTGTGGTCCTTGGCTCTGGCCAAATTGGCTGGGAGGACCTGTCGCATTGTATTGATCACTTGATCCATATTGACCATAGGCACCCGGTTGACCGGGATATGGAGAACCTGCGAATCAGAAGCAAAAGTAAATGATTTTGTTAGCTAAAATAATATAAACATTTTAAAGTGAGACAGATAGAAGAGTGTTATGTATGCTTTAGTTAGTACGCTATGTATAACTGAGAAAATGTGGAATCAATAAAAGTATGTATTGTATATGCGTATATAAGTATTCTCACAAGCACTTTATACTCCATTTGTATAAATTTCTGATGAGGAGATGTGGTGACCTCCGAAACAGCTGTCACTTCTACCGTTTTGCTTTGTTGTATAACAAATATTTAATTCATACAAATAACAAGGCCTCGTAGTTTACTTAATAAAAATTAAATTTCATTTACAATAGTTTTTTTTTTGTTGTTTTTAAACCCACATATACACAGTGCAAAAAGTGTGAGTATATTGACTTCGTTCACATAATGGTTGTTTGATGTAATTGTTGGGGTTGTGGGTTTCGGGAAATTTCGCAGAGGCACAGTTTTGAGTGGATAAAGATAGTTTCGATTAAATGCCAGATTGAATTTTCGTTGCCTCTTCCGATAGGTATTTCTCACTGCGTTCAATTTTTGAAGCTCTAATCCCATCCTTGGTGCGTTGTTTTGTTTTAGTCATGGCTCTAGGCGCGTATGTGAAGTCGATATTGAAATTTTGTGTATAAAGTCATAAATGTATGTGCCCCAACGGATCACATTTATTTATTTATTTACTAATATGAATGAAAACTAAGACCACCTAGCGAAGTTGACGCAAAACGTATGATTTTAAATAAATATTACGATCTAGTATTTTGAGTCTTATGTACATCTTGTGCGTGGTTTGGGTTTAGATATTTTTAGACCTTTGAATATTTGGCAAATCAGTTGTATGCATGTAAATATGTATGTATGTATTAATGGTTGTGCGAAAATGTATGTTACACTTTTAGACGTTACAACAAATAACAACAGTAAGGAGAATATAAAAGTAATATGTATATACATCTATAAGAGCAAATTATCACTTAACCAATACAGTTATGTTGAAAAGAACTAATAATTATATATTGTAAATAATAATTGAAATAAAATGAAATACTCTTAAAAAATAATGAAATTTTTATTGTGCAAAATGAAGCGAGTAAAAGATGGTTTACCAATTCAAGGACAAACAAAGAAGAATAATAAAAGTGATAAACTAAAAGCAAAAACTACAAGAGAAAATAAAAAATAATTAAAAACATAATACCTGGCGTCCTAGACACCGGCGTGTAAGCATTGCCAGCGCCCTGTTGATAAGGGGAGGCACGCGGCGGTGGTGGTGCATTGCTGACGCTACTATTGCCACCACTACCGCCGCCACCCACAACCGGATCGTCAAAAGGATTGCTCACACTAATATTATCTCCAGCAGCTGCTGTTTGAGTATTGCCTATAGGACGCGTGATGGAGATGAATTTGTTGATGTGATTCATAATTTATTTTTATTTTTGTTTTGCGTTTCCATATTTGGTTGTTGTTGGTTTTTATTAATATAATCATCATTTTGTTAATGGTTATTTTGCAGTGGATTTTGTTTGGTGATATGGTGATATGATATTGGTGATGATGGTGAATGGTGATGAGAAGGTGGCAAGTGATTTAAAGTTAGGCAAAATAAGAATAAGAAATGAAAGAAAAATTTAATAAATATACTAAAGTTGTACAATAGTTTTTGGTAAAAAGTTGAAAAACTAAATTAAAAGAAATTCTGGGCTACTGATGTGAAGTTTTGGCCCAAATATATATACATATATTTATGAATGAAGCAATAATTTGATATGAGTATGTTTTTGAATTGCGGTGATTTAAAAAAAAACCGTTAGCTAAAATTGTTCCACGTTTCATCAAGAATACGTATGTATTGTATTTATTAATTTGGAGTTTAGACAAGTGCGCAAAATGCGTTAGTAAAAGTGAAAAATTAGTTACTTTTTTATTTTTGTTTATGTGTAAAGCCAGTGTTTATAAACGTATGCACATATGTGAGGAAACTATGTATGGATAATATGAAAATTGTGTTAGATTTAAATGTTTTCGAAAAATCTTCACTTTTTTTTTAAATTTGGCCTATACATATGTATTGTATATACATATGTATTTATTTTAATTACCTGCGTGTGGAGTTTGTGCGTTGCTTTGTGAGGGTGGCCGTTGCATTTGACCACCAGCTGCTCCGTAGTCTGGTTGTGGACCAGCTGTGCCAGGGTAGCCGCTCGGGTAACCTGGATAACCGTCCATCGATGCATTTGCAGCTGTGCCCGGTGCTGGGAATGAATCTTGGGAATTCGAGGAGCCTGCTGACATTGTTGATGTATTTGTATTGTCCAACGCAATTGCACCACCAATTTTTTGGAATATAAAGTTGTTGATTTTTTTCCGAAAAAAATTTTAATTTCAAATTAAAACAGTTATAATGTTAGGCACGTTTGAGGAACAAATTGTGTATACTATAGGTCCTACATATTTATATATTTCGTTGGCAGTATTTTCATTTACATACAATTAGATTTCTATATAGATATTTTAAGATGCAAAAAAAACACTAACATTCAAATAAAACGCTCCCTGTATATATAAAAACATTTTAATTAAAACTTGGAAATATGTAATGTATTTGTCTCTAAAGTTCAAGAAATAGCTTCAAAAAAAAAAAACTTTTTCTTTCATAGATTACTGTTAAAATATTACTTCAAATGAACAAATTGTTATGGAATCTAAATATATGTACAATTTTATCTCTCTTACCTGGCGATGGTACAGAAGCGGCTTTTGTCGATTTCTTTTTGGTCCCGGCTTCTACTTGTTGAATGATTGGCAAAGGATCGATATCACCTCGGTCGAAATGACACTCGAAGGTCAACAAATTCTTCGTATAGTGTTTGCGTAGTGTATAAGCAGCGCTGCTACTTGCGCCTATACCCAATAAACCGGCAATATCCTTCCATGTTTTACTTTTCGTAACCTTTAGTTGTATATTTTTTCATATTCACATTGTAAGTTGACGATATTATAGAACAAAGGAGAGATATAAGTTAGTGTATGTGATAACAAAAGCTAAATAAAATATATTTAAAATATATATCAAATTTAAATTTAAATATAAAACAATGATAAATCATTGATGCAAAAGTAGTTCTCATATTTAAAATTTATATCTTCAATACTCAATTACATATATCTTAAGTAAATACTTCGATTTTTTAGTAAGATAGTTCGGAAAAAGAAAAATAAAAAAATAACTGAGCAGACATATAGAATGAAAAGAAAATACTACATAAAGTAATTAAAGCGAGATTTGAAGGAAGTATAAATAATTTTACTACTTACATTTAGTGGGAAGGGAATCAATCAATGGTTTTATATTTTTACAACACTAAACATTCAAGGTTGGGTTGGAAATACTAAATATTTATATATTTTTGAAATTCTAGTTATGGCAACAATGAGTGCAAAAAAACTTCATTGGAAAAATTTTCCTAAGGTATGATTTGAAAAAAAAAAAAAAAACTAAACGTTTATTAAAATATTAGGAAAAATCCTTGCGAATTTAAATAAAATTTAAATTTACTAAAAGCCATACGATACGTGCTTTTTTATAAGCGGCAATTCATTGAAAAATGTGTTTTTTCTCTTTCGTTCATAACTATTACAAGCAACAACAAAAGAGCGATAACAAAAACTCATGCATTTTTTTATTTAAATTTCTTTTTAGAATTTAGTGTCTTAATGTATAAAAAGCGGGTTCGTTTAAATTTCAAAATAATTTCGAATAGTGCAAATTTCTGTTATTTTTTGTTTTGTAAAGATGCTTATTGTTAATGCAATCAAAATACAATGTAGATGCGGTGGAGGGACTGGTGATGGTGATGATGATGATGACAATGAGATTGCGGGATATATTCATGTTGATGATTATAGCAATTCACAATGAGTTAACTATTGATATGTTGTTAGTTGCTATTCAACTCGAATGCTACAAAGCATATTTTTTTCTTTTTTTTTTTTCTTTTTTGAATTAATGAACAATTTGCAAATTTTCGGTCTATTTGTACAAAAAAGTAGTAATGGTGGTGGTGGTGATGGTAGGTAGTTTTGCTATTTTGGTAGCACTACTAGAAGGTAGTAATTGGTAGTGAATCTAAAAAGAAGTTAGTAAAAGGAATTACTACGGCACCTTGCATACCTCGACGAATCCTCCACGTTCTTTTACATAAATATATAACCTATATAAGTCGAGCGGTTGTTTCGATATTGTTGGACAGGCGGTGATAGGTGTGCGCCGATCCTCCATGAAAGCACGCAGCTTATCAAGCCAACTACGTCTTTCCGGATTATCATCCATTTCGTATAGTTTGCATAAACTATCAGATTTTTTCGTAGACGACGGGCGAAAAGTCTCCTGTGGCGGCCCGTGGCTATTGAAAACCTGCTGCAAATGTACAATTCAAAACATTATTATGAGCAATAATTCATATTTATAGTTTTACTACGACTTCAACTTACCGGACTTACTGGTGGTCGTGTCCAATTTGGTGGTGAATTCATATCATATTCTTCCCCCGGTCCACCTGGATGTCCGGTATGTCCTACCGGCGATGTGCTGGGTGGCGCTAAGTGGCTTTGGCTATATGGATCATTTTTACGTGATTTTGGCGTTGTACATTGCGGATCTTCTCCAGAAGCTGTTAATTAAATAAAATATTTATTGTTTTATTGAACAGTGAAATCATTTACAAATTAAGTTAAAAATGCCCTCTTTTTTATTAGCTCACCTGCTGATGCATTTGATAGCGTACTTTGTTGACTAACTTCGTCGATTGGGGTGCCATCCGGTCCGGTTGTCACCACCGACGTTACTGGGTGTACTCCCGATGCTGTAGATGAGCCCGAAGAACTAATGCCGTTATCTTGAGAAATGTGTTCGCCGTCACTGGATAATAGGACACCGCTACCAACACTTCCACCCACACCCACCATATTGCCGAGGGTACCAACTCCGCCCATAGTTTGTGGTGGTGTGCTCGTTGGTGGACCCATATTTGTGGGTCCGTGGGGCGGTCCCATATGATGCGGCGGACCCATCGGCATACCCGGATGCATACCCGGCCCATTACCATAACCTTGCTGCGGCGCTGGACTACTACCATAGCCGCCCTTATGTTGTAAATGCTGCTTTAGATAGTTGATTGGACGTGGTGAGCCACCGCCGGGTGGTTGTGGTGGGCCACCCGGTGGAGGTGTGCCTTTGCCCTGGACGTGATTGCCCATGCCCGCTCCACCGGCGCCAACTGGCGTACCACTGCCGCCTGGTCCAACTTGTGGCGATGGTGGTACCCAGTTCTGAAAGGGTGGATACTGTGTATGTGGACCGCCAGCACCGGTATGATTTGGCATTGGTCTGCCGGGATATTGAGGGCCCCCACTTGGAGGCATACTGTTCGCAGAGGTTGGTTGATTTGACGGCGGTTGATTGGGCGCATAACCGCTGGGTGTGTATTGCGGACGAGGCGGGTAGGATCCTGAAAAGATTTTGTTATTTTGAAATTAGAAACATATACATAAGTTTTTATAAAATTCGAATTAGTGCATTATGTTCTACATTTCGTACCTTGAGAATATTGCTGCGACTGTTGTGGTTGCGGATAACCACTTGGCAAAACTTGCGGTCCTGGGACCGGACTTTGCCCTGGACCGCCCATTTTATAGACACCGTGCATATGTGGCGGCGGTGCATAGCCACCTGCGCCTCCGCCAGCACCTTGAGGAGGGGGTGTTGTCATGCTGTTCATGCCTTGATTTGGTGGCGGTGGTTGTTGTTGTGAACCAGTTGGAGCGCTTGGTCCCCCCGATGGTAGGCCAGTACCTTGTTGTTGTGTGCCGACGACCCCTCCTGGACCACCCATTGTTTGCTGTTGTGATTGCGATTGCGCTGCCATTTGCTGCTGTTGTGAACCACCGCCTCCGCCACCTTGTGCCGCTTGCAAATGTGGTGGTGGCGGAGGAGGCCCAGTTGTGCCAGGCTGCTGCATAGGACCGCCACTACTCGATTGATTACTTGAGGGGCGTGAAATTGGGTGGTTTTGTGCTGCACATAACAATAAGTGAGAACAAAGTTGAAGACGATATTTTCAACCATTTACTTACCCACTGCTGGTGACATGGATCGCGAACCCGATGAGCCTGTTGGTGAAGGTGTAGGACGCATCACTTGCTGCGAATTGGGTGTGCCAGGCGGTCCGGAGCCCATACCGCTGTGTGCGCCACCACTGGAACTATCGTTACTGTTCTGACCGATCAATTCCTGTAAAAACAAGAAATAAATAAATAAGCGATTAGAGTGTTATTTAAAGGAATTTCGAGGAAAAAATGGACAGTGAGTTCGTTTTTTGTTTGATGAAACGGATACAATACTTTGTACAAACTTTCGAAATGCTCCCAGGGCAGAATTTTGTTCATGTTTCTCCGCCTTCTTATGTGCTTTTTATATTTTGTGTTTGTTTTTAATTTTTGTATTATTTTCGTCGAGTTGTTCTTTTCTTTATTTTCTAATATAATTTTGTATATGTATTTTATTTTCATTGACGATTCCAATTTAGAAGAATAGAGTTTATTTTAATGAATCGAATTTTTGGCTGCAGAATAATTTTCATAAGTGTCATAAAAAATTTTGGATTTCAGAAAATAAAAAAATACTAAATTTATTTCGGAAAAAAACTATTTCACTACAAAGTGGATACTAATGAAACAAGTGGGTACGACAAAGACGTGGTTAACTCAACTATTTACAGACATTCCGTCATTGTGGGAGAAATTAAAAAAACAAGTATCTAACAGTAATAATTTTTCGATTTATAATAATTTTTATTTTTATATTTATATAAAGAAGAAAGCAAATCGAAAAAACAAGAGGAGGTCGATTTAAAACTTAATATAAACTCAAATTTTTCAAATTTTTCCCGAGTCTTTGAAATTTATTTTATTACCTAAATTGAAGTAGAGTTGAGAACCACCGAATAAAAAAGAGATGTGGATAGTAATTGGTTCTTCTCGATAATCACTTTCAGAATCTCAATTAATATCATACCATTGCTCTCTATAGGCTTCAAATGTCTTAAAATACTCCAAGCTGTGTAAGCTTCAAAAAATCGTATTAATAAGGAAAGGTGCGTGCTCAAGCAAAGTTTTGTGCATTTTCCTTAAATGAGTGACCCATCTTTTATTTCGGTATGTAAACGCCGAATAACTTTCACATTTACCAACAACGCGCTGATATAGTGACACTTTACATCGAAAAACATCGCTCCATTGTGTTAACTCAACGTGCATATCGGAAAAAGTTTCGCGGCAAAAAAGCACCATCTGTCAGATCACCTCATTTAACACGAAAAATGGGACAAAGCGCGTGTTAAAATAGTGTTGTTTATCCACTCTCATTTGCCCTCACAGCGGTTGGAGCCCTGCTGCTTAGAGGAGCGCTTTTAGGTAGGTAAATATTTATTTTAAGAACGTGAGAATATTTGACAATATAAGTATAAAAGTATAAAATTGTAACACGAATCAAACAGAGATATGGGAGGAAGATGCCGGCCGGCATTAGCTTTCAATTAAACTATTATGTGTTTTTTATAAAAATATATCAATCTGTGTGTACATATACATACATAAACAAAGTAAAAGGTAGCAATTCAAGGTAAGATATATGGTGAGAAAAGAAAAAATCTGCGAAGTAAAACGAAAACAAAAAAAAAACACCGACCTTTTTTTTCTTTTGTAAACGTTGGCGGCAAGATAATTACCCTATTTGTGCAAGCATACACACTCTATTACTTAGCGCCTAGTAATGCACGTGCCGTCGATTATAAAGCGACCGGTATACTCGTATGAGACACAACTGGCCAAACAAAGCTCTTTTCATTTAAATGTATATTAATCATAGCAGAGCACAGTTGAGAGATAGTGGGCTGGAGTAAATCTGCAAGTATGCTGGTGTAGGCACATAATTTTTCTTTATTTTCGAGAGAGGCTTAAGGGGTTAAATAGGTCTTGAAGGCCAAAAAAAGCTTATTTTCTCTAGTTTTTTTTTTTAAAGATGCTAAATAAAGTATACAGTTTATTTTGTTTACATATAAAAGTACAATATGTGGACAACATTTGATGAAAATTTTAATGATAAATAGTATAAGTTAAGGCGGTGGCAGTGTCGTGAAGTAGACCGTCCACAAGAAATTGCTTTCGCGGTAGTAATGAGAACTTTTCCAACTTTTATCTGAAATCAAAAATCCAAATTTTTTCTAAAAGTTGGTGAATCTTCCTTGTCCCTGAACGTAGAAAAATTAAAAAAACTAAAAATTAAAATTTTTGTAGCGTTTTTACAATTTTTGCATAAAATTACGCCACATATTGGCTTGTAAAATGAGTTGAAATCAATAATAAAATAAGCTTCGTTCATGGACTACTAAACATGCTTAAAAATGTGTGGAAAATTTGAACTCGATCGCTTCAATAGTCGTTGAGAAATTTTGGCTATCGATTTCGTTAAAGCGATTTTAAGAAAAACGCATTTAAAGTTTTATCATCGGGAAAGCCATGACAAAGACGCCGGGTTATAAGCCTCTCTAATTACTACAGTTTCTTCTCTATCGTCTTGAAAATTGGGGAAAATATTCCTGACACTTTGCACTTTTATACAAAAAAAAATTAATTTGTTGAAGTTTCGAGATCTATGTAACCCCTTAACAGCACTTTTTGTTTCTCGTTGTTGGGTTTATTAATAAGCTTATACATATATTGTAAACTATTAAAAAAACGGATTTTTTACAGCTTAATACTGAGTTCACAGCCGTGAGATTTCGCTACTAAAAAGAATTTTATTTTCCCTGCAAAAATAAGCCAGTAACGAAATTGAGAGAGTAAGATGTCTTACTCTCCAAAAGAAAAAAATTGGTGAGTTTCCACCGAACAAGATTCTGTAAAAATTAGCCAATAGCTATACAACTTATCGGCTGTTTATTTTGGCGGTTAAATTTGAATCCGTTCATATAATATAAACAGTTTATTTATTTCAAGTATTTTCCTAGGTATTTTAATGAATTTGGCAATTGGATGGTATTTTTCGTTACTGAATGCCGCTCTCAATTGCTCTAATAGGAGTGCTAACAGGTCGGTCATTGTCTCATTGGTAGACACGCCATACAACGATTTGTGCAGAAGTTGCCAGGAGGCCGCAGAGGAAGAGACGGTAAAACATCTTGTATGCATAAATAAAGCATTTCACAGGAAAATTTTCGGAACTAACGGCTTAACTTATTAAGACCACTTGGTTCAGATAGGACATGTTAGTGGAAGGGAATTTCAGTTGCCGTAGGATCAATGGGTCCGTCGCAAGAATTGCAAATAACTGGAAGCAAAATATTTCAAAATATGCGAACAATAATTGCTGAAAGACACGATAACAGAGGAAAAACATTAATAGCTGGAACGAATAAAACGCAAATTAAATATGAAAAAATTAACCACCTTTTTTAGCCCACTCATAGTCCGAGTTTGCACAGGGACATTTTTTCTCGACGAAACACTAGTTTGTGGAGGAGGGGCGTCTGTGTAGATTTTGCCATTCCCTTCTATTTTGTTTCTCGTTTTGAACTGATTGTAGTTGTTTTAAACATATATGACTGTGCGTATATGTATCTAATTATTAATAAATGTTTCAGATAATGGAGTTTGCATATAAAGTTGAATTAATACAAGAAATATTAGAGAGTATTGAAGAAGCTGCTGAGATTGACTTAAGATGATAGTGAAAAGGATAAGATATGTCATCAGATTACACTTTTGAAAAAGAGTAGTGCTAATGCTTAATTAAATTTATAATAAAATATATAAAAGAAGTAGATAAATAAAAGCTGTGTCTTCATTTACACAAACATAACGTTTCTATTTTAGAAATATTAAAAAGCTCGAGGCGAACGAAAAAATGCGAGCGTAAATAAAGCGAAATAGAAAAAAATGAAGAAGAAACAAATGTAAAAAAGAAAATTACGATAATAAGCGACAAAAGTATCCTCATGTAAATTCCAGACATATAGAAAGAATCATATGCAAAGAATAAGAGAAAAAATAGAAAGATAAACCCGCACATAAGTCAAACGCATAAGTGAATAAAAAAAAGATAATAACAAAAAAAAATATAAAAACTATTGCGGATAAAGTCAAGCGAGGCTTAATAAAAAATGTTATAAAAACTACGTATAGACTAATTGATTGGGTTTGAAGGAGAGAATTTGAATTGTTGTTGCTACGAAGTGTTTTTCGTTCAAAAATATTTGCAAAGCATCATCGACTTAAATAGTCATGGGAGCGAGGAAGAGCACATAAATGCAATATCAAGTTATGAAACAATAACAATAAATTAATTTCTTATGAAATTAACATGCGCAGCATATTCTTGTTTACTGCTGGCGCAAATGATTGAAACTGGAACATGAACGTTGCATTTGGAAAGTCGGTTATTGCCACATCAGTAATAAAAAGGCACATTTGTGAAGATATTCTCCCCTTTTGACTTGCTTTTATTATTGCTATTATTTTTAAAACAATTCTTACTTTTTGGCTGTTTGAGAGCACCAAATAAAAAAAATATATGCATATATCATAATAATAACAGTATTAACAAAAACAAGCATGAGTGTTTATTCGTCGGACAGTGGAATTGAGCAACGAGAACCAACAGCTGCTAAACAACGACGCAATGAAGTTTGTTACCATCAAAACAACAACGTCAATAATCTGACACAATAATCAGCCATCAGCCGTCAAATGGGCGAATGAGGAAATACTGCAAAAATGAGTAAATGAAATGAATAAAGCAAATATAGAACCGTCATACACATTGGAAGTTGAAATAATTTTTTTGCTGTTGTTGCTTAAAATGCAGCAGCTACAACGCAATGCAAGAAAAGGAGAACGACAAAAGAAAACGACTAATGTATGTATAAATTAAATGAACTTCAAAATTAATTTTTCTTTCATGTATACTTGAATTGAAAATACTTAAAATGTATAAATTAAATGAACTTCAAAATTAATTTTTCTTTCATGTATACTTGAATTGAAAATACTTAAATGCTTTTCCCAATAACCAGAGAACAAAGACTTGCATATACTCGACGTTTTCTAAAAACAAAACACCTTTTACTTTTGAAATGGTTTGTATATGATAATATGTATATGGGAGAAAAATATTCGCAAAATCGACATAATCGATACAGTTATATGCCAGCTGTTTGAAGAAGTTGAAGCAATAGTTTGACACCCATTTCACGGAAGTTGACATACAAATTTTTTTATAGACAAGTGGATCTTTGTCTTAAAAACTTTTCCGCGTATTTCAATTGATTTTTAATTTTTATTTTTTTTTTACAGTTTTTCTTTACCGAATTTTTTAATTGTACTACATTTTTTTACTTCAGTTAATTTTATTATTTTTGCTATTTTGACTTCGTTTTTATTTATAGAAATACTGTGCTTGATTATTTCTGGCTTAAAGCAATCTCAAATTCTGCTACACTGTGCCAAAACACAAATCAGCGACGATGATAACAAAACACGACACGAAAAAGCGTGGGGAGACCAGGGGCGTAGTCAGCGATGTTAAATGAGCGCTGGCAAAGAAGAGTACGCTAGAAAAAAAATGGAGGAACGAAGTGGGTAATTTTGGGAAAAGATAAATGACTATCATTAAGTTTACGACAAAAACAAAGATAAATTACAGTGAAACGTTTTCCGAGGTGAATCAGCCAAGAAAAGTAATAGAGATAAAGAGTCAATGCGCAGTCAAAGTTTACTTTATAACACCCCGATATCGAAAACGAACCACAAAACTTAACATATATAAATATATATTGCAATAAACCGACTGTTCCGGGCGTTATACACACGTATACTATATATTTTAGCAAATCGAGTGGTAAGATCGACGTTAATTTTACCCGCTGCCGCCACGAACACTAAAAATGTGAGTACAGCGATGGATAGAAAGAAGAATTGCTTTTGTGTGTAAGCGAGTTGGCGTTATGGCGTTGTGGCGTTGTGGCGTATGAGCGTTGGAGCATGCGATGTGCAAACGAACGGGCGATGCAAACAAACACAAATACACTTGGAAAATACGAACTCTGAGCGGGTAAACAGTGGCGACGTTGTTTGGGGCGCTGCTAATTGACTATCGGCTGGCGATTTATAGCGAACGAGACATAGGGATTGAAACAGTGACTGCAAGAGGGATGCCAAAATCCAAACTTGTACTTTTTCATCCGAAATATATAGTCAAAAAAATTGTTTTTGTACAAAAAAAATTGTTATTTCGAAATTTATTTTCAAGACCAGTCGCAAGTAGCATAAAAATTTGATGGAAATTGAATTTCAATCACCAGATATTAGCCATTTCACAATAATTTATCAAAAATATGAACATATCCTTTAAAGCGCTTGGTTTTTCCATCGAAGAGGTTCACAGGGGGTCATCGAGGAGGCGAAAGGCTATAAATCCATCGGCCACGACTGAATAATCATGCTGATGCTGAAACATCTTGGACTAGCGGGAGAAGACTTTCTCGCCAAGGTCCTCAACTTATCTTTGACCACCCTAATGATACCTGACGTGTGGAAAACGGGCATAGTACCACAACAGCACTAAACGCTATAACCACGTCTTAACCAAAATCGACCCTACGCGCGAGCTGTCCTGGTAGCACCGGATTTTTCAAAAGCACGACAGTTAAAATACAACCGACTAAAACCTCGGCTATCCTTTTCACCAGTTGGACGAAGGAGTACAGGCTTGAATTAGATGTTAAGGTCGATAACGTAAAAATTTCGACTATAAACAACCCAAAGATATTGAGAGTTACATTAGATAGCCTGCACTCCTTCACTCAGCATATGACTACGATTGCCACAAAACTCCAGAGCCGCAACAAAATACTCAAAGCATTAGCCGACAGCACCTGTGGTAAAGCAAAGAAACTTTGTTGGTAACTTACAAAGCAATTGGCCGACGGTCATAAACTATGCTGCACCGATCTGTGCGCCGGGGACGAACGAGATGCAGATGAGACAGACAGGATTGGCAAAACACCGCCCTCAGGACCACGACAGGTACCTCCTGATGTCGCCGGAGCATCACTTACTCAGTGAAGCATCTATGCTACGAATTAAGGAGCATAATGCTTTGCTGTGCAAGAAATTCCTATTGGAATGCTACCGTAGGGAACAATCTAATAGGCACCTTATTAAACCTGAACCGCCATTTTTGTATTTTTTATGAGGGTGTACATTATTATTTGAATGATTTGAAAGATTTATCAATTTTCTAAATAAAATATATTGAGAAGGAAAAATAATTTGGATTTTCTTATCCTCCATTCCTCGGATGCTGTCCATGTTCAGAAAGAAGAAACACGACGCAATTATGATTAAATTTATATACTAAAGATAATCCTGGAATAAGCATACCTCAAAATGTTAGAAGGTTCATTATGAGCAATCCTAATGAAAAAAATTAGAATGGAGTTCTGTGAGGATATACAATATGCATACGATTTGTATTAATAATTAGTCGTTTTTTAAACTTTATAAATTGTACGCCTCTAATATTCGTAAAATGGACAAACGACAAAATAAGTTTCTTTAGCACACAAAAAAGTGTTTTTGGACAAAATAAGTTTTATTGCATACTATAACGACAGGCTAATAAGATACTCGTAATTAAGCTTCTATACTCTGTATCTATGCATACGGCCGGCAAAGCCATACGTCAAATGTTATCAAAATACACATTTCGGCAAATGTCAAGCCGCCAGCACCCACTTGTTGAATAATTTACAAGCGAAAAACATAAAAACCGGACTAGCGCGTACAGAAAAGCATAAACAGACACCACGGAATGATACATACTTTTGTGAGATTACCATACACGTCACTCCCTCCTGTGAATTTTAGTTTTATTGCCCACTTGCATATTTCAGGCAATAGGCAGAATTAAAAACAAACAACCACTGTCACGGCCGCTTACCGCACGACCCTAACTGAGAATACGAATGTATTCACGTACTGCGCAGACCGCTAAAATACTCGGAGACTGTTTCGGAGGAACCGCCATTCCCACAAACGCTTCATAAAAACCTATAAATGACAAGTCGATTAGGGAAATTTCAAACAGTCAAGGAAAAAGTACGCCAGCAGCAAGTAAAAATTGAAAGCAATAACGCAAAAAAAAATTAAATTAACAACACAACAAAGGTAAAAAGTGTGTGCGAGTGCAAGAAAAATTAAAAACTCCAGTCGTTCAGCCACTGCCAACGAATTCGTCGACAATTGAACGAAATGAAAAGAACATATATGCATATGTTCGTACGTATATTCAAACGGCTCTCATATAACTCAAACGACTTACGGGAAACAGCTCAGCGCGCTAGCGAATGAAGTAGTTGCAGTAAAGAAGAACAAACGAAGCGAACGTAAAATCTAACAAATGTACGAAATGTATAATCTGTCCACCTTCTGTGCCCTCGACGAACCCCTGCTGTATAACTAGATATTTCTCTTTTTTTTTTCTGTTTTATTTATTTTTCCTTTTTTACGTATAAACACCGAACTACGAGTATTCTTTTAGTATTTGAAAAAAGAAACTAAATGATATAAAGCAAATGATGTTTTACGACGGCAGAGCAAGAGTCGAATTGCAAAGGAGATGGTGCACCGAGACGGAGAAAAACATTGTCAGTGTGTAGAAAGAACTCTAAGACCTAAGTACCAACTTGAGATTGTTGTGTATGACTACCAGCGGCGACGGTGGTCGATGTATGTTGGTTCGAAGAGGGCGAGCATTCTAAATGTACGCCATACAGCTGTACGATTGCTTATGGTGTAGAAGAAAATAACGACAGCGAAAACAACAATGTCGAATGGCTGTTGTCGTCGCCGCCGTCTCGCCGTCCTCGTTGACGATGACAAAGGCGTGTAGATAAGAAACAGAAGCGCACACATAGCATAGAGCTCACGGCCCTGAGTCTACAAGCACAAAGTGTACGAAGCAAATACTTTTATGCTGACTTAACGTTGAGCACAGCGTTGGACTGGTTCATGGCTTATGGCTGTTGGTTCTGGAGTGGCAGGGCACCACGCGGCACGAAACGTAGCAATTGAGGGAGAATAATAAAAATGAGGAGGCAAAGCGGTGGTGGGTATTGTAAGTAAAACGTTGGCAGTATGATAAAGTGGAGTGCGGCTTCAAAGTAACTTGACAGCAACTAACGACAGAACGAATGGCCAAATGAACGGTCAGAGGAGACGCTGTTGTGTGTGATGTAGTGACTTTAGAATGTTTTGCATTAAGTGTACATATTAAGAAAACGGACGAAGAGATACAGCGACATCGATGTCGAGACTTTCCAAGTACAAATACCAGGGATATGTGGGCTGAGTGCTCCAGTGTTCGGAAGAAACATGAACAAACACAAACAGAATCGAAGTGACAGCCAGGCAAAACAAAGAAGTGGAAGGGTAGCAACTGGCACGACGTATAGTAGTTACGACCAACAGTTAGGTAGGCAAAAATAAGTGTCGATAAGTTGGCACCACAGGGAAGCATTATATAGAAAATCGACCCAAGAAATTGGGAGTAACACTAGATAGCCGGCACTCCTTCGCTCCACATACGACCGCAATTGCCTCAAAACTCTAGAGCAGCAACAAAATACTCAAAGCACCGATATGGGCGCCGGGGACAACGCAAATGAAGAAGTTACAGGCTTGCCAAAACACCGCCCTCAGGGCCGCTACAGGAAACCTCTTGATGTCACTTGCACAATGAAGCATCTATGTTACCGTAGGGTGCACCCCAATAGGCACCTAAAATAGACACATCAGGAAGGGAGTACTCGATTTGAGAAACCCCATCCAGCAATGCGTACAACAACCGCTGGACAGGACGGCAGACAGACTGGCACTGAACGCCATTCACCAGGAGTCAGTCAACACCTATAAAAAAACTCCTTTCTCGTGAATGGTGTGCTCGGAGTAAAACCCCAACCCATTGCACACAAAGATCTCGAACTGCCTCGAGAGACCCGCGTGACCTTGGCACGACTTGGGTCTGGACACTGTAGCTGTACCTAACGACACGACACGACACTAACCACCGCTTCACGTGCCCCTTTCAACCGACCCATCTAACCCCCCGATACCTTTGGTTCCATCCCGTCGAAACACGTTTCCCGGACCTCCCACTAGATTACCTCGGCGACTTAGATTGATCAAAACTGTACCTAAGCGGGGTTAGCGAACTGCTACAACAACTACAACAACAACAACAACAACAACAACAACAACAACAACAACAACAACATTAAACAGAAACTCAAAAAACTTGCTGACCAAACAAACCGACGACGAACAAGGCGGCTACCTAACCCAAGTTATTATTATTTTTAACACTTTACCTAGCCATCACTATTTAAAAACTCAAAATATCCGATTGATGCGATAGGCGAGTAGTTTTCCTAGGATTGTGACAAACTGACAACTTCAATGTTTCTTTGTTTAAAATCAAGCTATATTGAATGTTTAATGCCATTCCAAACCACAGTTACGGATACAGAATACAATAGCTGCGAAATTCTCGG